GGCTCCACTGCTGCTGGACGCGCACAGAAATCTTTAGACACCAGCAAGAACACTGCTTTGGGGGTTAGCACGGCCGAACCTTCGGATATTGTGCCCGTTCAAGGTGTCTACAGCACTTTAGAGCCCTCTGCGCCACCCCTTGGAGAGCTGAGCATCGAACCCAGAAGCGACAAGATTGTGCTCTCTTGGGGTGAACTACCTGATGAAAGCAGAAAAATCTCTTTTCTCGAGAAAAACTACCTTGTGAACAACCGATCAGGGCAGGTGTTTCAATTCTTGCATCGCTGTCAATCCTCTAGTGAGTCTGCTGACGGGACCCAGAGTTTTGCAGACACAGATGTTGTTGCAGGCGAGTTGTATCAGTACCGCATGGTAACGATCGATCGCTACTCGGATCTCGTGCTCAGGGATGACATTGAACAATTCCGCAAATTGAAAGCGGCACTCTATGGCGAAAAAAACAACCGGAACGATGTTGCCAGCACGCTAAAGGACTATCCGTTTTACCCCATGCCGGGCAGAATTGAGGGTGAGATCATATCGGTTCTAGCAGGCGAAGTGCCACGGCGACCAGCAATGCCCGGTCGTTGGGAACGAGTGAATGCTACAGCTATGCGAGTTGGTTGGGCGGCTTTTGAACCTGGGAAATCGGATGCCGAGATTCGTAGGCATGGCGGCGAACCTTTGACGGAGCATTTGCTCGAAATCCTAGTCGAGGAGCTCACTGATGACGAGGTTTTCTTCGTCTCCGAACTGTACAAAAATCCAGTGTACGGCAACTTGTTCCGGGTGCAAGGCACCGCGATCGAAACCTCCGTGATCGACAGCAGCAAGTTCGACCTTCAGGCTGCGTTGAACGATGATCCGCTCAACACTGCCAACTTCGGCTACACAACGACGCAGCTGGCGCAAATCAGTGTAGATGCAGAGTACAACGCAAAACGTGGACGGAATTTGACCTTGATCGACCCAATTGAGATTCGCTCAGTGCCACGCAGTCTTCGCGATGAAGTAGATCGGGATGAAGACGGCAAAAACGCGTTTTTTCTGCGGTTGAGGAATACGAACATCGAGAAATGGCACCAACTGAAAGACCCTGCTTTGGAGCAGACTTACATTAAGGCGACCGCTGAAGCATCCTCAGCGCCATCCCTGGCTTCTTTTTCAAGTGGAAAAAGGGCTCAGGGATGGACTCAAGGATGCGACGCGGTAGCTCTAATTCCAGCTACAAATCCGTCAAGCCCGCGCACTGGAAGCTGCTCTACAGAGGTCGCGATCGGTCGGCTCTAGTCACGAATTTATTGCCTGGTCGCGCCTATCAATTCCGTGTGCGCTCTAGAAATCGTGTTGGATTGTCATCTGATTACAGCGAAGTCGCTTTTCTGAGAACGTCGCAGACACTGACTCCGCCACAGAACGTCCGAGTTGTCTGGGCACACTGCAACGTGCCAGGATTCGCCAAGTATTGCAGCCACTACGTCGACAAAGACACGATCCCACCGGGACCGTTCAAACAGCAAGCGTACGCCTACACGCCAGACGAACAGCAGTGGCAAACCTATTCTCTCACTGACCTAGCCAAGTACGACGCTTGCGTCGGTCTGACGTGGGATCAGCCAGTTGAGGATCACGATGCAATGTGTCCAATCGACGTTTACGAAGTGACAAGAGAGGACACTCTGTGGAGCAACTCATCCGCTCTAGATGGTTTGTACAAGTACACTGGTAATTTCCCGACGATCGCAGGCTTTCCGGCTCCGTTGCAAACTAAGACGAGCTTAGTGCGGTACAACCAGGAGAAGTTTTTCGCAGATGCTTATCCTTGGTCTGGCGAGTGGCTACCGATTGAAGCAGAACTAGCTAGTTCCATGTCGCAAGGCGTGTCCAAATCGATGCCGCAGACGTGCTTCCGCTCCGAAACCGGTAGCGGAGCTTTTCCAAGGGCTGTGAACATGAGCTACTCAGTTCGTGTGAAGAATTGTCACGGGTGGTCGGAGAAAACGACAATCCGGGTACCGGTCGGTTCAGTGCCACAAAGAGTTTGTACCAGGTGGAAACGACCTCAGTGCTACAAAGCGATGTGGTACAACTGCCAATACGAATGCATTTTGGACGGTCTCTACGGTCGCACGGTCAGTGACACCAGCGTCTTCTTCGAATGGACGCCGTTTGAGTTCTCCGAACTGGTCAACTTTGACCCAGCCGAGGCGATCGAGCTCTTCTACAAAGGCGTGAGCTTTCAGGAACAGCTTATTGGCCACGACGACCCCAACGCGTTGCTAGGTTATATGAAAGAAAAAAGTGCACTCACACTCAAAAAAAGTGGCTATTTTCCTACTTAAATCGTAGCCAATTCCTTGAGTGTGAGTTCACTTTTTCGTTTCATAGGTTACCAACTATATTTAGACGACGGCATGGGGGGACCGTTTCACCTCGAATTCGATGGTACAACACATGGCAACAGGATGAAGAACAACACTTTGGTCGAAGGGTTGACGGCAGGTCGGATTTATCGTGCTTACGTTGTGGGTGTGAATTGGAACGGCGTGGGAAATCGAGGAGAAATCCTCTATTTCCCGATGATGCGACCGCCAGGCAGGCCGTTTGACTTGCAGTACAAGCGTTTGACGACGCGTAGCATCGAGTTGAGCTGGAAAGGATCGACTGTGCCGTTTCAGGAGCTTGCACCACTGCAAAAACAGCTGATTCTGTTCTCCAAGCGCACCAATGCGGGAGATTATACGACTTGGTTTGCGAGAGACGTCCCTTCTAGTTTCTTCGGTCCTGAGCTGATGTTCAATCTGGAGAACGATCGAACTTACCAGTTTCAAGTCGTAGGCATCAACACCCTAGGAACGTATTCGCAACCTTCTGCGCCAGCCTACTACTTGGCTTCCAACGTTCCGACCTTCCCGCAAGGCGCAAACAAGGTGTGGCGTAGCGGCAGCAATCGAACTAGTGTGACCCTCGAGTGGGTGACCGTGTCGCGTGGTGACTTGGGTGGCAACGTTGAAATTTACGACAAGAAAGAGTTCTGGGGATTTCAGGTTTACGTTTCTGACGAGTTCAACGCTACGAAGTGGATGGCTTGCGACTATTTTGGTCAGGGCAACGATCGCACGCAATGCGTCACGCCGTTTGACCACCCTTTGGACTGCGGCATCATCTACAATTTCTGGGTAGGGATCCGGTCAGTAGTTGGCCTCTCGGTATTGCCAACACAGCCGCACTTGTCTTTCCGATTGACCGTGCCTCCATCGGAGCCGAGGAATTTCCGCGTTGTTTCGACCTCAATGCGCGAAATCAAGGTCATGTGGGACATCCCCTTAACTCCTGGTTGCGAGAAGATCTATCAGTATCGCATAAAGCGCTTGCCGCACAACCACAACAGCGCTGATCCGTCGTTTCAGGGTGTTGCTAAAACGCTGACAGCAGACGAAATCACAGATCCAAGTGCTTTGGCCCCGTCGCAGGAGTTCGTCGACAATGGCGCTTGTGGTACTTCGGGTTCGTGCGTCTGCCCACCCCACTGCTTCATCCCAGGCACGATGTACCAGTACCGAGTCGAAGCGCGTGGAGCAGTTTTGGATGACACAGGCGGCCGATTCGACGGACCTCCAGGCTATTCCGTTAGTTCCAATACGATCACGACTTACGCTGCTAATAAGCCGTCAAAACTAGGCAGTCCGCCTCAGTGGTCCTTCTCGAACCGCACCAGTATCATTATTCGCTGGCAGCCTCTGACGGTAGACAACATCTTGAACTTCTTACCGGTCAACAGCTACTCGCTCTACATGGCAAGCGGCATCGCGGATCCGTTCGTGTTTCAGGGCAACTACACCGGCACCGAAGCAGTCATCCACGGTCTCAACGGTGGCGGAACCTACAGGTTCTACGTAACCGGCGTCAACGCTTTGGGCGAAGGAGAGCCCTCTGACGAAGCGTGCATTCTAGCCGCCGATCGGCCGGAACCGCCGTTGGAGCCGACAGTTACCACGCCAGGCATCACGAACACGTTCAGCGACTACCCCTATTTGGCCGCAACAGCTACTGTGAAGGACATCCGGTTTCGGTTTACGACCATCTACGACGGAACCGTGCACGCCTTCGTGGTTTCGAAGCAAACGGAGTCCGATTTCGACCTGCCGCCTCTGATCCGCGAAGACACTTTGGGAACCCAGGATCAGTTTGGTCTTGGCGGCAAGTTCTGCCGCATCAAGTACCAATCGGTACAAGCGGGAATCGAAGAAGAACTCTATCTTGGGCGAACTTTGGATAGCGATGGTTGTTTGCTCGAATACGGTCAGGGTTATCACGTGTTCATCTACCTCACCTCGGACATCGTGGACTTGTCACTGGGTACGCAGCCGCCGCCGAACAACAAGGGCACAGTCATGCGCGTCGCCTTCACGGTGCTGGATGGTAAGTCAAACGCTTTCGCCTTGAATCCGAGGTTAGTCGGCGACATGACGAGAAGTGGTGCCACTGTGGAGTTCCAACCGTTAGGGAGTGGTTTCGTATGGGCTGTGGTGTATCCAGCGAGTCAGTTGGTGGATTTATCGAAGGTGAAGAACCCAGATCCAGCTACTGTGATGGGTTCGTCAGCTTGTCGCTTCAACCAAAAACCGATCACCGCTAGGATCATGTCCTGGCCGTTCGCGGATTGCGGTCTAGTGCTGCGTCAGGAGTACAAGATCTACATCTATGCTAGTGGGATTGGTGGGCACAACGATGGCACTTTAGCTGAAATCGCTGGTCAGGCAAAAGCAACCTCCAATTCCTATCTCAATTTGCCAGCTTTTATCGGTAAGCCGTTTGGTTTTGGTGTCGAGTTGGAGTTTAGACCACAGAACAGCGGCTTTGTGTGGCTACAGGCGGTCGCAGATCCAGATGTGATCTCGATTCAGACGATCAAGAACGAGAAGAACTCCACGTTTTTCACCTACTCTGACGCTGGCGCTGCCGCGAATACGCGTTATCAATACGTCGGGTTCGGTGACCCAGAGCAGTGCGCAGTGTTCAAAGCGCCTGTCGTTGCCAACACACGCGTCGTTTTCGAGTTAGAGAATTGTAAGTTCTTTTCCGGTCCGCTGTATCACGTCTATGCTTACGTCGAGACGCCTTTCGATGAAATCCCCAATCCAGAACCAGGTGTGGTGCAATCGAGCGATGGAACGATGGCTGCGCCAGTCAGTTTCTACGTCCCGCTGTCGAACGAGTACCGCATTGCGCCAAAGATCGATCCGACCACAGTCACCGGTGACGGGTTTACCTACAAGGCGCGATCTTTCGTGACAGGGTTCCTGTGGTCCATTGTAGTCCAGTACGCCGATCGCGACATGTACTTGACGCCCAGCAGCATCGAACCTTTGAAAGCGCGGTATCTAGGCGTGGGTGGAACCCGCAACGTGACCAAACGCTGTTCTCAGACCGAACTCCCGATTGTGGCCGGTCAGGACTACTCTTTCGTCATTGAGGGGTGCGAGTTTGCGCCGGGAGCCTCTTATTCTCTTGTTGTGTACGTCGAAAACGTGAACAAATTCGGCGATGGTCAGTTATCAGAAGCTCAGGACTTGGTCGTCCCCTTAACCAATTGGTTCTACGAGTCGCCTGTTCTGGTTGCGAAAGCAAGTTCCAACTTGCTACAAGTAAGTTTTGTTCCGGCGGCTTCTGGTCGAGTGTGGTCGATAGTGACACCAAGGCTGTCATTACTCACGCCAACGGGCGTGATGGAGACGGACGCAAATTTTACCCGGCTATCGCAAGGATTGGACGTGCCGATGGAAGATTTGGAGGAATTCTACAATGTGCTCAATTTTAAGGGTCTCAACATCTTAGACTTTGCGAATTCCAGTGTCAAGCCCTTCCACGTCAAGACGAAGGATCCGGCGTTCGCGATCCAAGGTAGGAACAGCACTTTGACGCGCGAAGACAGTGACAACGACTACATTGGCTACTTCCAAGAACTGCAAACCGCGAAGTCCACGAATGGTTCGCAACGGAACGCGGACGGGTCCTACAATTTGAGCAGTACCTATTCACCTTTCCGCACTTGTTGGGTCAATGGTTTGCTGGTGGAACGCACATCTGCGAATTTCAGAGATCCAGTGCAGATCGAAATCCAGGATTGCGGATTAGCTAGTTCAACTGTCTATGAGCTTTACGTCTATGCCGAGAACGCAGCGGACACGACCGATGGTTTCCTCTATCGGTTGTCGTTCCGTACAATGCCCAGTAACGAGCTGATCCAGCTGTACAACCGGCAGCCGATCATCGTCGGCTACCAAGCTGCCACACGGTTAGTTGAGGTGCCACAGGCCGAATACGAGCAATGGGAAGACGAGTCGCTGGACAACACTTTTGGCGAAAACCGAACTGGCAACGAGTCATTGTATGATGGTACCTATTTTGGCGGGGCAATCAACGTCACAGACGGCGAAAACTACACCTTCACTTGCTTGGAGTTCAATCGCAGCGCGGCGTATTCGGCGTTTGAAATCGACGTGAAAGAAACAGGCAGTTTCAATGGCAACACGGTGCCAACAAAGTTGAAACTGCTAGACACGAACTTGAACCTCGGGCAATACGCAGCAAATCCGGTGTCTGGCGATGAATTGACAACTGTTGGCACTTATGAGTACGTGAACGAGACACACTTCTGTTCGAACTACACGATTCCGGTTTCGCACTACTTTCGGCCTCAAGAATTTCAGGATCCCATCTATGGTACGACGGGAACCACAACTGGCGACGCTCTACTCGTGGACGACACGAGGTACGTCCTTGCGCAGCGCAACACGCTGTTCGGCATTGACGTGACGTTCAAACCGGCCAGTAATGGTAAAGTTTGGGCTTTCGTGGTGAGTGAGGGAAATTTTACCAAAGTCACCAGATCTACGATGAAGCTGGGAACCTATTCGTCGACGACCTACGATTTGGGGTACCAAACCTCCACCTACATCGACAGTCCGGATTGCAGGAAGCTTGGTGTACCGATCTCAGCCTTTGACACTACGGATCCTAGCAACTTCACGACCTTGTCCCTAACCAACTGTCGTATGAACACGGTCTGGCAGAACGTGCCTCACGATTACAGATTGGTGATGTATTTCGAGGACGACAGCGGCATGAACGACGGCTTCTTCTGGCACAGTACGTTCAGGGCGTTCTTGATCACGCCTACAGCGAGGTTTAACAAAGAGCGATTCGTCTACATGTTCGACACGCCTGGTGAACAGATGGTCACGTTTAAGTACCAAGTTTTGATCGGCAAGGACGTGCAGGAGTACACGTTAAAAGCAAACACGCCAAATCTGTTCAGTTTCTGGGAGATGGTGCGGCCTTTTCAAGTGGGTAACCAGTGCCACAAAGCGGCGAGGACGAAGCGAGCTCCCCAGCCGCAGACGGATTTGATCATAGAGTTGAACAATTGCCGCATCCCTGTGGATACGCATGTGCAATTCTATATTTACATCGAGGGTTATTTGGACACGACCTACGCTGGATGGGCGCCGACGACGTTTGACGTGGTCGTAGCTTCTAGGAAGTCGATTGGTTTCTCGATGAGCCCATTCTTAGGTCAGATGGATATCTTCGGAACCTCTTTCGTTGACGGCTCTGCAGCTGTGACGCCAGACGGCTTTACGATTTCCTTTCGAACGCGTGATAGGACTGGCTACTACTGGATCTCTGTCGTGCAGAAGGAGATCGCGGAGCAGACGTTGCCTTACAACGAATTCCTCAAAGGCTACTACGGGGATCGTTACGGTATCCACTTGGATGACGTGGTTGCTGGCACCTATGCGGTTGGTGGATCCAGCTGTAAGGCGTTTGAACAGTTCACATCCAACTTGGCTATCGAAATCGTCGAACTATCCGATTGCCAGTTGACGCCAGGCGAGCTGTACTACGTGTTCGTGTACATTCGGGCTGGTGCTACGGGCAGTGCGGACACATTAGAGGGCTACGTCGGTCCCAGGATTCCTGTCAGAGTGCCAATAACGAACTCATTCGAAATTCCGGAAAGAATGTTGTGGCTCAACGATCATCCGATCTATCAGATCCAATCGCCGACGAATCCGTACATCACTGAGGCTGCTACTGGTTCAGGCTTGAAGTTTGCTGCCAACGTGACGTCAAATGGCTGGCTTTGGGCGGTTATCACGACTCCGGAACTGGCCAGCAACGTGACGATCTACAAGGTGGACGACGTGAAAAGGAACAACATTGGTGTGGGGTCGCCGATTACCTGCACAGTTACAAGATTTCCGGTCAATGTCAACACGAATCCGCATCACTTCACGATGAGCAAGTGCGACTTATTGTCTCTGAGAAGCTACGCTTTGATCGCCTACACAACCGACTACACGGAGCTAGGCGGTGGCTTGTCACGGGTGATCGAGTTCAGCGTTCCGGTTACGAACTACTTCACGATCTATCCGGCCATTGCTTCGACACTAGACGACGTGCAACGACGCGCTGTGGGGTTTTACTACGTTGTAAGCACTTTTGTCGAGACACGGTTTTACGAGTACTATCCGAACCAAGTCCCTACTATGCTAGCGGATATCGATCTCGGCGCGCCCTTAGCAGCTGCCAGAGGAAATATCATCACCAACCATCGTTTCACATTCCTGTTCGAGTCGAAGTACGCAGGCAAGATGTGGGCACGCTTGTACGACCAATTCTTAGCGTTAGAGCCGACCATTCGCGATTTACAGCTCGGAAACCTAGTCCCCGTCGGAAACCAGGCAAGTTGCGCTCTACAGGGTGTCGAAGTGGGCAATTCCTTGACCAAGTTTCACTTTTCGGACTGCAGGATGTTTTGGAAGACGCCTTACACTTTGCACATCTATCTAGAGGACTTGCGAGGCAACAATGACGGAACCAAGACCCAAGCAATTCAAGTGATGACGCCAGCTTCGAACGAGTTTTCTGACTCGCCAGCACTGACGCAACCAGCTGTGTCCGATACAGTGTCCATTCGGTTTTCGGCTAGAAAGAAGGGCGTCTACTGGTGCCAAGTGACTGAGGAGCGGAACAAAGTGATCGTGGACGACTTCAGGTTGAAGCGGAACACAGATGTTCTAGTCGGAAATCCGAACACGTGCGCCAAATTTGCGCAGACCATCCCTACGCCCGAAACGGAAGTGATTTGCTCACTCTCTGGCTGCAATCTGAACGCCGAGAAGCTGTACACTGGGTTTATCTATGTAGAGGACGAGTTTGGTGGAACCGATTCGATTACTGGAACCTTTCAGTCTGTGCCAATTACTCTGACGGTGAGTAACTCGTTCAACCAAAACCCGACTTTGACGCCGCAGGTGGAGCCGACGACTGATGGCCTGTCAGTCGATTTCATCCCGTCTGAAGCGACAGGAAACGTATGGGGCATGTTTGTGTCTGCCGCAGTGGCAGAATTCGTCACCAGGGACTCCTTACTAGCCTTCACGAACGCACAAGGCGGACCCAACTGTCGTTTGGAGCAAAGAGTGCTAACCAGTAACAGCGTGAAAACGCGCATTGTTTTCTCTGGATGCGATTTCTCCTTTGCTGCAAGTTATCGCGGATGCTTCTACGTCGAAGGGCCAGGCCTTGCAAGGGATGGCGTCCTGTCCACTTCTCTCTCCTTCGCCTTGACGACATCAAATGAATTCTCAGTTGCACCCACTGTGCTCTCGAATCGTGGCCGTTTGTCTGTGGATCAGCTGCAGATCCGTTTCCGTTCCCAGTCTAGCGGTAAGTTCTGGCTCAAAGTTTTCTATGGCGACAATGCCAAAGCCGATGAGAACATCATGAAGCGCGTTGAGGATATCACGTATTCGTCTGTTGTCGTCAAGCGCAGCGGTTCTCGAACCCCCTCAGCCGCAGACTTAGCGGAAATCGAGAAGAAAATGACTGCGGGTGACATCTTAGAAGCTCCTTGTAGTTAAGGCTGCAATTATAAATGCATCTTCTTCTACTTGTTCTTCCCAGCAAGTAGCATTTTGGCGCTCCTGTTTGTGAAAGGAACAAAACGGGAAGCAACAAAATGCTACCTCTGCAGAAGAGGGATTTATGGCACTTCTTCTAACGTAGGTTTTTGAACCAGGATATTGACAACCAGTTGCCCATGTACATCCTGCAGGATTGCATGTTGTGGTATGAGACGTCGTACATGATTTTTGCCTACATCGAGGACAACGGCGGCAACAACGACGGACGAATCAGTACGCCGATTCCGTTCTCGGTGGAGTTCTCGAACAGCTTTTTCAACGCGCCAGCATTGACTAGGACGCCGTTTGAAAACTTCGTGGAGTTGACGTTTACGCCGCAGAACTCTGGGGTAGCTTGGGCCAGTATTGTCGAAGAGTACTTGATTCCCCAGTTGGCGCCAGAAAACATCCAAACGTTGGGCTATTGCCGACTCCCAACGCGTGCTGTGTTGTTCAATCGTGCTGAGACGTTGCAGTTCGAGAACTGCAATTTGCGACCAGCGACTTTGTATGGTGCTTTCATCTACATTGAGGGCTCGCGAACGTTCAATGACGGAGAACTGTCTGCTTTGACGTTCGAACTGCCAGAGAGCAACAAGTTGCTGATTTCGCCACCAGAAATCGCAGACCTTGGTGCCGACGGATTCAACCTCGTTTTCGTTCCCCAATTCGATGGCCAGGCTAAGATTCTGGTCTTGCCGAGGGACTCTCCGGAAATCACTCTGCTCGAGTCTAGTGGCCGCAACACCGCAGCTGCGCAGATGGCGGTGGTCGAGAACAACGTAGTGCAGAATCGCTGCATTCTGGACAATATCGTGACAAAACGGTTTACAAGGAAGCAAATCACAATCAGCAACACGATTCTAGGCAGTCGAGTGTCGGTTGCGCAAGCCAAGGCGCAAAAAACGCCATTTGCTTCGATGGCTGAAATGTGTAAAGGCGCGATCGTGTACGAAAACGGTCTCCCATTTGTCATCCACGACTTTCTTCAGCCGGCAGCTGAGTACACGCTGTTCTTGTACCTGGATGGACAGCAGGAAACGGGCACCGGAACGCTGATTCGTTTGGACTTGTCCCTGTTGCCAGCGAACAAATTGCAAGGTCCTGTGATCGTGTTTGAGAATAAAGCCAGGATGATAGCTGCCACAAATAACTCCACTACGTCTACTTCTTCAAGTAGTTCTTCGACGTCCTCTACTTCCTCCGCGTCGTCAACTTCTACGGGGTCTTCCTCCGCGTCAACAACTACGGGGTCATCTTCTTCAGGATCTTCGCTCAACGCCACTACCTCTGCTGCAACGATCGCACACATCACCTCTACTGGCTTTACCTTTGAGTTTGAGTCGACCAGGCCTGGTCGTTTCTGGTTCCGGATGTTTCAAGAAAGAGATGCGGTGTACGATTTGTTCTCTAGGGATTTGCTACATAGGATCGGACATACGCGCTCCAGCTTGATGCGATCGACTACGCCAGCTGACACCTATGGATGCACGCTGGTTTTAAGGCTTAGACCGTAAACTTAATTCTTTCATCTTAGATAGATAATTAATGGGCATCTTTTTCTTTGCCGTGGTTTCAAGGGGAATTCACGTCAAAGATCACTGCCCCTCCCAAGATGAATCCACTTCTAGGTAATCTCTTCTAATGGTTGCCGACGCCAGTGCGACAGAAGCCGAGAGGAATCAAATGCCGGGTGACGAACTAGTGAAACGCGAATTAGAGAAGTGTGGTTTGACTCCTGGGGAAGTCTACTACTTTATTCTCTACATCGAGGACGACGGCAGCTCAGGAGCGATCGGTGTGGTGTCGGAGCCTGTTCGTGTTGTCCTAGAACCTACAAACTACTTCCAGCAAGTGCCAAGGATTCTAGACGGTTCGATTGCGGACTTGCAGTTTTCATCTACGACAGATGGTTTGGCGTTCATCCGCTTAGTCCCGTTTGCGCAAACGAGTTTGGTTACTCCAGAGACTATTGTGAACTACGCTGCCTACGAGATGGGTCAAGAGATAAGAGTGAATTTTGGTGGATCTTCTTCTGGCAGTAGTGGGAGTGGTTCAACACCAGCCTCTGGATCGACTGGAGAAAACTCTACTAGTGCGTCGAATGACACCAACAGTTCAAACGATACTACTTCTTCGTCGAGTCAAGTTGCCACGACTTCTTCAGGCTTATTATCCTCTTCTGGTACGAATGTAACCTCCAGTACCACTTCAAGCAGTGCTTCCGCAGCTTTGTCTCTTCCCTGTTGTGGCGAATACCTAGGTGAGATGCAGGCTTCGCGCATCTACAGCTACTCGTTTTCGGAACGAGTTCGCGCGGAGCTGATAGCAGGAGAAAATTACAGGATTTGCGTCTACATTGTTTCGAAGACGCTGCCTGGTGTGGGGAGGTTAAACTGCGCCATCGCGATTTTGGTACCGTTGTCGAAGTACATCCTTTCTGCCGCGCCTAGGCTCGCGACGTTCTCAGTCGACGGCTTACTTGTCGATTTCACACTGAAAGAGGATCCGTTTGATGCGAGTCGAATCTTGGCTAATGTGTTTTTGGCTATCGTGGAGACTGCCATGATTGCTACTGCGTCGAAGCAGCAGATCGTCGATAGGATTACGAGTATCCGGGATCAAGTGGCTGCGACACTGGAGACGAGTCGGCGTGCTTTGCAAAGTGTGCGTGAGACCACAGCAGACGACTTCGCTGGATTTTTGACTATGGCAAACGGGACACAGTGCGAACAGTTTAGACCAGGAGTGCCTGCTTTAGAAGCTCAATCCGTGCGATTGAGCAACTGCAGATTGAATCCAACTGTTGGATACTCGCTGTTCGTCTACGCAGAAGACACGAGAAGTGTGCGGAGAGGAGATGGCGACTTGGCACCGATTCTTTTGCCCAAAGTTCCGGAAAATGGCTTTCCGCAATTCGTCAACTCTGTCAAACTCCAAGGCAACGCCATTCCAGATCGTGTGGCAGTGTCTTTCGAGACCTCAAATGCAGGAGCAGCAAGCCTGTTCTTGTACGAAAACGGAGCACCAGTCTGCGATCCGGTGGAGCGGGACGAGAGCCTGGCAGTGTCTGCTTCTGGAGCAGCTTCATCAGGTAGTTCATCTGCGTCCATTGCAGCTCGCTTGGCAGTTGAGAACTGCCACATTCCCCGTGGCAGGAAGCTGGAAGCGGTAGCCAGACTTGAAGCCCCAATGAAAAACGATGGTTTCCTGCATCGCATATCACCGCCTTTGCTAGTCAAGAAGAGCGCAGACTTCTTCAACCCTCCACTTTTGCTGCTAGAAAGTCCAGAGAAGTTGAAGATTTTGAAGGACAAAGCATCGAATTTCGACACGCACGGACTAGACGGGCAAGACTATGCTGAACGGGCGTGGGCTGGCGATTTCCCAGAAACCTTGAACTTCGACTATCGTGGCTTAGCCATTTACGCTTTGTCCAGTCGCAAAGATGCAACTGCACCGAAGTACATGTGGGGTCTGCTACTCCCTGCAACTACGACTGACGCAGAATTGACGTTGACAATCCAAAATTTGTCAAAGAAAGTGTCATCTGAAAGTGTGGTTGCTGCAAATCTGGAGTTCGTGGACCCGTTCTCGGGGTTGCCGTTGGTGCAAGGTCGTGACTCTCTGAGCCATATTGGAGCTAACGAAGAGAGTAACACAGTAAGCGACAGCCGCAGCTCCTCGTCCGGAGACTCGACAGCCTCCTCCTCCAGCACTTCATCTTTCTCCACGGGTAAGGCCAATGTCTACTCCGGTCCAAAAACCATCGAAGCTTACTCTGCCATCACTCGCGATACAATCGATGTGGAGGAGCCCGCGTTCGCGGTTCTACGAGAAAACCACTGCATCGTGCGCCAACGCATTGTCAGTAGCTTCACAGAACAGAAGATCGCGTTTCCGAGCACCTGTCAGCTCCTCTACCAACCATCCACTGCATGGAAAGCCTTTGTCTACGCACAAGACTATCCAGATGCCGCCTTTCCAGATGGCTCACTTGCACAGGCAAAGATCCTAGATGCAAATACATTAACAGAAGCTGTAGCACCGTCACTAGAAGCACCGTCCATGGCTCCGATTCCGTCTGAGAGAGATGTCAATCGCCATTTCCAGATGCCAGAACTAGCGTCGGTAGACCTCGAGGCGGGCTGGCTGGAGGTCACGATGAACACGACACGAGGTGGAGACGTCCGCGTTGTCGTGGAGGATGTTACACCAACAGGTGCAAATGCGTCTTCTTCCAATACGAGTAGTGCAACTGCAAGGAATAGCGTGGCGTCAGAATCTGGACTCTTCTCTTGGTGGTCACCCGCAGTGAATCTGTCAGATTCACTGATCGGTAGTGGAGCAGCCGGAGCTTCAGGCAATGCTACCACAACATCTGGCTCTGTCCTTTGCTACGCAGATTTCGTCACAATTACTGGTTTTTACTCCCGTCTGAGGTTAGAAAACTGCAATTTCGGGTACAGCAAGGCTTACAGGATGAGGATCTACTTGGCTACGACGACACCGAGTGCGAATGTGACTTCCTCCAGCACTTCTGGAGCTTCTTCTGGAACCTTCCCAAACAACGCTTCCGCTTCCTTCTCTCACAACTTCACCACACAAGCCTCAAAAACACTGCTTGTTGACCCTGCTTTAGCCTACTCAGTGTCTGGCAACAACCTCACCATCAGCGACGTGAAATTGTCGAACGGTCGCGGTGCAACGGATTTCTACGTCATAGTTTCGGAAACGTCGTGTGGCATCCCATCAGCTTCGAAAACAGACCTATTGCCGGTTCGATCGACGATGTTGCAGGAGTTGAAAGCCTATGCAGAAAAGAATCTAGTTGAATTCGCTCCGAATGGAACTGTCTTGAACGATCCTCAGCTGGTTGCTGGAGGAAGAAATTCCTCTATGGGTATGGGTCCTTCTAGTACCAGCACATTGCCACCCCTCACAATCTCAAAGGTCGGCGGTAGCGGAGCTACTATGGACCATACGATTGCATGTGGTGTTTTGGTCAAAAACGCGTTAACATACCACCAAGACCTCCAATCCGTTTTTCGAAAAAGTACCTCCAATCCAGCTGACCTATCGCAGCACCTGACGCCGAACATCGTGATTCCCCGTTGCAACCTCAATTCTGACACAGAGTACTTGGTCACCTACTACGTCGAAAAGTCCGGCTTGCTGCTCAGCGGCTCAATCCTCGAAGACACCATGAAGATTCGACCAACGAACCAGTTTACTATTGCGCCGTCTTGCGCAGGCACAGCCGTTGAAGAAGTCGGCATCCCGGTACGGTTTCAATTCGCCTCACGGCATGCGATTCTGACACAAGGTCGAGTAGAGACGAGAAATGGAACGTGCATGCTCAAGAATCCTGTGAATACGAGCAGCATGGTCCTGGAGAGGACAATCGCGAAAGCGAAAGCGGCAGGAGAAGGAAGCTACTCGTCTGGATCTGCAGGAAATACGGAAAGCACCTCCTCATCTTCAATGGGAATGACTTATCCATCTGCTCCAATGGTGACTGGAAGCACTTCATCAGGCAGCATGGCAATGATGGCAACTACTGTTGCGCCAGCAGCTCCTTCAACTTTGTCTGGCACAGGGTCAACGATGTATAGCACAGGGTCATCTTCATACTCGTCAAGTTCATCATCTTCCTCGCCAGCTTCGCCTGGCTACTACCGTAAACAGCTGCGTCGCCTCCAGCAGCGCTACGCAATTGGCCTCGCTGCGAGAGATGGCGGTGCGGACTTAACACGAGGCAACGCCTTTGCGTCAGAGGCGCCGAGCTGTCAACCCAACGAGAATCGAGCCTGCGGTGACAATTTGGCTTCGAGGTATTCCGAAGATACAAGTAGCGGAATGCGCGTGATACAGACTAACGCTGTGCCAAACCACAGGTACAATCTCGGTCGGGAAGAGCCGAATCCTAGACAGGTTTGCGAACAGCCGCTCGAAATTAGCTTGCCTTTGTCGCCGGAGATGGTAAAACCTGTGGTAGAGACCGTGGCTGGTCGAGGGGCAGCTGCAACAACAACTACCAAGAGTACGCTGACTTTAGCAGATACCGGTCTTGGTATCATCGGCATTTTGAAAACCGGTGCGCTGCTGTACAATCAGCTGAGTATAGCTGGTGGCGAAGACGACGTTGCTGTGGTGGTAGAAAAGGCAACTTTGGACACTTGTCATGGCCACTCCATGGCGCCCTGTGCGTATCATCACCACAAACTCGCAGAGACAGATGCCTGCTCGTTCGACTGCAAGTTTGAGGAGTGCAAGCACATTGGGTACTTGATGGACGGCTTCCCATTGTACACAAGCTGCGCTAACCTGCGATCGTGCTACGAGCTCAAACCCGAGAGCATTCGCCTAGCAGCATCAAACAGTTCAACGATCCCAGGTCTTGGCCAGGACCGGATCGCCGGTGATGACTCCAACGACTACTACTTCGATCAAGCGAGACATGATGCTAAAGACTGCGATCTAGACGAGGCCAATGGCTACGACTTCACGGGCAGTCAGCTTACCGACAGCGAGGGCCGCTTGATGACAGGATACGGCTACGTCGCGACGGATGCTTATCCGTATTTGATACCCAAATACCGTGGTGTAACGACTAGGAGCGTAGTGCGCGGACTAGAAAGCTCAGCGATGATTCCGATCAACCACGGGAGCTGTCACGACACTTCGAAAGCGCAGACCGCAACATTGGCGTCAAGAACGGGAACGAAAGGTATGGCGCCTCTAGTACATTCCTCAGGCTATGCCGTAGCGATCACGCCGCCAGGTGTTTTGGCGCCAGACGTGCTTGATTTGCATGCAGAGTCGATGACGGCTGCATCGCATCAGAAGATGCCGTCGGATTCTATAATTATGAGTGCGATGAATGATGTGATAGCCTATGGCGTCGAACCTTCTACAGCAGGTTTGAACGACGCAGACTTGACCTTCGAATACAGAGCGACCTTCCAATGGGACGCTTTCGATTGTGGCTTGGATTTCTTCGTTCTTCTAGGAGGACAGACAGAGACGAATGCGACTTCCTCGTCAAGTTCAAGCGCAGCTAGCATTTATCAAGAATATGCGCTTTCCTTCTACGTTGAGGAATACAGGCCTGAGGAAACCTCTGGCATTGCTGAAACGCCATCAGAGGCTCTAGCGTTTTCGCGGGAAACAGGACACTCGATGCAACGCTTTGGAGGTTCGTGGTCGCACCCATTCTTGTTTGTGATCAACAGCGACGTGTCGAACTACTTTACTCGCAGCCCAGTTCTGCTAGACTTCGGCAGCATCATAGCAAGGAACAAAGTCGGCGTGCAGTTTGCGGTTAAGAAGAAAGGCACGGCTTCCGTCTACCTGGTGCCGAAAGATAGCACGTTTGTAGTGCAAAACGGTGTGTGGAACGAGACAGCTGCGAGTGCAACTTTGGATGCCAGTCTAACAAGTTTGGCCGTTTCTGTGACATCATCACCGAGTGGCACCAGTTCGTCCTCTGCTCCGTTGAGGCAGTACGCAACGTCTAGCCAACTAGTGCCAAAGACCAATGCTGACGGGACTACTGCTGAATTCCCAGTTCGTAACATCTTGCCTGTCGAATTGCCTCTGAACGTCAGCGTGAACGGTTTGTGTCAGGAGCTGGGGGCTCCAGTGTTCCCGGACGAGGTCTACACGATCCTGCTGCTCGATTGTAACGTCAAATCTGGAATCGACTACATGCTGTTTGTCTATGTTGAAGGGGATGATGAAGTTGCTGCCGCTGGCTCTGCAACCGTTCCTGGCGCAGCTGTATCGGGCTCCGGTGCAACAACAGCGAACAGCACGTCCTCATCTTCATCTGGTTTGATGTCTGGTGGCTTAGCCGTGAAGCCTTACTACTCGAACACATTCGAAGTCTTGCCCCATCTCTGGACAACACCGCGGCCGAATTACTTGTGGTTGATGCTAGAACCAGCAAGGCGCATCGGGAGACTTTGGGTGTTATTGGTTCCAAAGAAGAGGATACTGGGAAGCTACATTGCTGGCAATCTGACGGACGACGAAAGTTTTGGTGAGATCGAAATCGATCTTGCAGCACAAAAAGGGAAAGCCGCCGTAAGCGACAGCAACGCGATAGGGGTAGGAACAACAGGAACACCAGTGAACACGAGCAGTACGACCACTTCGAACGACACCATCACGTACAAGCTAACGCGTGCCAACATCAAGACGATTTTGGCTCTGTTGCCAGCGATCGACGATGAAGTGTTTGTCACGGAGCAGATGAGGTTGGAAAGCTATTTTGAGGTGCCAAAAGCTAGGAAAGAAGTCAATGCTGATGCAGGAGTCACGTCCTCGAACTCAACAACTTCTATGCTGTCTTCAGTACCACCAACAGATCCGTTTCTCTCCGTCTGCGGCGTATCCAGTGTCACAGTTGACAAACTCAACAACGACGGCGGCTACCGCACAGTCCCGATCCGACATTGCGACTTCGCTGACAATGAAGAGTACGAGGCCTTCGTGTACTTGGAAGATGGCATCAACGGCACGCAAGTTGAGGGTTTGACGACCTTGCATCGTCAGAACATTTCGGTAGTGGTGGCGCCGGCAGAGACTAGTAACGCATTCTTGGACTTCCCAGTAGTGTTACCTGGTGTTGTGGAAGTGAAAAGCAAGGGCGTTGAAGATGCTAAGAATGACACAACAAATTCCTCTGCTTCATCCAATGCATCAGCGGTAGACGCCACAACAAATTCTGTTGTGGAACGCTCTCAAGCCATGTCTGACGGGTTCATCGTCCATTTCCGTGCAGAAAAGAAGGGACGCGTATGGGCCAGTGTGGTGAAGAGAGAAGATTTAGACCGACTCTATGACGCTACAATTGAGCGTAAGTACGGCAAATTGCATTGGCGACGCAACATGCTGCAACTAGGACAGGGTGACAAGACCTATTGCCAATACTTCGGAGAATATTTTGATGTTCATCCTTACGCAATTCCTGCTGTAGTGGCCAATGATGGTGCTAATGGAACTAATGCTTCAACAGCTGCTGCTCTAGCAACTACCACGACTGTTGCTCCCATCGACCCAATCGACAACTCAACTGATGACGATGAATTCGAAGAGGTTGTCACAGTGGAGACCGCGACAACTACGCAGGCTCCACGTCCCGTGCGCTTGTTTTCGAATGGAACGGTGCAACTGGAACTCAGCAAATGCGCGTTGACGACAATGCAGGAGTACTTCGTAGTGCTCTACATCGAAGATACAGAAGGCAAACTCGATGGCGTCGTTGCTCCACCTGTGCCATTGAAGATTCCGTATTCGAATCTGCTAGTGCGCGCTGACGATGACAGTCTAGCAACAGTGGCACGGATTGAGCAAGTGGACAGTTCCGTTTTGAACGCGATCGGCGGCCGCACTGACTTCTTGTTGCGCAGTGAGATCAGCAATGAGGTTTTCGCGCGTCAAGAAGCGGATATCCTACAAGCGACACCCCAACAAGCAGTTGACATTGACGAAGATGTGTTGCTGTTGTTGTCTGGTGTAGGGCGTTCGCCACGGCTGGAGTTCCTGTCATCACCTGGGGAGGAGGAGGTCAAGGTGAGGTATAGAATACTCCGAAATAGCGGAAACGCGTTTGCCAGGATTTCACGGGTGCCGTTTTTGGAACAGAACAGCCTGCAAACCATCAAGTTGGCCAACGCTGCCGAGAGCATATCGGATCTGAAGAATCGGATTGTGGATGACAGTTGCAATGGGGTGATGTATAGGCAAGACCATCGCTTGGATTCTGCTCCAGCTCCTTCGTCTGCGGTAGCTGCAGCAACTACTAACTCCTCTGCGAATAGCAGTGTGCTGTCTTCAGGTACCTCTTCATTGCTGGATGGCGAAGATGATGTTGAAACTGTGACGGGTGATAAGAAGGACAAGAACCAGCCTCGTGCGATCTTGACGCACAAGATTGCGAGTGCAGAAGGAGTCACCTTCGTGAACAAATACCACGACATCGCTTTTTCCAGCTGCAAAGGCCTCAAGAAGAACGCTGCGGGCATTGCGGCGACTGGATTGGTCTACTTACTCGAAGTCTATGTCGAAGACGAGGACATGTCGGGAATCAAGGTTGTCGGCAAGAAGTTTGAGGATGAATTCGTGTACAAAGCAGGCAGTTTTTCACTCTCTTCTGGGGGTATCTTCACGGCCGAGTACGGTTACGACAAGGTGAATGCGGCGGCAGCGGAGAAAGAGCAAGCGGTGATAAAAGCGAAAACGGTCAGTGTGATTCAACCCGTGGGGGGCTACACTGCAGAAGCTGCGATGTTAGAGCAGGCTGCGGAACTTGCTAGCAGTATGGTTACATCTTCGGGAGCAGTGATGACTTCATCTACTTCAAGCACGAGTTCATCTGCCGCGGCCTCCTCTCCATCAAGTACCGCGAGTTCCAGCACGATGTCCAGCAGCGGAAGCGGTAGCAGTGCTGGTTCGTCCTCGTCATCCTCGTCGTCTGGAATGGGTGGACCTTCTTCGAGCAGTAGTTCTAGCAGTAGTTCTAGCAGTGGCTCCTCCTATGGAGGCTACAGACGTGAGCTGATGACCTCTACTAGTATCGACTACGCTTCCAACGACTCCAGCTATCTACGGGTTCAGAATTTCACCGAAGGTGTGAACCTCGTGGAGCTGAAAAATTCCCCAGTAGCTAACGCTGGTCAGCTCGAACGCGTTCTCTTCACACCAAAGACGTTCGGAGCCTTCACGCAAGCACCCTTCATTTTCCAGGAAGAGATCACGGTAAACGGCATCCGATTCGAGTTTACGACCAGGCGTGACGGCATGTTGACAGCTGGATTGGTCAAGCAGACAGAGTTTTTGGCCTACATGGAAACTCTCAACAGCACGCAATACTTCCAGGGCGCCAGAAAAGATTGCCAGCGACATCTAGCGGGTGTGAAAGCGGGTATCAAAACGATTCAGTACTTCTACAACTGCAAGCTAGAAATCGATACGGACTATCTGCTCATAGTCTTGATAACAGAGACGAATGATCCAGTTGGGGAGTTGCAAAATCTCGGAACCTACTACGCGGTGATGGAGAGCAATTTGACTGCACCGTTGCAAAGAACAGCCATGTCAGACAATCGACTGCTCAGTCTAGGCAGACTGAAGAAGATGACCAAAGCGGAAAGGTTGTCGCAGACAGGAGTGTCGAAACTCTGGCTAGACAGTTTAGGCGGGTACTACGGAGCGCTGAAACTAGGTCAGGGCTTCTACTCTGCTGCTAACGCTGGCCGCATCGACAGGGAACTAGAAGCACTCGATGATGCGACTTTTCTAAAAAATCGGTATCATCCGTGGGTCTTGCAAACTGCTGACGCAGCGACTTGGGACTTTGCACCTTTGAGTGTGAAGAAACGGCCATCATTGGAATTTGCTGTGGATCCAGTGATTGCGACAGTAGCGGAAACGCGCTCTGGCGTCGTTCCTGTCGGCTTCCAGATGACGCTGCCATCCGCATTGGACGGAACCAAGATCGACTTGTTGACAGTGTCTCAACTAGGCTTCGTTTGGGTGTACATCTTCGATTACCTAGATAACAGCATTTTCGACATCATCAACGCGATTATGGCGACTGAAGAGGTGACGGAAGATTCTAGTACAGGAGGAGCGTCTAGTACAGGAGGAACTGCTGGTTCGTCTTCATCTTCTTCAAACGCTACGGTCACAACCGCAGCATCAGCTGGCGGGACGACAACGTCGACCAAGGCGCCTTCGATTCTTGATCAACAACCGGAGTCCGCACGTTGCTACGTCGCACGCGTTCCGGTGACGAATTACACCATGAAGGTGGACCTGCCGAACTGCACTCTACTAGCGAATGCCAGTTACGACGTCTACTTCTATGCCGCCAAGTCGGAGCAGGAAGCTGGGTCTCTGTTCGTACGCACCTTTGGAGTCTCTTCCAGCAACGACTTCGTCGCCTATCCGCTCATCGATAACACCCAAGGCACGGGGCAATTCGCCCTGACAATTCGTCTGCGCGGTGACGGCTTTGTTTGGGCTGGGTTGTTTGCGTGCACAGCTGACACCACGTGTGCGAGGAACGTGTTGGCGAACCCTATCAGCTTTAAGGGTATCTTAGCTGGCACAGTCACCAGTCCGAACGAGCTTGTTGGCGGCGAGACTTGTGCTTTACAAGGAACGAGTCTAGCGGCTGATGCGGCTTATGTTGCAGCAAATTCCGATGGAAGTAGCTCCAGTTCGTCGAGTACAACAAGTTCAAGTGTGGCTTCCTCCTCTTCTAGCAATTCTTCATCTGCCTCATCTCAGCAGCAGTTCACTCTCGTTTGCAAGGGTCTCGAAGCCGCGGTCACCTACTCCGTGGTCGCATATGCTGAAGACCAGAATGGTCGAAACGATGGCCGCGCCTTTGGGCCGATTGATTTGATATTTCCCGAAGCTGCCAATTACATCATTGAGTTCCCGGAGTTTCAGCATGAGCTAGACGCTTCGCCCTACGATCACAGCTTGGCGACAGTGGGAGAGCTAGGAGTCAAATTCCGCGATTCCTACTCCTTTGAGTTCGACGGCAACCACTCAGACGCTCTGGCGCTGTTCTGGGCTGAAGACTCAACCGGGAACAAGAACAAAATCAACATTCAGTCGTACTTGAACGACGGCGTGTTTGACCGCAATGACAGTAGTGTCTTCTGCATGCTAGACACCCGATTGCCTTCGCCTTACAACTACTACATGGCCCAAAACGTCTACACTTCTGCTTGGAACAACATTACGGAGAACCGCACAAACTACTCGAACTACACCGATGCAAATGGCACTTTACAAACTCTGGCTTCGGTTTACGAGCACAGTTCTTCCAATCTCGAGACCAACGTGACGAACCCTCTGGATGTAACAGAGTTCCTAGCCAACAACACTCGCAACTTGACCATGGCTTGCGGTCCCAACGTGTTCGACTTCTGCAAGACCTATACTGCAGTGCTCTATGTCGACGCCGGTCGCGCAAACTTCTGGGACGGCCGCTTGTTCAAACGCAATTTCACTTTACCTTGTTCTAACGAGTTCACGCGCACTGGACTGAGTGGCCTGAGTCACCAGCTATCGGCGGCAACATCTAAAGACTTCCTGCAAGTGGAAGATTTAACCCAAAGTGGTGGAACTCTGCGTTTTCAAGCAGTGCGACCCGGGAAGATCTGGCTAGCTGTCGTCGATCCCTCGCTGCAGAACAGTGGAGTGTTCACGACAGGCACACAGTTGGTCAACTTCGTAAACTCGCTGAACAATGGCGGTGACGGAAGCAACGTGAATGGCACGAACGGCACAGTCTTCCACAAAAAGTGCGCTCTGTCGGCACCTTTTGGCGTCAGTTCCGGTTCTTCATCTGCAGTAAGTTCATCATCATCGTCCAATTCAAGTAGCAATGATACCAATGGCACCTCCAACGGTAGCAATTTGACAACTTTATCAGCGTCCACCTCATCTTCGTCCTCAGGTAGCTCAAGCTCTTCTTCTGGGCTTTATGACGCCACTCGCGACTTGCCCTTCACCGTCTCTGGGGGATCTAGCGAAGACACGATCAACATCACTGAATGTGGTCTGCGAACTGGCATGGCTTACACCGTCTACGCGTATTTGACCGACGAGAACGGGCTCTCTACTGATGGCACTCTCATTTAAGGGTTGTAAGTTGACCTTGACCTCTCTGACAACTCTGGGGGGAGCATATCTACTAGGCCTATGTATTCCAAGAAGCGAAGGCATAGAAGACATGCAAAATAGAAGAGATGTCAACTTCCAACCACTAACTCTTCAGTCAGAACATCACGGTTCCCACTTCGAACGACTTCATCGCCGGTCCGGGAATGGTACGGATGTTACCGGTCAACCACGTCAATAGCTACCTGCGCACCTCGGTCAACATCTCTCTCACCACGGAAACATCGGGTAAAGTGTGGGGTGTGATTCTACCAGACAGGGATTTCCCGATGCCAACACCGACTGGATTCGAAATGGTCGCGGGCACGAGTGGGATCAACTCGTCCTCACAGTTGACGTACGTTAAAGACGACATGGCTGCTTCGACGGGGAGCAGTAGCTATGTGAGCTACGAAGACGCTTTGTACTGGAACATCAAGTACCTGGCAAGCACGTCGGTAGCAGGGGTCAAAGCGCCTGGCCGAAATGGTGCAGAAGAGTACATCTTTCCACCGGTGCCGAGTAACTGTAGTTTGGCTGGCATCTCTGTCGAGGTCAGCATCGAGGCTTTCCTAACAATGCCTTGTGCTTTGGTTCCAGAAAACTTGTACCGCCTGTATCTCTACGTGGAAGGCGATAGCACAGTCACTGGCGGCTATGGCGACTACAATCGCGGCGTGCTGTCGCACAAAGTGGAACTTATCCAGCACTACCGGGAGAAAATTTCGAATGCGTTTACTCTGTACCCAAGATTGCTCGATGCAGCAACCCAAGATCGAATCTTTTTCGAGATGCAGCCACTGATTTCCGGTTTGGCCTGGATCAAGGTTCTGCATTACGAGGACGCGGTTCTCAGTGGCGAGGTGTTAACTGCAAGTACCGGGAACTTCTCACGGTACAGCTCTGCAGACTTCTATGCCATCGAAAACATCAAATCAGGCGAAGTAACCAGCTTATGCGAACTCAAGGCCTTACTGTGGTCCACAGAGTTATCGACTTGGACATTGACAAACTGCAACCTGCTAATGGGGGAGAAGTACGTACTGTTTGCGTACGTAGAAGGTGGAGCAGGGAATGGAGCGCCTCTGCTGCCGATTTTAGATCCGAATGCCGGAAGTCAGGCCTCTGGTGCCGGCTTGAATTCATCTACTAGCTCTAGTTCGAATTCGTCCAGTAATGACAGCAATTCCTCGTCGGCTTCTGGCGCAGGGTCCTCAGGATCCTCAGGATCTGGCAGTGGAGCATCTTCGAGTTCGTCCGGCAACCTCCCCTCAGGACCAGTACTGGGTCTGATGGGTCCTGGCATCGTGTTTCGGCCAACCTATGCGAACTCCTTCAAAACCAAACCCTTCCTGTCGCAGACTGCGGCTTTGAACTCGAACTCGATCTCCGTGACCTTCCAAGCCAGTGAACCGACAGGCCGAGCGTGGATCACTGTGGTCGATCCGAGGCTTCCACCTGGCGGTAGCGGTCTCCGCACTGGCGCGGCAGCTGACTACGCCTTCGACCCAGCTGCGGTTACTTTGTCGGAACCTTTAAGGCCTCACTTACTCCATCTTTTACAACGGCATCTGTAACTAAGCTGTTTCGAGTGGAAAAATAGAACCAGATAAGGGAAAAGATGGATTGGAGTGAGTTCTAAAATCTGTCTCGACCTCCGTGACACCGCTTTTGGCGCCGGATCACACAGTTGACGAACTTCTTACCGCTTCACCGCACGACTGCTTGATCTCCAACTTGGCTATTGATGACTCTCTCCAAACCGTGGAACTGAAGAATTGCCAACTGATAGCTGGCCAGAACTACGAGATCAAAGTGTACATCCAGGACAGCATGAAAGGCGTCTTCGACGGAATCATGAGCGAATCTCTGGAAGTGAAAGTTCCGTTCCAAGACAAAGTGCAGAACATCTTCCTCAGCTATCCGCGAGCAGTGTCGACCCCGACTGCCAGTGGTCTCAACTTGACTTTCGTGCCCTCATCCAGAGCAGGTGTAGGCATCGCGAACATCCAGACCAGGGCTGCTGCGAGATCCGCCACGGTCGAAACAGTGCGTGCTTTCGCTGGCGCTCTGGGTGATCCGGTCAAATGTAGGAAAACCAATGAGCCTTTGCTCCAAGCTGGCGTAACACTGAACGACACGCTTACGCCTGTGAGGTTTGAATTCTCCAACTGTCAACTTGAGTCCTATCAAGAATACGCGGTTTTCGTCATGCTCATCGGCGCGGACGGAATGATCGAAGGCGCAGTTTTGAGCTCGCCACTGTACTTCACAGTCCAGCCGAGCAACGTTTTCACCGAAGATCCGGTGATGAGCTCTTCACCCTCTAGAAACACGGCGAAAGTCGAGTTCTTCTCCTTGAATGCAGGCTCAGCCTACGTCTACGTCGCGCAACAAGCGATTGCATTAACGATTTCAGACGCGAAAGCGCTAATCATGGCTCAGGGTCCGCCGAGCTGTCACGTTTCTGGCGAACCGATTTCCGCTGGCAAGAACACGATTGAGCTCACAGGCTGTAACCTCGCGAGCGGAAACAAGTACAAAGTCGTCGTTTACATCGAAACCTCAACTCTGGACACGATGCAAACCGTGAATGGGCAGTCGAAGTCCGCCAATGACGGCACTTTAACCTTCGTCAATTTCGAACTCGACTTTGCTGCTTCCAACACGTTCCTATTGTACCCAAGATTGACGTCTGTGCCAACCTTCCGTGGCGTAGAGTTCGAGTTTTCAGCCGAATTCATCGGCTTCTACTGGTCTCATTTCTCAAAAACTTTGTCGTGTCTAAGCGGTGCGGCGATTACACAGGGTGCGTTTCAACAGAAGAACGCGATTACGAGGATACCGAGGACACAGTCGATAGACGAATTCTTAGCGAATTCGCAAAACCCAAACTCCACCGTTTCGTCTATCACAGTGGATGGCTGCATCAAGACCGCAGTGCCGATCACGACTCCAGGCTTGCAGACTGTCCGCATGACCGACTGCGCTTTCGCGTTCAACGTCACGTACCATTTGGTGGTCTACATCTCTGGTCAGTCGCAGTCGGACGGTGTGGCTGCGCCACAGCCGATCGAAATCGTGGTTCCTACGAAATCTAACACCTTCTTGATGGAACCGGAGTTCCTCCAGACGCTCTCGATGTGCTGCGTGGGTCTGCAGTTCCAAGCTAGTCAGCCTCTGGGTCGTGCGTGGGTCAATGTCGTCGACAATGAAAATATCCCGTTCGTCTCAATCGCGACCATGAAGGGCCAATCGGCGTCCTTCGCGGGAATGGACCTGAGTATGGCAACGATGCAAGTGGGCGACCCTGCGAAGTGCTCTTTATCTGGCGTGACAATAACCGACGCTGTGCAGGACGTGCGCTTATCCGCCTGTGACTTCAAGGAGAACGGAATTTACGCGATCTTCGTCTACATCGAGGACTTGGACAACGATAATGACGGTTCGTTCTTCGGCCCGCTGGTACAACGCGCTCCTAGGTTTCCGACTGTGTCGAATACGTTCCAAGTCTGGCCGCATTTGATCACCGAGTCAACTCTCGGACCTGGTGGCCAAACGTTGAGGTTTACTCCCTTATACGACGGGCTGTATTACGTTTTGATTGTCCATAGTCTGGACAAAGACCGCATTACGACATCTACGATCAAAACCGCCATGACGGAATACGAATACCCGCCAGCCGATTTGTTTCCGAATTCAGACACAACGTGTCGAGCCAAGGGCCTACCTGGAATCGGAGGGCAGACTGTCACGTTCGAGATGACGCTGTGTCGTCTGCGTATGGGCTTCGATGCTCAGGTGTACTACATGTACGTCTTCGTCGAGGGACCGCCACTTGGCCAGTACTCGTTCTTACCGGGAACATTGTCTTGGCCGATAAAACTGACGGATGAAAATATGCAAGTCACGTATGCAATCGATGGAGCGCCAGTCACCTACGGCACACCGACTGTCAACGGCTTCAAATTCTCCCTGCGTCCCATGGTGGTCCCATCCGAAACCAGTCTCAAGGAGAACCGACGTCACACGCCGGACGAAGGTGTAGGCTTGTGGGCTGCGATCTTTCCAGAATCTGTTGTGCCAAGTCTCGAGATCGCGACTGACATCATTCTCCCGACCAAACTGATGCCAAAAGCTGTTAATTTCAGTGCTACAGAGGGTTGTGGTTATTGGGAACACCCAATAGCGCAGTACGACGTCCGTTCCCACTTCGAGTTCACGAACTGTCACTTACCTCCTGGCCAAGAGTACATGGCTGTCTACTACGTCGCGCCCATTGGACAATTGTTAAGGCTTGAGAATAGAAATACATCCATCTTTCATTCTCGGCATCTTGGGGGCCCCATTTATTTGAAGGGGAAAAGGGAAGCAAGATGCTGACCGCGATGGATTTAGGCAAGGTCTAAAATTGGCTGACAACTACAAGGGCAGTTTGGCCGTGACGAAGATCTCTCCCGTAGTGAGGCAAAGATCCAATAGCTTCTACGTTGCTCCATACGTGTACTTTGCAAATAGTACACAATTGATCTTAAGGTTGAAAGCAGAAAGGAGTGGCTATGCTTGGGGCGCGATCGTGGAGATGCGTGCGATTAACGAGACGAGTCAGAAAGTTGTTCGAGATAGACCCTGGACCTACGCGATCGGTGGCACTTGCTACTTCGAAGGACCGATCATTGGTCAGGACAACACTGACATTCACAGCTCGTGGACACTGAACAACATCTGTCCGATTCAATCTGGTGTGAGTTATCTGTACTTCGCGTACGTCTCGGGACCCGACAAGGACACGTTCGGGAGACTGAGCTTAGGAAAAGAGTTTTCCCACAAGTTCAACACGGTGTTTATCCGAGTGGCGTTCTTCCAGGGTATTCAGCACACTGGCGGTGCGCCAATCGACTTCTACAGGGTCTACTTGAACGGCACTTTGGAGCAGCAATCGCCCTACATCGAACGCGTCAGCGAAACTGGCTACTTGGATGTTCTGTGTATTTTGGGTAGGTACTACGACATCGCGATCTCGCCTAGAAACGCCATCGGATGGAGCAACTATCTATCCACGCCAGCTAGAATCCTCTGTGCGGAGCAGCCGTCCATGCCCTTCAACGTCAGGATTGCAGAGGATGCCAGTCTCAGAACGCCCACCACCCTGCCACTACGCTGGGACATCCCCACCTTCGATGGCGGTACCCCGATCACCGGCTATCGCGTCTACAAAACCGTTGGCACCGAGGAAACCCTCGTCTACGATGACAGTTTCAATGCTTATGGCGACCGGTCAATCGATGCCATTGTGGTTCGATACCGGGTGTCCAGTGTCACACTGTTTGGGGAATCTACGAAGACATTACCCCTAACGGTCGAATTGACAGCAGTGCCGCGTGCGCCGCCACGAGTCAACATCACGCGTGGCGGCTTGTCTGCTGTTATCATGCGATGGGATATTCCGAATGATGGTGGTAGTGGCGTCATCGGCTACGAAGTCGTAAAAGACGGCAAAGTGGTCCTCTATCCACCTCAAAATGCCTTCTTGATGGAACCCTTTGTCACGGATCTAGACGCAGAGTCTGTCACTTTGGAATTCAAGATGAACAAGACTGCTGGTTCGGTTTTCGTCATGGCACGGCCTAAGATCAACCGCATCTTGCAGGAATTGTCCTTGAAACTTGGGCCAGTGGAAACTCCAGAGGAAATGCTAGAGATATTCGAAAATGCCACCACCTGGTACTACGATGCAGATCGTCGGGACCCGACTAATCCGTTGGTGAAGAAGATGCGCTACACGACCGACGTCCACGGTCCGGAGACGGTCAATTGCCTGATGAACCAAACCTTACTCGAGTCTCATTCTCTTGGCGCCAACTATAATGCTACTTTGCACGGAAACGCGGACACGTTTGGCAAATCTGTGGAGTTCGATCCGGTCATCGTCAACATCAAGCTGGATGACTGCGATTTCGTCGAAGGAATCGAATATGAGCTCTACATCTTAGTCTCGGACAACAAGAACTACTTTGCGGAACAAATCAAGCGGTACCCGGTGTTCAGTAGGAATTTAGTCTTCACTGGTCCGCCTGCACCGTTGTCAAATCAGTACTACGCATTACCGGAGATAAAACCCAACATCGTGTTGAGTACAGATGGCACTTCGATTCGATGGAAAATGCGGCAGAATGCTACAGTCTGGGTCACTGTTGCGACGGCGGTAATGAGCGTCATGGTGCAGGGCGCGCATGAGATGAAGAGCTTTCTCGCACACGTGGGCAAATCTCACACTGGCTGCTTCGGAGACAAGAAACCGCGAAAAATCGATCAGTTTTGGCTCGGAGGGAACGAAACTGATGTGAAACTGCTTCCAGAACCACCGACAGCGGATACCAAACCGAGTTACGACACCCTAGCCTGGACAGAACTGGATTTGACGGGCTGTCAACTGCAGAATGGTGTTGAGCACGTGGTTATGGTGTACATCGAAGATACCTACGCGGCTTTGAACCCGACCTTTCCGAAGAGCAATACTAAGGGCCAGTTCTGGCGCATTCCGACAACGATTCGGGTACCGCCATTCTTGAACAGCTTCGCAACACTGCCGAGGCTGCTACAAACTGTGAGCCTAGTCGATTCCAATAGCGGCTTCGACATCGAGATTTTCCCAACCCAGCCGGGTAAGATCTGGGTGTGGATCATGCATCGACACTACCCGCGATTGCCGACAGATTCTCCGACTTGGTGGCCCTTGACGTTGATCAAGGAGATCCCAACTGGAGAGGTGTTTCCGTTTCCCTTCCGTCAAGCCAATGGGCTGGGTTCAACCAATGCGCAGTGTCTCAAGGTTAACATCGACGTCCCAGCTGGACTGCAGACGATCCGCCTAGCCAACTGTGGTCTAGTCGCCAATTTTAAGACTTTCCGAATTACATCCCTGCTCACTCTACGACCACCATCCTTGGCTCCTTTTCAAGGGGAAAATGGGCCAAGGATGTTCTGAAGAATGCAACTCGGCAACCTCTAACATCTTGCAATACTATCTCTACCTCTACCTGGAGGCGCCGGAGCAAGAAGGTAGCTTGTTGATGAAGGGTCACTTGACGTCTCCCGGTTTGCCATTAACGCCTGCTGGAACCGATCGTGTGAACTTTTTCGGCCACATGCCGGCTGTCACTTATGCGGATCCAAACATCATCCGCTTCACACTCAGCGTGAAGCATGACGGCTACCTGTGGTTGTTCCCTGTTCTGTCGACCGACGCCCGTTATGTCGACTCCGCAGCGATTCTGTCGCTCGGCACAGTAGCGGACAGCGCTCGTGCGCAAGGCAATCCAGCAACTTGCCGCTTCGTCGGAGCTTTGGTGAATAGTACCTCGACTCCAGTCGAGTACGAATTCCGAGATTGCGCTCTGGTCACCGGCAGGGAGTACCGGTTAGCAGCTTTGGTTAGCGATTTGGGCAGCAACCCACGACCTTCAACTAGTTCGGTCACTGAGGAAAACGAGATGTCTTTGTTCTACTTGCCCAGGACCAGCGTCGCGTTTACCCAGAGTCCACTGTTGACTGGGGAGTTCTATGCGCCGAAGCAGATGTCGATCGTAGGAGATTTGAGCACTTCCGTAGAAACAGCTGATATCCGCCAGATCGGAACCACGTTGGTGAGGCAAGCGAACAACGGCATGATCACGACCAAAGGTTTCAATGTAACCTTCTCGGTGAACGACAGTGCCACAGTCTTCGCGTTCCTCACCACAGAAGAAGAACACCAAACGTATTTGAGCGAGAACTTCATCGATGACGAAACGTTGGCGAGGTACGTGACCAACACGTTCACGAATCGCACTTTGAGCTTCCAATATGGCAATTACCTGATCACACCCTTGACGAACCGTTCTAGCTGTTACAAGGGGCCTCTGACGTATCCGCCGACGCCTGTGGGAACGCGTGAGTTCCTGAGTTTTACGGATTGCGGATTTGAGGTCGGCAAGATGTACAGGTTCTATCTCTATGCCGTAGGACCGACTGGAGGACTCGGTTCCTTCTTGCGTGGAGCGCCATTGGTGGTTTCGGAACTGCCGAAGGGCACGATCAGCAACTTCGAGTCGAATCCAGTTGTCATTGTGGCGAAGAAAGAGTTCGGCAACACGAATCGCGGATTGCTGCGTGCCAACACGACGGATAAGGACTACGTCTTCGTCGGGTTCAACGGCTTGACTGCCGTGATGAACGTCGCGGTGTCGGCTACGAAGGAGTATCGCGTAGTCTTCACAGTCTCCAAAATGATGCGAGCTTGGGTCCACGTTGCTCGCAGGGTCAATCACGAATTGCTGTTTTTGAAGCACACAGATACGGTAGTAGACGAGATCTCCTTCGACGACTTGATTCTCGGAAAACGGCAAGCTGGTGGCACCAAATGCAGAGTGGAGGAGGCCATCGTGCATTTCGGGAAGTCAGAGTTTCCATTGATCTGCGAAGAACTCAACTTCGGCATCTACGAAGTCCGCGTAGCTGTGCAAGACATCACCGATCTAGAGCGCCCGGGTCGCATCGCTTTCGCAGGTTTGATCTCTGTGCCCTACGAAGTGCCGACGATTGATACGGTGAATCTGCAGTACAAAGACCAGTTCCTGTATCCGTTTTACGGCGTGCAGCACAGTTACCAGATCCGTGCCGTGAATCGCCTTGGTGTGGGCGTGAATTCGCAGCCCTCAGTGCCGATTCTGTCTGCCGGACCACCTCCGCCGCCGTTCTTGAGAGTGTCAAACAGGACAGCCACGCAGATCAGTTTCACGTGGGGCGTGCCGTTTGACAACGGTGCAAGCATTGCGGCTTATGCAGTTTACAGGGACAACATCCGGGTCTTCTTGGGACCAGAAAATGCTTACACAGATGCGAACGTTTTGGGTGGAGTGACGTACAAGTACAGGTTGTCTGCTTGGAACGCTGCTGGCGAGGGAGAGAGAAGCAGGGAATATGAGATCAGCAGTTGCAGACTGCCAAACAAGCCTGCAGACTACAAGATTCAACATGCTTACACTGGATTCCGATTGACGTGGACTATGCCACCAGAAAATGCTTGCGAGATTATGGCTTTCATCGTTTACTTAGATGGTGTGGAGATTGACAGAGTAGCGAGTTTGCGCAGCAAGACGCCGCCTTTTTACTACGAAATCTCTGCCGCGAAGAACAAGTTGCAGTTGGGCAAGCAGTACAACGTCAGCTTGGCTACAGAGAGTCAAGGGGGTGAAAACGCGATTTTGTCGGAGGAAACCTTCGTTGCACCACCCACAGTCGGCCAGAACATCCTCGGTATCCACGAGCAAAAGCGTGGAGCGATTGTGCTAGAGTTCTTCCTCGAAGACGACGGCTATGCGAATACCTATCCAAGTTTTGCAACCTTGCTGGGTGAATCGCAGATCTTACCAGACGAGGATACTAATGAGACTTTGAATCGCATTGGAGAGGAAACTCGAGACGCTCTTTCAGAACTGGAGCTTTCTCAGCATGCAACTTTGTTTGCGCATGAAGACCCCAACGACAACGACTTGATCGCGAACCTAGGCTACGAGCGACGGTTTGTCGGAAGTCATGGTCTAGAGGCAGTTGAGGATTTGGAATTGCTGTCCACAAAACCAGGGAAAGTTGTCTACTCAAGTTTGGACGGTCCAAGATTAGTCAGCGACATCTTAGCGCCGCCACCTCCACCGCCTGCGCCTTTTGAGAGGTATCCACCGCCACCTGATTACAGAAGAAGACGACTGCAGTACGGAAGCTATTCGTATGCGCCAACGCCAAGTCCGACACCGAGTCCCATGCCAACACCTGCACCTAGTCCGAGTCCGGCGCCAACTCCGGCACCGACTCCTGCACCGGCAACCACTACTGTGGTATCATCGACGGCTGGAGCAGCAGGAGCTTCATCGGGTGCTTCTACCGGTTACACTCCACCTGATGTCGTGCAAGTGGATCGTGGGTACGGAGATCAAGGCGATTCTGCTTTCCAGATCGCTTCTTCGCGTGCAGCAGGGGGTCTCGGAGCTGGCTCTAACACCGCTGTTGGCGCATTGCCACTAGAACGAACTGGCACAGTAGGTGCTAGTAATACGGTTGGCTCAGTGTTGCCAGGTTTTACGTTCCACGCTGTGGATTCCAAGAGTTACAGTGTGGGCTACAGAACACATTCGACGGTTGAGGAAGTGTCCTTCCAACGCGCTTTGGACGAGTCGATGCTGTATATTGAGAACGAGCAAACGCGTGAGAAGTCCTTGGCGAAAGCTAAGCAGCGTTACGCTTTGCAACTAGGCGAGATTGATGCTGGAGGACCGACAGACCGAGAAACAGCAGTGAATAACTACCCAAAGATCGCTTACCGAGAACCAAACACGGATCTAAACGTCGCGCCACCAGCGTTTGCGAATAGTTCAGGACACGTGAGCTTCGTGAATCCGAGAGACGATACGTCTGAATCTTTGACGCGATTGTTGGATCCAAACCGGGTGTACCGTGAAGCAATTGCGTTGCCAACAGCGTCTGCTCAGATGAGCGTTAAGGCTTCCGGGAATCCATCTTCAGAAGCATCTTGGGGCACCTGTCTAATGGAAAAAGAGACCCAAGACGACTCTCAAGATGGATTCCCGGTAGATCTAAGCGCAGCGCTGCATCGCCGACGTCTCCTTTTACTTCGCTGACTGGCGGTCGCACCAACGGGGAAGGTTTAACTAATCCTGGCACTTTTCTGCAAAGTATCGACACTCTCCAGAACTACTACAACCCAGAGGGAACAGAGCGATTCCGCGCAATCGGACGGACAAAACAACAGGGCAAGGAGACGCAGAACCATCCACATCGGATTAGCTTCAGAGGCGATCCGTTCCTCGAGGACACGATTGAGACGGTGAAACTGAACGAAGACCCAGATAGGTTCTTCATCGACGGAGTCAACCCTTTCGCCAGGGCGCATTTAGTCCGCATGGGTCTAGCTGGGCTAGCAATGAAGCCAAACGATGGCTCCCCTGCCGACAGCTTCTTCGCAGGTGAGAGATCCAGAGTTGCGACCAGCGAACCTAGCAGGTATCTGATCCCGAAGCCACGCCGTTCTGCTGTGGGGTATTCGAGACGCATCGTCCGCATTCGCATGGAAGTTTTAGGCCTGGAGTACAAGAAACGCTACTGCTTTAGAGTCTACGGTAAGAACCCCTTGATCCCTTATGACGCGTTGTACTCGCCTGAAATTTGCGCCGTCGCAGCGCCAGCACCAGAACTGACCTATGCAGATCTAGAGTCTGGCCAGGAACCTAATGAGTTTCGCGTACGTTTCCCACCCGCTCAGGGTGATGACGTCGCAGCCTACGAGGTTGTCGGTGTGTATCGCGAATTGACCACCGCTTTGCTGAAATCGTTGACTCGTGTCGTCAAAGCAGAAAGCACCATGGACATCCCGCTCACCTGTGACTATCTGGAAGATAGTTACGAGCGGATCTCCGTCAGAGCCATTTCGTCCACTACCGGTTATGGAAGACCCCAGCTGTTCCACAACATCTCCTGTACTCTACGACCAGAAGTGTATCCACCTCGAGTGCAGCACACCAAGATCATCAAAAACAACGGCCAAGACTACTGTCAACTAACCGTCGACTTCCAGCCAGCAGCCGGTGATGGAAACGCTGTCTACGAATATCAGCTGTTCATCAAGCCGCAAGGAAGCAACGAGCCGTTTAAATTGGTCGGTTTGTCGACGCGAAAACCGGATAAAGACCAAGTGAAAGCAGTGATGCTCGCCGCAGCAGCGGAACAGAACACAGTGTTGCTACCGGATAAGGGCTACTTGGACCAGGTGACTGCGAACGGGAGTGACTCCTACCGCTACAACTACAACTGTGCTGTGGAGCCTGGTGACAGGGATCCTCCAGCAGCCTCTTGCGCTCTCACAGACCCAAGGCTACTCCATAACGATACTCGTGAGTACTGGTATCGCTTTACGAGTTCGTATTTGAACAAAAACGGAACGACCGCTGTAGACTACGAGAGTGCTCGGGTACCCGCTGATTTCCTCTACGACAACAGCGCGTTTGGCAATGCAGAGGATCCTCTAGATGGGGTTCAAAGTGTCAACTCCTTTGCTGGCATTGCAACGGTGGAGAACCTGGTTTCGAGAGCTGAAAATCGAGCAAAACTGCAATCCGAAACCGAACCAGCGTTGCAGCACGAAAGTGACAAATTGGTTACCGACGGTACCACCAGGCAACGTGTTGGAGCGTCGTTGCGGTATTCCAATCGGTACGCCTACACCAAGTCCATGCTCCACCAAATCACGATCATGGAACGTTTACCATCAAGTGCTACCGACAACTACAACCGCGCAAAGGACCCTGTGGTGGCCAAATACGACGCTTTCATTGTTGGCGCTGGCGCGATGGGGCGTGGTGTGTCCGAGAAAGCAGAACTAGCTTGTGTGAACATTCCGACGCCACCTAGAAACGTCAGAGTTGCCGACTACGAACCTCAGGAACGCAGACATATCGAGGTTACGTGGGACGCGCCTTTGTCGGATGGTGGCAGTCCAATCGTCGCTTATGAGGTGCACGCAAACAGGAAGTTCCTAGCCAGAGTCACAGGTGGTGTGACGAGAGCCTTCATCCCGATAGCTGGCAACTTTGAGCACCAAATGGGCTACGAGTTCGTCGTCACGGCGTTTAACGCGTTCAATGACGCTAGTCTGAGTGCTCTAGATTCTGCACCGCCGCAGAGGACGAAGTTTTTGGGTCGTGCGAGGACGGAATCAATTGGTGATCGCAGTAGGGGATTAAGCAGTTCACATCCGCCGACGCCTTGGTTCGCAGTTTTGCGACAAAGCGTTCGCTCACCAAAGGTCTATTGCATGAGTCTGGACAGCAATTACCTAAAAATCGGCTTCGAACCTCTACAGACCGATGGAGCTCTGCCAACGACCGAATACCAGGTTTACGTGACGCATTTCGAAGCCAGTGCAGAAAAAGAGCGTTTGATCTACCAAGGACCACAGAACTTCGTGGAACTGTATCAGCTAACGGAAGGTCTGGAGTACAAATTTCGTGTGCGAGCCAAACTAGCAGACGCTATGTGGTCGAAATTTGCTGAGTTCGTACAAGCACCTTGTGGTTTGCCAGCTGCGCCAACGAACCTGAGACTGGAACTCTACAATCGATCCACAGTGAGTCAGGAATTATACCTGTCGAAGGGTGTGCACCTGTCCTGGGACCCCAGCAGAACGTCAGCAGGCTGCAAAGTAGATCGCTACCTAGTGTTTGGCGCGCATAGCACCTACAGAAACCAAAAAGGCCGAGGAAGGGAGTTCTTGCTGTCCCGCGATGACCGACACGCTCATTACCGCGAATTCTTAGGCTTTACGTCGTTCAACGAGTTCTACTTCGCGAACGACGATCGAGTAAGAAGAGGAGAAAGCTGGGAATTTGTCGTTTTCCCAGAAAATGCGCGTGTGCGATTCGGAGAACCGATGGTTTTGCCGAACCTGAAGGTGTATCACCACTACCCTTCAGCCGTCAAGTACGACTGGGCTTACTTAGAGCATGTTGACCGAACTTACTACGCGTTTGGCAATCCGCTAGCAAGAGATCCACGCAAAAAAGCGCCTAGGAAAGGCGTTCCAGGGAGTTTTGCTAGTTTCTTCGACAGTTCAAGTGCTCTTGGCATGGATGAGAGAGTTGGACGCTTACCAGCAAACTTGGGTGCCCAGCCTTTCAGCGACCCGGTCTTCCAGCAGACTTCGCAGACCTATTTGTCTGGTGTCGAACCCTTTACGGATGGCGCCTACGATTACGCTGGTGAAAGTCTAGTGGAGAATCAGAATCCGAATTGGGAATTGAGCTTACCTGGAAGTACTGTTCTCGTGCATCCAGACTTCACGCACGATCTCGAATTTCAGCAAGATTGCATTGCGATTCCTGCTAGGAAAGCCTGTGGCAGCGAGATGGAGAGCAGGTATTCTGAAGAAATTATTCGTAGCGGACGCAAACCAGATGGCACGCCTTTGAATGTGCGACAAATCTTGACCAATGGAGTGCCGAATCACGTCTACGACGACGCTGGGAAGGAGGAAAGCAACCCTACAGTGATCTGCGAGCAGCCGATGATCTTCCGACTGCCTCTCAACCCTCAAGTGGAGTTTCACGCTGAACCAACTCCGATCGGCATCACAGGAGTTCTGCGGTCTGGTGGTTTCGTTTTGAACCACCTAGGACAGCATCAACACACGACGTTGGCGGAAAAACTAGCAGCGAACAAAGTGGCGATGCACCCAGATGTGGAGGGCAAAATGCTAGACGCGTGCGATGGTCATGCAAGTTTCGGATGTGAATACGGCTATCACAGCTTTGTGAGGCGCGATGAATGTGCGGCAGATTGCAGCTGGCGACCATGCAAGCTGATCGGTTTTATGCTTGACGGCTTCCCGATTTACTCACAATGCAACGGATTGCGATCTTGCTATCACTTGAAACTAGTGCAAGACGATTCGATTGTGGGTGATTTAGCGACGGACTATGTCTATGACCCAGTTGGGGAAAGGTACAACAAGCCTTGCGATCTCGACGATGCAAACGGTATGGACTTCACTGGGAAAGGTATAATGGACGACTTTGGAGTCGAAATTTTCGGCTATGCCTACGTCGCGACAGATGAGTACCCGTTTGTCCCGCCAAAATTCAGAGGGAAACCGGTTCTGAGAGACGCACCAGATGCGCGTGGATACATAGATTACACGACTCTTCCAGACGCAAGGCAGATTCCAGTCAATCCCAGAGTGAAATGCCAACCAGATTATACACCTTTCACTGGCGATTTCGATGACAAGGCTTTGGCGATTGCAACTACAAACGCGTACCACAACACCACCACGGATTATTATCCTCTGCAGTACGAGGATCACACCAGCTATCTGATGCCCTACGTGGTGCCGAGTTCCAGCCACATCGCTTCTGCGGGTGTCTGGTCTACGACGAAGAATCTACGACCATACGGCGAATCTGACATCCCCAGCCCCATCGACTACTACGCTCAGGGCCAAATTTTAGACGAACGCTTCAACACGGCGTACGAATGGCCACCCTATGCGGTAGAGAGCACGACATTGGCTATTCCGCCGACTGCGCCGCGTAACGTGCGCAGAGTCTACCCACCAGACACCTTTGCCACTGACTTCTGCACGTTCAACAACCTGGTCAATTACAAAACACCGCTTGTCTACGGACCTAACGGCACTGTCAACAGGTCAGACCCGAACTGGAACTACTTCAACACCATCGAGAGTTCCAACTCTCTACGAGGAGGCTTAATTCCCATCGAATGGGAGCCACCGTTGTACAGTGGCGAACTCCCAGTTCTGGGCTATACGGTCCAGGTGAACCTAGGAGGCAGCAGGGACAACGCGATGTACGTTTTTGCCAATATCTCCGGTATTAGCTACTACACGGAGCTGGACAGACATGACAAGATGGTGGTGAAGAAGCTGAGGACGTGTATTCACAGCTTGGACGACGACTTTTCGAACGTGCTGGGTTTAAGGGTAGGTTAAAGGTGCTTTTCTTACCGCTTTTTATGCCTTTCTCCCTTAGGAGAAAGGCATAAAAAGCGGGGTAAGCAAGCACCAAAAACCTACCTCTAATGGGTGGAGGCCGACTCTACGGCGTGCGCGTAGCGGCGTTCAACCAGCTGAACACGCGCGGCGAGCCCAGTGGCTTTGAAGGGGCGTCGGCTTATGACAGAAACGACCGACGGGATCCTTTGTATAACTGGCGCAATAGCCAGTGGCCGAACGATTTCGAAAAACCGGAATTGCTCTCTTGGTCGGAGCCGAACTACTTCCTGTCCTCTTCTGAGTCCGCGAAGCCGCCTCAGCCGATCGACATTCGCGTTGTCCGCAGAACGGAAACAGCGGTCTTCCTGTCGTTCGATTTGCCCTCGGCTGCGACAGATTTCTCGGAAATGATTAGGCGCTACGGTGTGGAGACAGGTTTGATTCCGGAGGAGACGAACGATACTCTCTCGTCTACGATAAATGGTCCCAACGCCAGCTACCTGGAGACAATTCCTTGGTCCTACTTTGCACTAGAGGCGCAGAGGAACCAGCACAATCGCATGTCGAGGGAGGATATGAAGTTCGACTACCAAGTGGCTGCTTTGCAATATTTCCAAAATGTGACTGCGAGGTTCAACGATCCAACACCGTATCCATTCACCAATAACGCGACGAACGTGTCGAATTGCACAATCAATGGCACAATCTTTGCAGATCGGGAGTACATCGACGCAAATGGAACCTTGCAATGCGTGTACAACGATTCGTTTGCGGCATTGAATACTACTAGTAGTGCAGTACCAGAACAGCTGTTGTTGTCCAACGCATCAACGGCCAATGCTTCGATCCAGCGATTCCCCCTTTCGCCGTTCCGACCTCTGTGCGACTACTATTCTCGCTGTTTCTTCACTGTTTACGACGATACGAACTTCAACCAATACGTGCCCTTCATCGACCACCAATTCAACAAGGTGATGTGGAACGGAAACAGCCGACTCGCGGTTTTAGAGAACCTCACACCCGGTCAAAAGTACAACATCTCTTTGACTTTCGCTACTGATGCGGGTGAGAGCGAGAGGACGAACTTTGAGTTTGCAGCTGGATTTGTGCCGGTCATGCCGGAGAGGGTTTTGAGAGCGCAATGTGTGGATTGCAAGCCGCCGAGGAACTTGACAGACGAGGAAACGCTGCGCTGGAACATCAGTTGGACCACCTTCATGGAGGAAGATCCGGAGTTCACGAAATATTTCCCCATTTTGAGCTACGAAGTTTTGGTGGTGGACTATTACCAAGCAACAGTGGCGAGTGAAACGATTGCAGCGGACGAAGCGGAGGAAACGCAGTATGTTGGGTACACGAACGAGAGTCATTACTTTACACCATTGGCGGATCCGAGGATACAGCCAGGTTGGCGCGGAGGCAGCGGAATTCCGCATTTAGATCACCCGAATCGCTTGTTGCCAGTAGTGAGTGGCGATGTTTTCGATGAGGTCACTGGAGAATTGAAAATTAGTGACGGATTAAACTTTTCCTCCACTTTTGCCAACTTCAGCTACAACGTCACGACCTACCACCTGTCTGAGCAGTTTTTAGAGCTGGATTTGCAGCCGACAAAGCAGTATTCGATTCGCGTACGCGCGCAGAATGTGGTTGGGCTTGGTGCTTGGAGTTTCTTACGCGATTTCATGGTCGCTGCACAACCGACACCACCACGGAATATCGAGATCACTCACGATTCTGATCGGAGCGTCGTCTTGCATTGGGCTCCGCCAGTCAATAACGGCGGTTCGAAGGACAACCGCTTGATCACAATCGCTTACTACCAATTGTACGGCATTTTGGCTTCCGAGGGCGTCGCAGTGCAAGTACAACCTCTGCTGTCCTACATCTACGATACGCATTTAGAATTAGGAGGTCTAGGCCCTGGGGTGTTCAAGGAGTACGCTATTACGGCTATCAACACGGCGAAACAAGAGTCCGAATACCTGAAGTTTGGCCTGCATGTGGGATTGCCACCTAGAAAAATGGCTGAAGTGAATCTGCACAATGTGACCAACACTAGTGTGTTCGTGTCTTGGACAAAGCCGACTTCAGCTTTGCCGATTCTCGAGTACCAAGTCGCGACAGATCCTTGGCCAAGTTACTACGCAGCTGCGAATTTGACCTCGAAATTCAATAGTACTACGAATGCGAGTGAAGAAGGCAGGATCGAGGAGACTGTGCAGGTTCCGCCGCCATCGAATTCGACCATCGTCTTCTCCGGTTCAGCGGATGCGAGTTTCGAACTCACGGACTCGAGTGTGGTGGTTACTGGTTCTTTTGTACGGTTAAAAGTGCGTGCCAAGAACGTCAACGGTTACGGGCCATGGAGTGAGGCAAAGCAGTTCTTGATCGGCGATTGGTTCGAGACGTATTTGCAACCTCCCAAACTGTCGATCCCTAGTGCGAGTGAGACGACAATCACGGTAGCGTGGAAAGATTCGGTCACCGCGTTGGCGAAGACGGAACATCTAGTGGAGTACGAGGTTTCTTGCGTGAGCAAGCGGGACAACAGACTGGCAGAGTCAATTCGCGTTAGGCGATACGGATTGGGACAGCAAAAGTTCACCTTCGAGAATTTATTAGTTGGTAACTTGTACAAGCTCACTGTAGCAAGTTGCGATGCGAATAGTTGTGGCGCAGTTGCTGAGATCGAGTCCTACGCAGCCTTAGTGCCAATGCCGCCTTTGGCGCCATACAGAGTATTCGTGCCGAATCCAGTGAACGCGAGGACACAGGATTTGTGTCCAGAAAGGCGCTCTTACGATGTTTTCTGGACCATGGACACGGAAAAGCCAGGTCAGACGGACGTCTTCTGCCACAAGGCTGTGAGGAACAACTTGACCACAGTAGAATTAGTCGAGCGAGTGAACGTGAGTGAAATTTTCAATGCGACAAGCAATCGAAGCGAAAACGTCTCCGTTATGTACTATGAGAACGTTAGCACTACAGCGGAAGTCGAGACGGCACCTGCAGAGATGCTCAACACCACACTCGTCGTTGGTTGGGACTTGATCAAAAATCGACAAAGGGATGGCGGATTGCCCATCGAAAAGTACAAGGTCTACGTGTCTGACGTATCGGATGCGGAAGGTGGTGTCTTTTCTTTGCTGGGGGAAGTAGATCAACCATTCTTGAAGGGAGCAACGAGCTACAGTGGCGGACTCTTCATCTTCAAAGCGTGCGAGGCAGATGACGTCCGAAGCGCGTTTGAATTGGCGAATACTCAAGAGGACTACGATTATCGGTATTTGCCTGCCAGAACGGCGTCGACCTACTACAGCGGAAGCGGAGCTTTGGAGGCGGAGAATGAGGCGAAATTCGCCAAATTGCAAAGCAGTTCTGCTGCTGCTGGCAGTCTAACGGATCCGACAACGCTTACCTCCAGCAATCCGAACGCCTCAACATCGAATCCGACTGGCGCCCTTGGACGCTACTACAAGGTTTCTGCAGTTAATATGGTCGGCGAATCGCCACTCTCACGTGAGAGTTTACTCTATTGCGGTCCTGTGCATCCGCAACCAGACCCGATTGCGCCGAGTGAGGTCGAAGTGGTTCAGCCAAGGTCTGACTTGCGTGTGAAGCTTCCTTGGACCTACAACGGTACCATTGACAACCTCGGAGACTATCAGACGGTGGACAACCTGATGCGGTACGAGCACGAAAACAAGGTTGTTGAAACCGCTAGCAGGGGTAAACTTGCGGGAACGCCACTGACGGCGACGAACTTTGGCGTTACTGTGGGATCCTTGTCTGCGACATCAGATGTGCAGCTTCCTCCAATTAGCAAGATTCAGGTCATTCTCTACATCGAGGAAACAATTCCATCCCTCGGTGATCGCGACAAGCAGTGGGTCTACGCGCAAGCAGATGGTCACTACAAGCACGAAGAGCAGTACCACAGGCGCATGGCGGATCGATACTACTACAAGAGTCAGGAATTCTTGCCTTTCCTCGAGAGTACCTTCAAAAACTCACGCTTGACGGAACTCACGTCTTTCAAGAACCGTGCATCCTACTACCGCTACAAACAGCCGTTCTACTACAACCACTACGCGGACAATCCGTACCAGCAGATGTTAAGGCTTGAGAAAATCCATCTTCACAGGCATCTCTGTCCCGTTTTCAAGGGAAAAGGAGATCCAAGATGCTCACCGCGATGGATTTCTGCAAGGTCTAAAGATGGTGAATACTTTCACCATGTGGAATTCGGTAGCGGACAAATTGCAGAAGACTGGAGGAAACTTCGCTTATCGCGAGTTCGCAAATGTCACTTTGACAGACCCGTTCACCTCGCACTACACGTTCGAGAACTTGCGCGAAGGAAACTACTACTGGATCAAATACAGGGTTGGATCGCCCATAGGTTGGTCTCAGTTCTCTGCCCCAAGTCGTTTCTACGCGTCCAAGTTGCCGACAAAACCCATGCAACCATTTGGCGTGAATGCTAGTGTTAACGCTTTAGAAATCGCGTGGTCGTACGATGACGACACAACCTTCGCTCTCCAGAACAAAGATATCATCTTCTGGAAGGTCTACGTGCATGAAAATCCGGTTTTTTCGGAGAAAAACGTGTTTGCGAAGACTCCAGGACCGAGGTACGTTCACGACTGTGTCGCGACCAACCATTCGCAAGCTCAGCTATACTTCTGGGTAGCAGGCGTCAACGGTGCAGGCGAAGGCGTGAGGAGTGACGTTTTGAGATGGAGCTGCAGTGGTAACAGCACCTTAATTTACTGATTGTGCTTGTTTCCTTCGTCTCTGTCGTCATAGTTTGTAGCACTTTGTTCTTATACTAGGACCAGCATTATATTCATAATATTGAAGATGTAATCTTTGTCCTTCTGCAACAGATATCCCGGCCCAGCCTCGACCGCCGCAAATGTACTACTACACCGGTCAAAGCGGGTACGTGTGGGACTTGCTCGAGCCTAATAGGAGTGACTACGTCACTCTCAATTGGACACACGGTGAAACCTATGGCGCTGACGTGGTTGGCACCAAGCTCATCTGTCAAGGCAATGAGAAGGAACTGCCTTTGCGTGTGTTTTACAATCGGCAGCACGAAACTGTCGAGGCCGGTTTTGGGGATGGCCTCTTGGAGAGGGCGTTTTTCATTGAGGGCAGAGACACGACGATTGTGAATATCACGTCGTTTAACCCTACGCAGGAGTACATGTGCAGTGTGGCAACGATATCGGATGTAGGCGAATCAGTGAGGTCTCACCCACCGACGTTCATCCAGATGGCGGGCAAGCCTTTGGCGCCACCTTACGCGCCGAAATACGTGTCCTCAACGCTGATCCCGAACCCGTCGATGACCATCGAATACGATCCGTCGAGTATAGGCGTCAATGGCGGCAAGTTGAAGTCCATTTACATCTACGTCTCAATTGATGGCGTTTTGTGGGAAACGACCTACCTCCTGCAGCCTTACATCTACAACTTGGATGACGTCAGTCCGCCCTACTACCACGTCCAAGACTGCCGCGACCCCAAGTTACAGGGTGACAGGGAGAAGCAATTCCTGTGGTTCCGGTATGCGGGTTATACCGAAAACGGTCTAGGAGGCTTGAGTCCTGCTTTGAAGAAGCGTTGCAGTGCCTTTATGGCTACAGGAAAAGCTGTACTCATCCTCAACAAGAGACTTCTACGCTACTATAGCCTCATCTAAGTAGAAGACTGCCACTGCCTCTTTGCTTGAGTATCTGAGTACACTTGTTTTTGCTTTCATAGCTTTGCCAGCCTTTCCCTTGCCAATTGAAGTCGCAGATCGGCGCTACAATCCTGAGTCGGAACGTGGTGAAATGCTAATGACCTGGCAAATGCCGAATCTGTATGGTGCGCAGCATGTTGCAACCAAGATCTGGTGGGATTACGGCATGTCCTACGCCGCTGGCGATCCAGGTTACAGGTTCTTGGCAACGATCACGGACACGACGCAAATGACCTACTGGTTGAGGAACTTGATCCGCGGGCAACGCTACCGAGTCCGCTATTCCATCGTGTCTGACGTAGGGGAAGGCCCAAGAAGCGACGCAGTATCGAAACTCTTCGCAGGACCAATGCTGCCAGCGCCGAAGCCGATTAGGGCCAGTTCGCAGATGAGCTCTGTACAAGTCCGCTTCGTCTACGACCCCACAGAACTGTACACGGCTTTGGAGTGTCAACCAGGAACTTGGACTGTGTACACGAGTACAGACGGCTTCAATTGGAACTTTGCGACGCCATATGGCACGACAGGGTGGACGCAAGGTACCATAACCAACTTGTTGGTTCTTCCTTCTAAGTTACTTTGAAATCTTGATGAACGATAATATTGCTTTCCATTTATTCATCAAATAAATTGAAATTGTATCAACAGCTGGCGGCACGATTCAAGTCACTGGTAGCCCTCGGACTTACGTCTGGGTTCAGGCAAAACTCTCAGCCGGCTTCCAATGCCCAGAAGGCCTCGAGGACGTTTGGACGCCGGTCGAGAAGTTCTTTATTGGGCGTACGCCAGCGACAGTCGGTGCTATTCGCAAGGTCAGTAGCACGCAGAGCTCTATTTTGTTCAAGATGGAACCTGGCCTCATCTTTGGGTGCAGACTTGAGGGGTTCGAATTTCGGTACCAGAAAGCATACCTGAAACCTGGTGACTTTGGCCCAACGATTGAGCACTACGTCCACGTACCAGCAGTGGTTGGAGATGCTCATTCCGAGTACAACTTGACGAATCTCGAGTTCGATGTGCCCTACCGAGTGCAGTACAGGGTGATAACGGAATGTGGAACGTCGAATAGACAGGACGACAATAGTGCAGCGAGTTTGTTCTACACAGGAGGGTTGATGGATCCACCAGACGACGCTTATCCGGACAATGGAAGGACCACAAACGCGCAAATGGCCTTGATCTGGCCCAAGTGGGGACTTACACCGGGACACGATACTTACAGAGGTACTTCTGTTCATGTGCTGAAATTAGACTTTGAGTCATGCTCATGTACGTAGGGAAGATCCTATTAAAATTTTTGTCGTTCGTTGCCTCCATTCAACACCTAGGACAACGTTCCTAGTAACTAACAAACTAGATGTACTAGTTTTTCTTTAAAAATACCGACGTCGATGACAAACATTACATTTTCAATATCTCCTCCACCGTTTTTATCGTGCTCTCTCACAAGGTACATTTATCTGTATACTGTTTTTACCTCTCACCAGGTCCAACATTTATCTAAGAAAAAGATTGAGACTCCTTACGCTTACACCATCCTCTCTCACCACCACCAGGCACAATCTATCAACCGGAGTACTACATTTACATGTCGACGGATCCCAACCACTTTCCGGAGAATCCGACAGCTGTGATCCCCACTAAGAGCCCTGAGGCTGCAGACTATGCGATCTCACCCAGTACGGAAACTCGTCTTTTTGTTTTTGTGAATTATAGATGAATTAGAAGTCAACATCATAGTTTTTATGATACATTTTCATTTCATAAATATATCACCTCTTCTTTTGTAGCAGCCAGTTTCCTCGTGTACTAGCTTTTCAGAAATTATATCACAATTTGAGAATCTTCTTGCTTCATGGATATTAGATTCATTTATTAAGAAGCTCATCTTATTTCTTCTCTTCCTACTCTCCCCAAGCTCATCTCCTTCACAGATCCTGAAATCACGTTTTCTTGCAACTTGCCGGACCATGCCGCTGTCGCTGGGGGCGCCGTAAACCCTCCCGCTGTTGACTTCCGAGAAGGGGGCGCGGTGTATGTGAAAATGGTGCTCTACGACGTGGTAACTGCGCGTTTTGGCACCCCAACAAGGATCCAGAAGTTTTAAGGCTCACAATTTCACTTCCAGTTCCAAGGGACATTTGCATTTTCTTCACTTTCCCTTCTTAGGATTCTGAAGAAATGAAGGGAAGAAATCAATTGTTTTAGGCTCTAAGAGTTCCTGTGCACGTTCTTACCGCAACGACCGACATTGTCAGTGGTAGAGACCTCGCCGACAACGTTGACAGTAGGCTGGACTGACGTAGACTGGTTCAAGGCGGAATTTGTGTACATAAACTTGCTCGCTTTGATGTCGATGTGACTTTGTGGTTTGATGAGGTCTTCAAATCATAGATAGCACACCATCAGCCACACTTGTTGGTCGTTTATTCAAATCACAAGCACTAACACTTAAGTTACCAGATATAAATATCACTATCCCGTCCTGAAAAAGGAAAACATGTTTCACTTTCCTCCAAACATGCTATCAAATTCAGTGCCTTCGCTCTCTGGATCGATGACGGGCTTGGTGGAACGATGATCAACGTCATGAACGTGACCGACACGAATCAGCGACAGGTCCAATTCGACAACCTCTACGCAGCACGGCTCTACACTGTGCAGATCAACTTGATCTCGACGGCAGGACATAGCCCGTACTTATAAAAATTGCTTTGATGATATTTGACTTGATTTCGACGGCGGGACATAGCCCGTACTTATAAAAATTGCTTTGATGATATTTGACTTGATTTCGACGGCGGGACATAGCCCGTACTTATAAAAATTGCTTTGATGATATTTGACTTGATTTCGACGGCGGGACATAGCCCGTACTTATAAAAATTGCTTTGATGGTTATTGAATATATCGATGCTGCACTGGGTCTGGGTCTGTTGATACAGTAGATCTACAAACATCTAGATTTAATGCTATAATCATCTTCTTCGCTACAAACATCTAGATTTAATGCTAATGATCATCTTCTTCGCAGTTTATTGAAGAATGCGGTCGTGCAGGACAGGTCGCTTATCACAAAACAGATGCCAAAAACCCTAAGCCCTAAGCCCAGGCCCTCCACCCTCTACAAGTATTCACAGGAACATAAAAATGCTCTACTTCTGCTCAACAGGTACCACTCCACCACCGCATACACGTGCTCTCTTCCTGAGAGGCAACCAATACCGTATCCGGTCAGAACGTCTATCTCGAATAGTCTCAATGTTGGATGGGAGTTACCAGGCTATGATGGTGGCTGCCCATTGGTAGGGTGGCGATTGATAGAACGAGACGTTGGCGCAATACTTGAGGATTTCAACGTTTTTCCGAACAGTGGACCGATCGATTACCCATTGGCTGTTGGTACTTTTGGCAAAAGTTGAAGTGGTTTCTTGTGCTTTAAACAAACACACAAATTAATACTTACAAACCGAATAAGAATTTATTCTCGTATCTATTTTTATCACACCTGCTTCTATTCGAAAACTCAAAATATGCGAGTTTCTGACTGAAATAAGGGAGGTAGCTTAACGCCAAGTGGCTACTCTCCCTTCTCAAGAGTATCTCCGTTATTCTGATCAGTTACTTGCTAATTTCACTTTTTCGAATATGCATATTCTCTCCGCTCCAGTGCAGCATATCCATCTTGTTCTCGTATCTACTTATTACCACACCTTCTAACAACGTCAGATATTTAAGTAGTTCAAACCGAATATATTCGCGTATCCATTACCACACCTTCTATCTTCCCAAATACCACCAGGTCTCGACGCCCAATTACGGCAGTACGGGCCGCTGACGCAGGGTGTCAACCTCAACGACACGACAACTGCCTACCTGAATGGCCAGGTGCGTGAATTCAAGCTCAGAGTCTTCAACCTGCGAGGTTTTGTCGATTCGCCGTACACCTTCATCACCATCGGACCTGTACCTGAAAAAATGGATCCACCATCGATAGGTAATATAATTTTGACTTCCTCTAGTACTAGCGGAGATCATTGTGATTGATATTGATTGCATTAGCAGCAACGAGGTGAAGTGATTATTTCAGCAGGGCACACTGGGTCTGAGTACTGAACCCCATTTGATTTGTTATCGAGAGTTATACCGTCGTGTAATAATTATTTCAGCATGTTGGAGTCCTTCACATTATTTTGTGCGTTGTTCATTTTCTCATAGAGTTTTTTTGTGCTCCTGTTTTCTCCCTCCTTTTGCACGGATCGATGAGAGATTTTGGTTTTCAGACTGAGCTGAACGAATTCATTCGACACAAGAGCTCCTGCTTTTTTATTCTATCCACCACAACCACAACCACTAGCACTGAATGAATCTTCAAATAACCTCGTTAACCTTAGATAGTCGAAAAAAGTATTTCACGCTTGAGATGAATCTTGTTCAAATAGATCAAAAACTCGTCACTGTCATATTAACAACTGTTCATCAGATACTCCCACGCTCTCTGGTCCCACAAGTATCTTCTTGCAGTGGAACATCACCGCTGACACCATGCGAGGCATCAGCCCCAAGGGCTTTGCGGTGTACCGAGACGAGGGCCACTTAAACTCTACTTTATGGGGAACAGGATCATCAACCCATCTTTTAAAAAGCCATCTTTATCTTGGCAGTTCTCTCTTGGAATAAGGGCCTCGTCCATGAAGATGATAGAGATGGGTCGTTAGAAGTACCTCTAACTACTCCTGTGGACTTTGCGAATCTTAGAGCTATTGACCTGGCAGGCAGCCTAGAGGATGGGGTCACAGTTCCCGATCCCGCTTGTACAGCGCAGGCCTTTGATGGCGCTTGTTATCCGGAATTACCAAGCTGGGACACAAGAAGCTGCGTGCACAAGCCAGTATATGACGTGGCGCATTCGAGAAACTGCACGATAACAGGCCTGGAGCCGAATACATACTACAGGTATATTCATTACACCAGGAATTCTAGTTCTTGAATTTAAATGAAGGTTTTTGAACTTGATATTGTCGTGTTGAATTTGAAAACTAAAACATGTTCTTCGGATGAATGCAAAACACATGCTCCTCGGACGGATGAATGTGACATTTACAAACTTATATTGCCGAATAGATTCAATTCATCCAGAACGTTCATTAATCACCGTAAAATCTAAGTACAAGTCAGAACCCACAACCCCACCCCTTCTTCATCCGCAACAGGTTCCGTATCGCTGCCATCAACGTGCTTGGTCGTGGTCCAGTGTCCAATGACGTGGTCCTCAAAACTGGTTCGGTCGGAAACGTTTTCAATACCATCCCTCAGTTCGAGGCTGCTGAGAGTGGCATGCGCACCATGTTCACAGCGGGAATGCCTCTGACATTAAGGCTTGATGTTCACCTGCTACAACATCTTTTTCTTTGAAAGACAAACATGGCCTGCTACAACATCTTTTTCTCAAGAACATCTTTAGTTACTTTTTCTATGAAAGACACACATGGGGAAATAAGGGGCCTGCAGCCTTTCATGGGGATGTTGTAGCTCAGTGAGCTCTAATGAGCGATAGAACGAACGAGACGTCGCCTTCTGTAACCTTTGGCTGGACCCAACCGCCACAAGAGGACGGAGACTTCATCTTCAATTACAAGGTACTTCAACTTCTTCCTAGAAGTTGTAGCACATGAAGAGTTCTTAAAAGTTGTTCTTGCTTTTACTAGAAGAAGAAGCTGTAGCACTTATTGGCGGGAAGTTGAATTGAGAATTTGCAACTGAGTGTCGCCATAATTTCCTGCTTCCGCTTCTCGTTCTGGTGCTGGTCACCCGAAATTTGAATGACATGCACTTCTGCTCATACTCTCATGCATGCATATCACTCTCATCCCCATAATGATCCTGTAACCATAACATACCAACCAGGCTCTTCTCACTTATGTCCCGGACACGTCCAACCCCTTGCCGGATGACCCGACAGCCAGTACGTTTCTCTATGCCGCTAACGGTACCTTGGAGAACCCGTTGCCTCTATCTGTGCGCTCTCTCACAATCCGTGCTTCCGACTCTCCTGAAGCCGAGGCCTTCCTGAAACCGCGGAGACAGTACACCTTCCAGCTTCTAGCTGAGTCAGAGCTCGGCTTGTCGGAACCGACAGTCAGCAGTGATGCTGGCTATCTGGTGGCAAAGCCGTTACCGGTGTTGAGCTTCAGACAAGATGTGAGTAAGGGCTTTCAAGGTGCGGTCGTGCACGTTGCGTGGGACTCGATCATAGACTTGAGCTATGCGGCAACGGCGTCGACGTATGTGACGAATTACACAGAAACAGCGCCGCCAGGGTGGACACCGCCAACCAGGATGTTGATGGGCAACATGGATGACGGAAGAATAGATGATATGGACTTGAAGAAGGGTCTTGCAGGTGGTCCAGCGTTTATTGGAGCAGAAGTAGCCAGACAAAGGACAAGTTATAGTAAACATTCATCTTCTGTAGACGCCAATATCATCAGTATCAAAGACGAGGATCAGGAATACAGGACACTTCTCGCTAGTGGGAAGAGAGACCTCTTGAGCGCAGCATATTTCGAGGACCAAATCGGCACAGCCTCTAGTTCGGCTGCGATGTTGCGACAGGGAGTAGAACTAGACACGGAGCAAGCGCCAGAGCCTGCAGGGGATGGTACGGATAATGACCCGAATGCACCTCGGGTCTGGGCCGTACGTGATGAGGCGAGCGGAGTGTATGTGGAAGTTGATAAACCTGGGGCAACAATAAGAGTAGCTACAGATGAGGTCAACAAACAAAAGCAAAAATTAGTGGAACTAGAAGAAGAACAAGAACAGGCGAAAGCTGCAATAGTTATTGGCGACGAGGACGATACTATCACAAGTAGTACCACGTCACCATCAAAAATAGGTTCAGGACCTGCATCTTCTGACGTCCTGGACGCTTCTGCTGGACCTGTGTCTTCTGACGTCCACGACCTTGATTCTTCTGTCTCTTCCAAGGACATCAGCATGAGCCCCTTCACACCTCCGCATTTACGCTTCTTGTCTGCTAATGCAAGTAATGGCACATCAGGGTCTGGCACTAGTGCGACGCAGATTCTCGCAATCTGTATCGGAGAAGACCCCGCCAACACGACCATCATGAACTGCACCACCACCACAACGCCACCTCCTACTATTAAGGCCCCAAGAAATCCATCTTCCCCAGCAACATCTTAGCCCCGTTGGTTGATTTATTTCAAAGGAAAAATATAGGGCACCAAGTAAGATGAATCCGAAGATGAATTTCTCTGAGTTCTAATACTAGCTCAACCACCACCACGACGCCGCCACTAGACATCTATTTCTCGTCCGAGACTGGCGGCGACTATTTCCGCAACACGTTCTATGAAATCTGGGCCCGCGAGGTCTTCAATGACGGCACCCTATACCGCACAACCAGCGAAGGCGTCACTGGCGACTTCATTTTGCGATACAAGGAACCGATTCTAGTCGGTAGTACCACGTCGATTATGACCAACAGTGACAATCCAGGTGCCCTGATGGAATTGAAAATACGGACAAGCAACAACAACGGCGCATCGGAGTTCAGCAAGCCAGTGATGATCTACAGTGGGGAGCTGTGTCCGCCAGTACAGAATCTCAAGTTGCTAGAGGAGGATCCAGAGTTTGTCACAGTCAACTGGGATCCACCGGTATCGACAGGATATGCACCGTTTGTGCTGCACTATGAAGCGGTCTTTGACAGTGTGGATCCGTCGACCCTGTTTGCTGCTAATTCAGGAGGTAACTCAACGAGCAGCAGTTCTTCTTCTGCCACTTCCTATAGTACAGGCACTGCAGCAACTATGACTTCTGCTTCGTCCTACAGGATAGGAACGACTGAAATTGTGACGGGACAAGGCATTCCGCGATCGGCTAACGCAGTGGTGGAGTTGCGGGACAACTTTAACCTGTACTGGGATATCAACAAGGCGGCTTTGAGAGCCCTCAACAGTCCCAAGATGTGGTATACGATCACGCCAGTAACGCACGTCGGAAAGGGGGTGCCGGTCACGGTGTTGGGAGAGGTCGTCCTGTAGCGCTTGGGGGGAGGGGTTAAGCATGGGCAGAAGAAGTGCTGTGGGTTTGATGTTTGTTTGTCTGTTATTTTGTAAGCCAAAATAAAGGAATAAGCAGGATAAGAATCAATAAGAATTTAATGTCAACCGTTAACAAGAACATTTCAATAGATTTCAGCTTGTGCTCGTAGCAATACCACTGTTGCAATTGCAGGAACCTGCAAGCAATTTTAATCTAGTTGTACAGCTCAGACAGAATGCCGTGGCCAAAGGCTGGAACTGGAAGTATAATATGTAGTTGAGAAAAATCGGAAATAATTGCGAGGAAACAGCGGAGGCAGGCTCCTCTGAATAAAGCGCTCGAAAACATTCTAAAACAGGAAAGCTAGGCAAACGCAAATAGATAAGGAGACTTTCAGAAACATGTAGGTAGATGTTCCAGAAAACAGACATTGTAAGAACATCATGTAGGTACGCAAGAAAAGCGACCGCACATGATGGATCTTTTCATATTTTCGTGTATGCTAAACGTATTTGGAAGAAGATAGAGATACTATAATATTATCTACTGATTACCCGGAAATCACTATATTAACGGAAACCAAGGATCATTATGAAAATAACAGTGTCACATCTAAGCTAGCAGATACGACACATCTCTCAATGTCTGATGTGTTGTTTTTCTACCAGCTGTTACTTATTTTTACATTACCAGATCTAAATTCGTATGATCTGTATGATCTACTGTCACTTGTCTTGTACAATTTCAATTGCTAGTGTGTGAGCATGCACGTGCAACAAGTTGTGCTTGTGCACAAGAAAACCCAAGACCAAAGAGTTTTTACGAAATTGACACAGTGAGGAGTAGAAGAATATGTCTTCTGATTTGAATTATTACTTACCCCCAATAAGAGGAATCTAACCCTTACAGTTACATCATTGCCACATTCCCAGACCCGTATGAGTTCTTTATCAGTCCATCAAGCAGACCAAATTATTGCAGACCGAATTATAGTAGACTAAATGAAGTCCAATACATAGTCCGCACTCATTTGCACTCCTTGTAGCGCAGGCTTTCATCGTTTCCTCCTTGTAGTACAGGCTGTCAACGAGTGATCGGTTATCTGGATCCCCTCAACAGGCTGCACAATTCCACGGCCGTCCTCCGGACACACTGTTAGAACTGCACTGTAGGCTTGAAGGACTACTTGGGATGTGAATGAATGAATGAATTCCAAAAGAGTCACAATCGTTGAAACATTATAACTAAGAAGCTATAGCTAAGGCAAGAATAAACAGATTTGAACAGATATTGTGATCGCGCCTTCTGTATTAGTATTTGGAATTAGCTCCGTATTCGTTGAAATTTACTTTTCCCATCCCCAGATTGATGAAATTAGAAAACAGATTTCCATTTCGCAATCGCATTTCCCGTTTCTATGTACTATTCAATAACTAGAATGTAGACCGCAGCTAATCAATGTACGAAAATGTTGGAAACTCGATCAATCAAAGCACGCGAAAAGAAAGCCTCAAACTGGATACTTTTGGATCATTTTGCCCCAAGAAGAGCAGAAGTATTAGCAGTCCGAACTTAGAAGAAAACAAGAAGAAAGGTAAAATCATCATCATCAAATGGACTACACCTCGTCATAAAGTCGACGGAAGATGAAAGATCTGTGTTGCTCAGCAGGAGGCTATCATCGAGACAGGAGCTGGTAAGCAGAGAGGGTGACAGATTGTGTACCGAGGTGGAAAAAATCGTTAGAGCCGCCCATTGCGATTAAATTTAAAAGTGATGCGTGTGAAGACACACACGACGATGAGAGAATGGAAAAAATAGAGTGCGGCGGTGAAAGTTAAAGCAGGGATTCATTTTTAGATTCAGTTCCAGTTGTATCTGCTCTAAGCTCGGCTAGTGTACCATGTGGCAAAAATTCAAAGCTTCCACCAAAAAAGAATAGAAGTTTATTAACGTAGTTCTCCAAGAGAAATTTAAATTGATTGTTTCGTTCTTGATATTTGGCAATGGTCCTCTAATTCTTGAAAAAGTAACAAAAAGCTATTTCATCAAGAGCAACAACAAGATGACACGACTCGGGAGTCGTGGCCTATTGGCCATTCTGGCCGGGACCTCCTGTGGTTTTGGAGAAGGTGCGTCGATCAGCAAGGCAGAGCCTACCCGCAGATATGGACCCTTGGGTAAAACACGTCTAAACACTTTCTGTTTTCACTTTATTTGGTGGGACACATGACATGACGTTTAATATCTGATGTACATGTACTAGTTGCACGACTTGGTGGAGTGACTTGTAGCCAACTACAAGCAACACCATCCCACATCAACTTCAACAACTTCAGGTGAAGATACTGAAGACAACCTGGAGGAAGTCGAAAAGCAGGAAGATGAAATCCTCGACAGAGAGCAAGATGAGATTGAAAACAGAGCTGAGATGATGAGTCTGTTGCGAAAACATTATGGCCGCACATCATGTTGAGGTTGTTGAGATCATCTTTTTTCTTTTCGTACAGTTATCTGGCCGCACATCATATTCTTGAGGTTGTTGAGCCTCAGCTTTTTCTTTTCGTACAGTTATCGTTCTCTTTCTAACGTCTTTGAGCGTAACCACAACGTTTTTCAGCTTCTTTCCTATCGTTTTTCCTCTCCGACCTTATTTTCTTTGCCTCTTACTCTCTAACAACCGCATAACAAGCGACACCAGCATCGTGGGGATGATGACGCTTGGACCGAACGTGAATTCACTGCGCGACTTGAGCAGGCAAGAGAGGCGCAGAGAGCCCAACGAGCTGTTATCCATGCGCAACAGATGCTACATCAGCAGAACAAGGCGAAGAAAGAGGCATCTTTGCGTAGAAGTGGAGGACAGAATAACTTTTATGACTAGTTGGTTCTTGGGTATAGATGGACAATTGGAGAGATTTTATCGAAATAAGTTCCATTGCTTCTAATCCCGCAACCTGGTAGACCAAGAACATCGAACTACTTCCAAGGGACTACATGCGGAGGAGCAGTATCCCTACTACGAGGACGCGGCTTACAACAGCTACTATCCGCCACCTCCACCGCCACACTTGTACCATCAAGTGAAAGCCTTCCAACGTGGACAGAATAACTTCTACTTTTATGCTGTTCGCTGTTGATGGTGGATGTGGATCATCTTCAGATGGTCTTGGATCGTCTTGTTCAACCTCGCTTTTGATTTTTCAACCTCAGCCTGCCTCAACTATTATCTCCAACACCAACTCTAATACGTTGTCTACAGCGATTTGCCGGAATCCTTTGGCAGTTATGTTCCTCCATGTGACGCCACTGGGCTTCCCTGTTCGCCGGTCTCGTTTAACAGGGAGTCTTCCTCACCGCCGAGACGCACGACTTACCCGCAACCGTATCGCTCGACTGCTTTCTTTAAGAATGTGGAGGATGATGTTGATTATTGTTCACTTGTTGTCAGTGCGTAGAGTGAAGATGAACTACAAGAAACTTCATTAGCACTAATTAGTATCGTGGTCACAAACACAAACGTATCGGCGCTCCCTGCTGCTTGAGGAGGTAAAGCAACAAAAATGACTGTCTGCTCGTGTATCCGACTTTACTATTTTCGAAATAGGACAGAAGATTCTACTTCCTCCTCGTCTAACCTCAACGGGTACAACGAAAATGTAGACCCTTGCGCCCAATCTGCCGAAAAGAGGGCTGCTGCTGCTCGGAGGGCGAAGATGATTCGCCAGTTGAAGATGAGTAACAATTTCGAGGATGAATATTTTACTGACCCGTGTATTACTTAAGACAGGGATCAATAGATTAATACTGATCTTCCATGTATTACATACTTAACAGAGGTGGTCGGTATTTCTATTTCTTTCAACTACAGTCTCATGTCTGTGGATTTGGATGTGGATTATGCTGGGTGGATTCATCCCTGTAATAATTTCAAAGGGTGCCTTCAAGTACTAGGGGCATCCTAAAGGGTTGCTGCAAAGAGCAATCACTTTATTTTTTTTCATGGGGATAGATTTACAAGAGACTACAAAGCGAATCCATTCCGCCGAGATTAGTAATGATTTGCTTCTAGTTCTACCTGAAGACTCACTTCTGTACGTTCTAATCTGCACCTGCAAAAAGTGAAAAGCCGTTTTTCGCGCATTATCCGACTCATCCCGATAACATCGGAACTAGTCTGCAAAAAGGGCCTGCTTCGTATCCCTTTCCGCAGGTGCCGCATGGCATTTTTCGAGATCATGAAAACAAGTCTACTTCGTCTTCTGAAGACCACGAGTCGGATGAAGAGTCCATGTCCTCTTCTAAGGATCTCTCCTACTCTGTCTCTACGCCTCATTCATCTCCTGCTAGTATGAGAGGCAGCAGTAGTACAACGGCTTCTAGAGTTTCTCTAGAAGATTTCGTAGAAGACAAACACACGTCGGGCGGGGTGTCGAAGTCGAAGTTCTCGTCTCAGGTAGAAGGGGTAGTTTCTTCTCGTGGTGGTCAACAACATCACCATCAGAAACGTGCTGTAGGAGCTCCACACATGAACAGGAAAGTACAGGGTTCGGCAAGGTCTTCTTCCACTAGGAGTCGCTCGGCAGCTGTCGGAAGTCATCCGCACATCCATGCGCACTCAGCCGCACACCACCAGCGACCGGCTTCAACTACCTCGCACCATCATTCGCAGGTTGTAGCCCATCATCCTCGTCAGGATTCTCAACATGCGCGTCGCCGCCATGCCAACTATCATCAAGTAGATCATCATACCGCACGACCTCAACATCATGATCAACACCACACCAGATTTGCAAGCTACAACAACCACGATGATGCACGTAATGAAGCTGAAGTTCCTGGAGTTGGACAGCATCATGCAGCGCAGTATGATCAACAACATGGACGACGAGCAAGTGCTGAGTTAGTTGGAAAAATGCAGAAGGCGGTGTCAAATACTGCCAGCTTGGCCAAGAAAGGATTTTCGAATGGTTATCAGAAAGTTTTGCAGCGTGGACGAGCACTGATGGCCATGAAGCCAGTTGGAGGAGGTATTGATCTTTTCGGTTTCTTTTTGTTTTCTCTTCCTCGTGTAGCCATTGATATTGATTATTGAATCCGATAAAGTCTAGGTCCTCGTTTCTGTGAATGTATGGCAGGACTAGGTACTACGGTACCTGTCTGCTATGCGCCCATGCATCACGTTTCAAGATGAAGCGAGACATCAAGCAATACCGATTCTCCTCTACCAGATTCCGATAACCACGAAGACTCGCGAAACAAGAAGAACATGTTCAGTCTGCTTGACAAAGGGCAAAGCGAGCTGTCGTCTGGTACCAGAGCCGAGGACTCCTCGTTTTCAACCTACCCCCACTACAACTACTATGAAGACCTTCAAGGAGCCCAACCCCAAGCACCGCGTGGACGCTTTATCCAGAAAGCTCGTCGTGGACGTGGGCGCCAGCAAAGGGTCTTGAGTGCGGGTGGAATGTTATGATAGTGTGAAACATGACATAAAACATTTTAGCCATAGTTATTTCTCGAGTTATTATCACTCTGACTCTCAGTACGTCTGGATCTGTTATCACGAGAATGGATAGAAAATACTAAAAATACTTCGACTTCACTTTTTCACACTTCTTCTCTCCAAGAACATGTCAACGACTACTTAGAGATGTCATAACATGATGACAAAGACAATCGCATCTCATCTCACCATATATAACATGAAACGGAACCTCATCCCGCCATTTTCTTCATACTCCTCCCACACCCACCATGGAGGACGTGCTTCACAATACCAGCGCCAACAGCGCAGGCAGAAGGCTTATCTTCATAACAAGAACGTCCGCACCTACGATCCGTATGCTGACTGCTACAGCTCAGGTGGTGGCTCTGGTGCTTATCACAGTTGTGATGGCCCAACCGCGTCGGCTGGCAACGTCTATAATTAAGGCTGACTACCTGTGCCACTACGTACACCGAAATTTTCAGTCATGGGCGTAGGGAAATCATCACCCAATTCATCTGGAAGAAGAAAACAAGAAGAAAAAGCGAGCCAGATCGATGATTCCTGAGATGAATTCCCTATGCCTCTATTGTAGGTCTTGCTTGTTACCTTCTTTTTTCCTCACAGACTGACATAGTGAGTAAAAATATCGAAATCTTCATGTGCATAGCATCGCGGCTGAACAATTAAATCTAGACGAAAAATCTCTAATCACTCGGAGGAAGTGGCGACTTTGCAGGCAGCCCCTTCGCAGGGGATGACCCGTATGCACCAACTCAAGAGGACCTCTCTACTTTAAGGCTAGTTGATTACTATCCCATGTGGACTATGTATGTAATTTGCCTGAGAAGTGGAGTTCCCCTTGAAGATTCAAAGGGGAGACAAATAATCATAAGGGGAAACCAAACGGCAACTAACTCACTCAATCAGGGATAGCAGTGAAGAACTAGCTTTAATCTTTGGACCATCACCATCCATGGACATGCCTTCCGCAGAACCAGGCGAAGGTGGTCACGCAGAAAGTCATCAGGTTCAGGACTACGGTTACTATTAAGACAAGGTTGCAGCACGACCTAAAAAGTATACGCTTGTGTTGAGTAGTTGTTCTACTTTGATGCTTTTTTGATGGTTTGATCATGCTTGTGAGTAGTTGTTCTACTTTGATGGTTTTTTGATAGGTGCCGGGGGAGCTCGATGTGCAGGATCCACAACCTAGCCTAACCGTTTTGATAGCACAAGGCCCACCTCGACGGCAGCTCTCAGTGATCATCTGGCACGAACACTTGTTGTTCTTATAAATATGTCTTATGTACTTCTTCTATCTCGTCAGTCTAGTGGTACGAAAGATGATCATGACTAACTCGTCGCTCGTAACTACGATGATCGAAGCTTGGACGGTAGCCACACAGGGGAAATGAGTATCTGGCCTGAAGCACAATCGCTGTCTCCGCATATCACACAGATCTTCCAAGGCCACGGGTCTTACATTGCAGGGTTGGATGAGGATGAAGAAGCGTCTGGAGCAGATCAGTTATGAAACACATTCTTGGACGAGTCCAGATTCTTTTGCTTGAGTGAGAAAATCAAAATCGTTCTCATGAAACATGTTCTAGTGTTAGTGTTTTGCTTTTTCTGGTCCCCTTTTGCCTTTGGTGGACCAATATCTTGGATTTAGTTTGATGCTCCGGAAGTTTCTCATTGTTCTCAACCAGTACTCTTTCTCTTGTTTTGTGCTACATTTAGATTTAAGAAGTGGTTCTACTCCCATTCCTAGTTCTCCTAGGTTTCCTTCCTGCATCTAAGATCTCATTCCCATCATCCTCCACCACTTTCATCTTCTACTAGCACCGACTCCTACGGTTCAGGCGGTGACATGTGGGGAGGTGGCTATGACCCGTTCGCAGCACCTGCTTCTAGCGCAGACCCGTTCGCAGCATCCGCAGATCCATTATGCCTGTTGTTTTTGTTGAGCTTAGATTTATCGTGCTGGAGGAAGAAGAATTTGAATTCTCCGAGTTTTCGCAGAAAAATCATGACAGGAATTGTAAGACGCCAATGCTGCTTTTCAATAGAAAATGAAAAGGCATGAAATCCTCGATAAAACAGCCTCTAACATTCGCCGCCCCTGCAGAAGACCCTTTTGCGCAGGAAGCTGGCTCAGAAGACCCTTTTGCACAGGAAGCTGGCTCAGAAGACCCTTTTGCACAGGAAGCTGGCTCAGAAGACCCTTTTGCACAAGCAGCTGGCTCTAGTGAGGACCCATTCGCAACATCGCAGGAAGAAACCTGGACCTTAAACCAGAGGAAGAAGAACGCTGCTAGTAGGTTGAAAAGTGGAAATGCCAAGATCAAACTTATGGTGGTCTACTTCTAGTTCTAAGTACAACAAAAAGTGCAAGAACCCAGGAAGTATCGCTAGTATCGATTAAGGATAGGGATAAGGTGCAACTGAGCAGAAGGTAAATTGTAGAGAAGTTCTTGCTTGTCAATGACACTCTCATGATCTTCTAAAGATGTGATTAGCCATTTATTTGTGATGTGATGCTCCTCGGATCACTTTTCTTCTAAGATTTGCAGCGCAAGAAGAACCGCGTCAACCCAGGGAAGCATGAAGCCGACGACCACTGGCCAGAGCAGCATCCCCGCCTCGTCGCAGGGTGCGCAGAAGGTAGCTGCGCCTGCCGCACCGCAGCAGGTAGACGCGTCTGCCGCACCGCAGCAGGTAGCTGCGCCTGTCGCACAGGGCGTCCCGATCGTGGCGGTGCCAGAGGCTAACAAGGCGTCGCGCTAGATGAGATTTTTTAAGTTGGTAGTAGTAGATGTGAAAATGAACAGATACATACTGCAGTAGATAAAGATATAAACACGGAGAAATATATTGAAAGAAAGTAGTTGGTGGATATCAAAAACGGTCCGGTCAGGTTCATTGGAAAAGAGCTCCTGCTTCTGGAAGTTCTTGAACGTGTTTCTCCAAAAGAAATATCGGCAGATCATAAGTTTTTTGTTTCAGTTTCGCTTTCGTTGAGTCTTTTTAGAACAACTACATCAGCAATCTCGTTTCGTGTTCCAGTCACGTCATTATTTCAAGCCATTGCTATAATGCATATGCACATCAAGGTCGTATTTATCTCCAACAACAAATATATTTTTTGTGCTAGTGCGTTCACACATTCTCTTCCTTGCTTTGTTTCTGAAATCTATGACATTGTTTTACACATAGACATACATGACATAGTCCTCCCTTCAAGAATCTGTAGTGCGGTGGCACCACTTGCAAGAGAAAAACATCCCGAAGATAGACATGAATATCAGAGCTCGTCTTCCAGAAAATGGTAGACCATCTATGACGCCCTTAAGGCAGTCTGCGCTGGTACTAGGTGTGTAATTTTCCCTGCCTTTGCTCCTAGGCTTGACCATTTTGGAATCGTCGGGGCAGTAGCGTAGTTTGTTAAGGAGATTAAGAACTCTCCCCTACGCCGGTAGCTACGCGGAAAATACGCCGGTAGGTTTTGACTTATCGGAACTCGCTTGCAAAATACGCAGGTAGGTTTTGACTTATCGGAACTCGCTCGCACTACAAAAAAAAAAAAGCGACATTAATTGCATTGTATTGCAACTTACAGATCGTGGAAGTTGATAAACCTGGCGTTTTAGGAGGACCATGACAAGGGCTGCGGTAGAAGAGACAGAGAGATGGCATCCTTTGCGAGACGGGCCTAGAGAGGAAAGGTGTTTTTGGGAGACCACTCCAAACAAGACAAGTTTTACTTGAGGACAGAAGGCTTATACTTGATGGTAGTCCCGCCTGCCCAACCGCTCTCTGTCCCTCCATCAGTTTCAACAGTCTCTTACGTTTATGTAGAAGACAGAAACACTAAGTAAACGACCTCGACGAGGGAACATTTTTTATAGACTCTTTCCTTCAGGATCACGATCAGCATCAGGTTAACAAAAAAAACAGAATCACAATCATATCTAAAATTACTCTTACTCCTACGATCATCAAGACAATAACCGAACAAAGTATGTCGTCGATACGGCCTTTCGGGCCCCCTGTAGGGAGGTCCCGGACAGCGGCATTATATGCCGCAACTACCTTCTACTCCTCGATTTCGCCAGTGTTTGGAATGCACCTCAGCAACGAGCACGCTGCTGCTGTTGCGGAGAAAGTCCTAGACGCTAGAAAAAACAAAGACAGTATCTTGATCCTTCCCATCGCAACTACATCTCCTACGGAGCACAACAATGACAATCTGGAGGTGGATCACAACAATGTATCAGCAGCTGACATCGAGTTTCATTTACTCCAAGCAGGAGGAAGCGGAGGGCCTCTGCTGACCCTGCTTGAAAGCGGAGAGGCGTCTGAGACAGAGGCAGAAGCCAAAGATCATGCCGCAACTGAATCGAAGCAGGAAAGCGAAAGCGAAGTAGAGACAGATAGGGAGCTGCTGAACGTCGCAAGTGGTACTTCTGAAGATACAACTTCGACTGTGTGGTTATGCACTAAAAGCATGATATATATCATTCGATGTAAGTATTTACTATCAATAGTGGAAAGAGATCCATCATCCAACATCTTGGTTCTTTTATTTTTGAGAATCCTCTTCCTCAGTACTTATCAGTCTTACGACAACTCTACTTCTCAGATGGCGACAAGTTTGAGACCTCCGACGAGTTGAGAGGTCCCTTACGATCCGGACACGAGAATCTAGAAGAGGCAAGTCAATCGTGGGTGAACTCTCAGCTTCCGCCCAACGTGGACAAGGCAAAGTTGTACTCTCCATCTAGGAATAAGCGGCATGGTGGCAAGCATGGTAAGAAACATGCTGGAGGACGTAAAAACGGAGGTGGACATGAGAGTTATGGCCATCACAAGGACACCGACACTGCTACTATAAGTATTCTTTTTCTTTGTTTGATATTATCCCTGACTTTCTTTCGTATTCCTCATCGTTCTTGCATAGCACGTTCATAGTCCAAGTCCTCCTAGCACTAGGACTAGTCACACCTCCAGGAAGTTGTCGTTGTCCTCCTCTAACATGACCACCGCGGCCACGAGGGCGAGCACGACCACCATGCCATCGGTCATCATCTTCAGAAGAAGGATGAACTAGGGAACAAAAAGCGTCACCCTTTCCATGACCATCTCGAGAGGCGTAAGTATGGGAACGATGGAGAAGAACATAGTGAGCACACAAGAAAAAACAAATTTGCATCAGCATTGGCATCTGCAAAGGGGAAGTTATTAAGGCAATGACTCTTGTTACCTACTCAGTTGTAGTTCAGGAACTGCTCTTTTGTAAAGCTACTCCTGGTAAATTCTATTTCTAACAGAAGAGCATCATGTTCGAAATTCAGTCCCAATTATGGCACATCCGTGTCAAAAATCAAAAGTGTTTTAATAGCGGAAGATCCTCTTATTTTCTCCATAAAGATGTGAATGTCGATTCTACTTTTTCATTTTCAGGGTAATCCCTCTCCCTGTCCCTCTCTTCTAACCATTAGCACATCGGAGGAGCAAGTTCGCCGCAATCGTCTGAGCAATATCATCGATCAAGAGCGCGAACACTTCATGCATGAAGTTGAGAACCTCCGCAGTCGCGGTTTCAGTCGCCATCTTCATGTTAAGGCTTCCCCTAATGATCCATCTTGGAAGTCATCCTAGGAAGGCAGGAGAGAGGCCCGCAAGAATGGCAAAACCAAATATAATAGGTACCTAGGATGGACGCATACACTTCGAGATGGATCATTAGGGAGGTGAGCTCTAATCATGCTCATGATGTCCATAAGGTTGCACAGCGTCACTCCTCATCTTCTGAACAAGGAGAAAAGCCATCCTCTGCCATTGCTGAACTAGAGAAGCGAAGTCCGAAAGCCGTAGCTACTTTGTTATGGTCAGCTTTTATCCATCCTTTTCAGCCTCTTGCCGCGTACCCTTTTCCCGTGTCTTGCTATTGCATGGGAAAGGGGTCGAGATCATGGAGCCGAGATGAGCAAGAGTATATATAAGACGACTCTAACCCTGCGTCGTCTTGGAGCTATGGTTGGCGCTGACCCTGGTGTCCTAGCTTCGCAACTAGATGACAAGAAAGTTGAGGCTGAACAAGAAGATCATGGACATGAAAACAGCAACAGCGTCAGCATGCATACTTAAGGCTCAACTTTCAATGGTCATTGGAGTTGGTCACTGAGATCGAAGAGGCGACCCCTTGAGAGAACAGGGGAAAACGAAGGGAAAGGGGAGAGCTTTGGAGGGGGTCGCTTCCGTTCAGAGTCAGCGGCCAATGAATGCCGAGCTTTAACATACCTCCGAAGACGATCCACTACATCTTGAAGATACTTCATCTAGTACTGAGGAAGAGGATGACCTAGTACATGAGGAAGCGGAAGCAAATCCCAATGCCGAATCTTCATCCCACAAGTTGCGTCAAATGCATCGGCAACTCGCTAGAGCCTTCACAGAGGAGGGCTCGGACTCAGTGCAGGCACACCTGAAACCGATTCTGAAGCATTTTGAGCGTGCCATAGAGCATGCTGCCCATCGTGCTGGACCCAAGGCGAAGGAGGAATACATGACCTACTACAACGACTACGCTTCTTCTAGTAGAAGAGGTAATAAGAATGATCTTAAGGCTACTTGATACAATTCATCTCCAAGAACCAACGGTGACTGATGTGTGATTCTCTTCTGTTCCCCTCTTGGCATTGTTCTGAACAGAAGTGAAGGTGAGACCACGACAGAGCTGAATTGTTGTGAGCGTTAAGAAAGTGGCGTCTTCTTCTTCGATCAACATGTTAGAGAAGGAAGCGACATCTTCAGAGGCCTCGGATGTTGAAGAAGAGAAGGATGTTGAAGACGACGAAAATGATAAAGATCTTCTGCTCGCCCATGAAGATGAACTCCATGAAAGTTTCGACAAGAACAAACAAAATGATGACGAAAAGCTTGACGACGAAGTAGAACTTCTTAGCGCAGAAGATGATGCAGACGATCATGAGGACGCAGTCGTAGATGATGATCAAGAAGACCACAATTTGTCTCTGTTAGAAACTGGTCGTGCTTTGTCTTATCCAAGAAGTGGTGGAGGTCGTAGTTTCAACGGCTACTACAACGATATGGAGGAGATGAGTCTTGAAGGCATGGACGATCAAGACATTGAAATGGATCAAGATCATGATATAGACATGGCGACTGAACAGGTGACGAGCTCGAGCAACAATCTGATCTTTGACGAACTACAGCAAGGTGGTGAGCAGGACAACTACGATCGTGTTGAGTCCTCGGAAGAACCTGATAACTCCTACGCGTCTGATGATCAGCTACTGCAACTACAGCAACCTCCACAGATGAAGCCAGTGTTTGCACACCAACAACCTGGGCAGATGATTCATCCTTCATCTCGCCAACATTTTCATCAGGGACAAAATTCTCAGCAACATCCACATCCAGAAAGTGTAGAGCAAGAACTAAATCCGCAGCAAATCCATGGAGCAGGGAGAGCTGCACCTAGAGGACCACGACATGCCGCACAACATCAGGGGATGCAACAAGGTCGTCCTCTCAATTCGAAGAAGAGCAGCCAGGTCGTCTCCTTTCGAAATCAAGGAGGTGTGAATCCCGCAATTGCGAGTTTTCCCATCAAGTCTACTGCAGCGTTGTTGCGAAACCCTAAGCATCGAGCTGCTGTGACGCGTACGCTGCAACGTTTGCCTACGAAGGTTCGCAGTGACCTCCAAAAGGCTGTCCATGACTACAGGTTGACACTCGCGCGAAAGAAGGCTGCGATGGTGCCCAGAAGTAGTTAAGGTGAAAGATCATGACAAAAGAACGTCAGCGTCACTTTCACTAGAATGAATTGATTCACAAGAAGCTGGATGGTTTGTTATTGTTTATCGGTATCCTGGTCACTAGAATACCTTTCTTGCAAATTGCGTTTCTGTAGTGTCAACGTCGTCACACTCCTCTACGAGTCCTTTGGTTCTTTTTTCAGTGCCATCGCCAGGTAGTGTTATTAGAATACGAATAGCCTTCCACTTCCTGCTCTAAGAACAACGTCAGATGAAAGTGTCGCCGCGGACAACAGGCAGAAAAGGCGTCGCTGATGAGGAATCGTCGCCTGGTCTGATGTACAAGCGTAGTGCTCAAGGCCAGAAGGGAAGCATGCAAGGACAGAATCTAGAAGGAGGCGAAAAGGAACAAAGCCGACGCTTTCTGAGACGCGGCAGGTCAATGCGTCGTGCTGGAGGTCGTGGCACTCTTGGTGGACGTGGTAGACGCATGGTGAACAGGCAAGGTGGTGCTAGTCGACTCAGGAGAACGATGAGGAGAGGTGGAGGAAGCAGAATGATCAGAAGAGGACAGCAACGACAAGGAATGATGACGAGGAGAGGGCAACAACGAGGCATGCAAAGAGGTCAAAGGATGAGGAGAGGCCAACTACAAGGTAGAGGACGAATGATGGGACGTGGAGGTCGTCGTAGTGCGGGAAAGCATATGATCCGACACACTGGAAGCAGGGTCATGCCTCCAAGAGGAAGTAGTCCAAGAGGCGCTGCGTTTCCCGCTTCCTCTAGACACTTTGCGTCGAACAATAGAATGGCACCATTTGGTCGACGTGCGCCCCCTAGGTTTCCAGGACGTGGCTCTGCAGGTCGTCGCATAGCAGGCGCAAGCATGGTGGAACAAGATTCCTCTACGCATGTTGAAGCTACTGCTGCGGCAAATGCTGGCGGTTCCTCTTATGGCTAGTATAATTTTTCAATTCGTGATTGCTGACACGTCGTGAGCGTGACGTCTAAGCGTGGCAGCTAAACAGTATTAAGTCTAGCTTTTCACTGAACAATGGTTGGAATAGGCATAGTCAGGAGTAGTGTCTGTCGAAAAACAAAAAAGAGGACGACCACATCATACTTAGATTATTCTTACTTCTAACAGTCGGAAGAGCAAGTGGATCCACAATCCTCAAGTAACACGATGTCCTTAGTGGAAACCTCGGAAGCCACATCGTATCCTCGCGATCATCCGAGTCACCGCCACCATCGCAGACATCGCGTCCGTGTCTACAAGGCTAGAGCACAGCCTGAGTCATCTCAGCCCCAGCCAGTTCGCAAGACCACGTCGCCCGACGAAAGCAAAGGCAAGAACAAGGAGATATCAATAAATGTCAAAATAAAAGGCAACTCCTCAACAAGCAACGCTCTTTCCACTACCTCGGACATGCTGAAGAAGCAGGGTCTTTCATCAAACGCTGCAAAGAGTGCTGCTGTTGCTCTCAAACAACAAGTAGAGGGGGAGAACAAAGAACTGAACCCGCGTCTCGATAGAAACATGAACAAGATGAATGAAAAGAAAGAAGGGCAAGAACATGATGAAGAATATGTCGTCCGAAAAATGAAAAATCAACGACATCCTAGTGAGCATCATCGTCACCAGTCATCGAGTACTCACGACTCAATGCCGACGGATGAGAGCAACAAGCCTACCAGCCACGGCTCGGCCTCCTCTAGAGGTCAGAAGATGAGCAGTAGCTCTTCAAGATACAACCAAGAAGATCGTGATTCTCTGAAGCGTTATGCTGATCAGTACTTAGAAACACAGGTCAGGGAACACGCAATCGAAAAGGAAGCCAAGGACGAACAGCAGAAGGAACAGCAAGAACAACAGTTACGGTCAGCTTTTATCCATCGACTTTTATCTCAATCTCAGCATCTCCATCATAGTATACAAGGGAAATACAAGGGATACTATTAGGAATACAAGGGAAACAAAAGGGTACTGTACCCTTTTGTTTCCCTTGTATTCTTTTCATGTGAAGAAGAGAAGGGGTTGCTCGAGATGAGGAGACCCAGATGAATGAAAACTGGTAACGCTAAAACAGCGCGGCTCATCTTCCTCGTCCTCCTACGATCCTCGTGCTTGGATGTTGAAGCATCTGTATGATCCCTCACCCTCTGAATCTGCGCTCTCGTATCACCGAAACTTGCCTTACCCACACGAGCACGAACATGATGATCGCCACGATGATGATCACGACAGGGACGATGAAGATCGGGACGATGAAGACGAAGCAGATGTCTCATTTAAGTCACAGAATTTAAGAAGTACTCCCCTATTAAAACGCCGTAGGATTTTTTTTCTGCTGATGCTCTCGTCTCTACAATTTTTCTACTTGCCAATGCGATTCCAAGAATTTGTTTCTCTCTCTTCAGGTTCAGCTGTGAAAGAATGTAAGGCATGCAGGCACAGCATGCATCTTCACTCCATCTAATTAGAATTATACTCCATGATCGTCTAACAGTAAAAGTTTCAAGTTATAGTTCTAATCTTGACAGCAGGAGCAGCCGGAGGATGAAAAGACGTCGAAATACAAGAAGATCCGAGTACTTGAATAGGAAAAGAGCCTCCTCCGATGACGACAAGCGAGGCGATGACAACGTTTTTGATGAATCAATGGGAAGCGGTAGCTTTGATTATGGTTTACTTTGATGATCTTGATGATTCAATGGGAAGTGGTAGCTTTGAATATGGTTTACTTTGATGACTCAATGGGAAGTGGTAGCTTTGAATATGGTTTACTTTGATGACTCAATGGGAAGTGGTAGCTTTGAATATGGTTTACTTTGATGACTCAATGGGAAGTGGTAGCTTTGAATATGGTTTACTTTGATGATCTTGATCCATCTGTCTCGGTAGTAACTACATCTTCGTACGACCCACGACCCTTTTCCCATGCTTTGAGCACTAAGAGTTTGTACAACAATGGAAATTTAGGGAGTATTGCTATTTTAGCATCGTTTCTTCGGTATCCTTGTGCTTTAGTAGTAACTGGCCATAGCAGAGTTCAAGTGAGGTTCTTCATCTCTTCTGATGAATACTACGCTCCCATAGAAATTTAAGGATACTCACTCTAATTTGGGACAGTTCGACCACCAGCGTCCACAGAAGCGGATCACTCTCGAGGAAACAACTCTGATGGTCTCATGGGTGGCCTTAATTTAAGAAATGTTGAAGATTTGGAATTGGATTACAATGTACATTGACATTGACATGGTTTACATTACATTGACATCGTTCATAACTGATTAACAGAGAGACTTGCTACTTCAAGATCGAGTAGACGCTAGCTTGTGTATAACTTATATATTAGGTCCTACTCGTCACCTAGTGCTACAGACTACTCGCTAGGGCTACACCTAGTCGAGAAGATGGAACGAATTCAAATTGTGTTTGTGAATTTCCAAAAGCGATGAGATTAAGAGAAACGTCAATTTCAACTTGATTCTGCTTCTGCTTCACTAGTCTTAGTCAATTCAGTTCAGGGAGAGCCAGAGGTAGAGTCTTCACCTTCCATGCAGAGTTTTGAACTTAGAAGTTGTAGTTTCTTCTTCTAACTCTAGAAACTTCGGCAGGATCGAAAGCGGTGCCAACTTCTCCACCGCCACCGCCAGCGACCAGTGGCACTGCAGCCCATCCCGCTCCTGCAGGAACGACAGCGCCACCGGCGGGCACAGGAGGCGGAGCTAATGTTATGTCTATTTACTATGTACTAGAGATCCTTGTAGTAGATCTTGAACTTGATGTTGATATGTACTGGTGGTACCTTTAGTTTCAGTTGATACACATACACTTCGTTCTTTTCGCATGTTCACTTGATGAGAGGCGTTTAATTACTTTTACTCTAATGGGCGATAGTACTAGATCATTGAATATTGAAGGCCGCCTGGGGTACGAGTATGTAGGTACTAGCTTCTCTGAGATAACACTTCTTCGTCTTCAACATGATACATTACCGCAACCACTCTAAGAATGGCACCGCAGTTGCCACAATTGCTGCAGCAGCTCCGGCTGCCACGACTGCACCAGCAGCTCCAGGTGCCACGCCTGCTGCAGCAGCGGCAGCAGCAGCAGGAGGGTCTTACTTCGTAACCAACACAGGTAACACCGGAAAGGGTCAGAGCCACGTGGTGCAGAGCCAGGGCCAACAGCAACAGATACAAATTAAGGAAATCACTGAAGTGCTCTCACAGAAGTAAACACACTACGGGGACGACAAGAAATTTTTGAGACCTCCTGAAGAATGAAATTCTATCTTTAATCAAGCTGGCGTCGTGTCTATGCAGGGTCAGAGCGGCCAGCAGATACCCACAACAGCAGAATCAGCAGAAGGTGCACCAGCAGGTGGAAAACAGCAGCCAACAACAGCAGAACCAGCAGAAGGTGAACCAGCAGGTGGAAAACAGCAGCCAACAACAGCAGAACCAACAGAAGGTGAACCAGCAGGTGAAAAACAGCAGCCAACAACAGCACCACAAGCAGAAGCTGTACAAGGAAAACAGCAGGCAACAAGAGCAGCACCAGCAGGAGGAGGACTGGAGGAAGCACTCCAGGGCAACGGCACCAGAGGAGGAGGAGGAGGACTGGAGGAAGCACTCCAGGGCAACGGCACCAGAGGAGGAGGAGGACTGGAGGAAGCACTCCAGGGCAACGGCACCAGAGGAGGAGGACTGGAGGAAGCACTCCAGGGCAACGGCACTAGCGGAGGAGGGCTGACAGAGCCAGCATTTATGACGAAGCTTGAACTCGCTATTCGTATTCTGTTGGATTGATTATAATAATGACATCGACATGTTGACTTGTTGGCAACTAATCAAAAATTCCGTTATATTGATGTTGGACTTTTTGTTGTCCTTGTCGTTCTTGGCTGAAGATCATGATTAAGATGGATTTTTTGGAAATCAGTTCCCATGAATTCGCGGGGCCACCCCCTCTCCTCGACTAATACGTCGACAGCAACAAACGGCACAGTAACGCGCGGCACAGCTACAAGCGGAACCGCAGCACCCGCCGCTGGCACCGCAGCACCAGCTGGCACTACTGCAGACGCCGCTGGTACCGCAGCACCATCTGGCACTACTGCGCCAGCCGCTGGCACCGCAGCACCAACTGGAACAGCAGCACCAACTGGAACAGCAGCACGAACTGGAACAGCAGCACCTGCCGGCACAGCAGCACCTGTTGGCACAGCAGCACCAGCTGGCACTACTGCAGACGCCGCTGGTACCGCAGCACCATCTGGCACTACTGCGCCAGCCGCTGGCACCGCAGCACCAACTGGAACAGCAGCACCAACTGGAACAGCAGCACGAACTGGAACAGCAGCACCTGCCGGCACAGCAGCACCTGTTGGCACAGCAGCACCAGCTGGCACTACTGCACCCGCCGCTGGTACCGCAGCACCCGCCGCTGGTACCGCAGCACCCGCCGCTGGCACCGCAGCACCACCTGGCACTGCTGCACCAGCCGCGGGCACCGCAGCACCAACTGGAACAGCAGCACCTGCCACCACTGCTGCACTAGCTGCCACACTACCTGCGGAAACTATGCCCCCAGAAGAAAGCGACCCGAATGACAGTGATGACAGTAGTGGGAGTGGAGATCTTAACAGCGATAGCTTGATGCCCTCTTTAGCCCTAGAGGATCCGGCAACGTCGCAGAAGTCCTATGATGATTAAGACGCATTCTCGTTCATTATTCATACAAATAAGGCGATAATATGAACCAACACGACAAAATGACATCCGGTTTTTACAAATACTCCACTCCAATATCAATTCCAATGCCAATCCTTTTGCTTTTCACTTCGGTTGACCACGCGCTATACAAATACTCAATTCCCATCTACCTCTTCTAGATCCAATACCCTCTACTCCCTTTTGACCCCCTACTTCTATCTCTAATGCTCTCTCGTGGTGAAACATGATAAGGATCAGACTGCAGCTGCAGGCGGTGCTGCTGGAGGACTCTCACCAGAAGAAGAAATGCTGAAGGAATTGGAAGATCTCCTTGGCGGAGGAGGTGGAGCTGATGCTGCGGGAGGAACAACAGCGGATGGCACAGCGAGCGGTATTTTTAAGTTGTTCTTGCAAGGAGAAGGAGACGAAGAAGATGATGAAAGATGTATAAATTTGTAGTAGTTGTAGTTAAAGTGACGCCTAATTACTAATTAATACTTACAGAGTATACTTCAAATGATGTCAGGACCAGGACGAGCCCTCTAGCAGAACATGTTTACTCACTCCAACGATACTTAAAAACTGAATAAAGACTGAGACTGATACTTGTTGGATTCATCGCAAAAACATCAACATGTTGTACTTATAATCAGGTTCAGGCGCTGGAGGAGAAGCGGTACCTGCGCAAGAGGAAGTCCCTAGCGAATTGAAGGATCTCATTAAGGGAGAAGACCCTGCTACTAGTGCAACAGTTACGCTTGTGACAGACTCACTTCTCAGATGTTGTCGTTTTCTAGTGTACTTGATAGGTACATTATAGTGTAGTTTCCGATTATAATCTAGAACCACATTATGATTGGAGGACACTGACCATGATTCTCAGTATGCAAGAACTAGACACACTAGACTCAACATCCACTAATTCAGACGAAGACCCTTTTGCACCGACAGAAGACCCCTATGCGCCTACTGAAGATCCATTTGCGCCTACCGAAGACCCGTTTGCGCCCACCGAAGATCCGTTTGCGCCGACTGAAGACCCCTTTGGCTCTACTACCGGCGGAGGATGGTATTTGACATTTTTCAATCTTGCAACTAGAACTACTAGTTGTAACACATGTGCGAGATTTATTGTATTGTCCTGTACTGCGAGCTCAAGCTCAACATCTTCAAGTAACTTCCACTATCAACGACTAGATTCAATAGCGCAGGTTGGATCTCCTGTGCATCGTGATCATTCCACCATTTTGAACACAAATTTTCTTCACAGCCCCGACGGGTGCGTCGAAGAAGACCCGTATACGTCTTCGGACCCGTACGGCGCAGACCCTTACAGCTCAGAACCGGAAAGCCCACCACCTGCTTCGGTGGCGCCAGGACCTAAGGGCAGTCATGCAGAAGCACACTCGGTTAGCGGACAGGGATATTACTTATGCTGCAGGAAAAGGAATCAATAGGAATACAACGAGGAACATGAAGTATAATAATGCAGAGAAATGGAAAAATAAATGAAAATACACTTAGAACTAGAAGTACATAACTTTCGCTCGAAGAACTGTAGTCTTCTAGTTTTCTCCTTCGATATCATCTCTAATTCCTTCCCGCAATTACAATGACGCTTCACACGACGACTCCCACTGGGGAGAGATGCGCATTCAACCGGAAACGAATTCCCTGGCACCGCACATCACCCAAATCTTCCAGGGTCATGGTGGATATCTGGAGGCTGGGGCAACTGGGTACTTCTATGATTGTTATTTAGATTTGTCGAACCTACTGAATCAGAATCCTCAAGGAAAAAAAAATCACTACTTCTACTACCACTACCTTCATCTGAACAAGAGGAATCGTCACCTTTGTTCCACAGATTCCACGGCTCCTCTGGCATGGAGCATTCGGAAAGCGTAGGAAGCGATAACTGGTGGGACCCATCAATGGCCGCGGAAGCTGACCCAGTGGCGGTGGACCCGATGGCGGCAGCCGATCCCATGGCAGCCGCTGACCCAATGGCCGCAGGTGGCTCTGCCGACCCGATGGCAGCTGACCCAGTGGCAGCTGACCCAATGACAGCTGACCCAATGACAGCAGACCCAATGGCAGCTGACCCAGCAGCAGCTGCAGACCCAAATGCGGCCGCTGCAGACCCAAATGCAGCCGCCCCAGCAAGCGAGGCAGAGGTGGCAGAGGCAATGAAAGACCTGTTTGGTGGAGGCGATCAACCAGCAGAGGAGTGGACTATGACGCAGAGGAAGAGGTCGAAGTAAGTTGTAGTTTTCTTAGGATTTATAGATTATTTGAATTACACAGGAGTTGCTATGTATTGCTCCTACAGTTTCCAAGAAACTACATTCACGGAAGATATTCTTGAAGTTATTCTTGTCATATGACACTAACACTATAACAGAAGTTTCATTCTCATGTACAGATTTGGATCGTGTTTCATGTACTACAAGGGTAGTGATTACACGACTGAAAATTTATCTCAAAAACTGATAACGTTGTACAAAGAAGAAAGAATCTCTATAAGTGCACGAAGTGCTAGTTTCTTCGTTTCGTGATCGTCCTAAAAACAATATTTAGATTTCTATCTCCAGTTGTATGATCATTGTTTATTCATTTGATCCGTTTCGGTGTTTCATCATTTGCAGTAGCCTTTTTTTCTTTGTTCTGTTTGTTTCTGATCCTCACAAAAATAATGCTGCAACTACTAGTACTACAACTAGAGAACAGTTTTCTTTTTACCTCCACCTCCGATGTGATCATCTTCACGAATAATCATAATACACATGAGCAATGGAATTAGAAACACCTCCTTATGAAGGTAAGTGTCGCAATCTGTGCATATCATTCCATACTGAGAATATACACCATGTACCAATTAGCTAAGGTAGTTTCAAATCATATCAACAATCAACTTCAACATAATTCTGTGCCTGATCAGACCTCCCTCTTGGACCACCTGCTGTTCAGTGAGTATCTGTCTGCTCTTTCGTTGGTTGCGGCAGGCGTACTCATCTTAGGCCACATGCTGTTTAGTGAGTGTCCATATCTGTTCTGCTCCGACCGGCATTGTTCTCGAGGATTCGGTCTGGTACCTACTGGTACATTTTCCCTGTACGTAAAAAAATCCGAAAAACAGAAACCAAAATTCTTCAAACCAAAGAGAAATAAGAGAATTTCAAGTGAGGTCGGATGGCGCTGCGTGAACTACACGGTATTACTTAGGACGACTGCGAACCTACAACTACATGAGAAAAATCAGAGCTGGTTGTAGTCGAGAAAATTGAAAAATCATAGTCTGCTGCGTTCGAGAAAAATATGAGCATGTTGATAACTGCGACCAAACATACAAGCACCCACATCAAAAAGGAACAGGTCATGAGGGAAAGGCTGCGTAGTGAAGTGACTACCTCCTGCTTCTATATTTTGTGTGTGTAGTCTTCAAGAATCAAATTTGTGAATTTTTAGTCAAATTCTGTGAAAGGTATGTACAAACACGTTGTAATTGAAGTTGATCGTTTCTTGGTAGAGTACTTAGTTACACTTACAGCATCTTTGCTCAGCAACTTGATGCTGAAGATGGGTGACAATTGTTGTGAGTACTATCCTTGTTAGGAGTCGGCAAGATGGCCTCATCTAGCGAAGGCACGGCGGCTTTCAAGACGCTTGAGGGTATCTACCTCTACGTCCTCTGCCTAGAGTCAATTACATTCGAAAACCTGGAAACTTCGGAACAAATCGCAGCTGCTTTTGGAAGTCGGAATCAGGCTCAGAAGGATGCAACACCAACAGCTGTAGCCAGTTGGTACGTAGGCACCAATGATGGGAAAGCTGCGCAATTCCTACTTCCGTCGCCTACTGAGGAGGTAGGAGAAAGCGTGGTGGTGAACTTTGTAGCCTTCGTGGAGGTAGCGAGTTCAGCGATAGGAGAATCGGCCTTGCTCGGGTTATCCGACTTAGAGGGGAACTCTGTAGCGGTTTCGACGCAGGTATTTAAATTGTAGTTCTTTCTGTCTCTTCACGATCAGATGACCACAGATATTCACATTCAGATTTTTGATAGAGATACACGTTTTATTCATTTAAATGGTTCAGTGGTAGATTCATTTCATTTAGACGAATATAGCTGAACACCATCTTGTTCTTACATCAACAGTCTTCACACATTCATTACACGACAGATTACTTGGTTCCCACCTTTTTTCACAGATATCATTCTCCGAGCTTGCTCAGAACGACAATTTTGAGGCTGGGGAGGTGAATTTCTACAAAGGTGAGGAACTTTTTGCAAGGGGCACGATTAGTTCGGCACGTCAGACACGCGTTATCCCGGACGCGCAGGAAGAAAATACAAGTGACGTGTTACTAGTTGACGAAGCCGATCCACAAGTGTGGCATTTGTTCTCCACCTGCTATCCGGAACAAGCCGAAGCCTGGGCTGCTTCCGCACAACAAGACGAGTCAGTAGAGTCTTCTGTTGTATTTCTAGAAGAATATGGCCAAGAAGATAACGATAAATTCGGAGACCACCGTTCTTTGCTGTCAACGATACACGAGGGCGCGGAATCGCCGGGAAGTGTCGAGCTAGATGCTCTAGGTTTAGGCGCGTCGCCGAGTCCAGTTGGAGAGGCACCTAAAGCAGGAGGTGGCCCACACAGCAGCTCTGTAGGTTCTGTAGGTCGTAAGGCCACTACAACTTCAAACAAAGAGGAGAATTTTTGTCAGAGTGCGTCCTCATCCTCTTCATCTGCAGCTGGTGATGTAGTTCTTGGCGACGGTCATGCGTATGGCATAAACCTCCTAACAACTGAAGGACAGGGACAGCCTCTTCCAGCAGAGAACGTGTCCCTTGGCTCACATGACACCTCAACAAACAACGACTCCTTCGCAGGAGCTTCAACAGGAGGCGTTGTTGTACAACACCAGGAAGTAGCTTCGAAATCAGCTACAACAGCTGCTTCTAAAGCACCTACATCTTCTAGGACAACTCCGACTGGTAGTGGTAATCGAAATACATCAACTTCAAGAACAAGTCTTCATCACGATCGTCCGAAGATCGTGCAGTCCGTAGAAAACGAAAGCTATGGTTTGGAGTCGGATGAGGAGGGTGACTTAGACTTTGGCAGCAGCTCACCTGACCTCTTGTTGCCGGATGAAAGTAGTGATCCTCCTCTCGGTCACAAGAACACGTCTGCAAACACGTCGACGAAGGCACCGGTGGAAGTGGACCTCTTAGGTATTCGGAGTCCACAAAAGGATGGACAACGAACATTTTTGGCGTATTCTCCACAGAAGCAACAACACATAAAAGGATACTCCTCTCATCTTCAGAATTATAGAGGTAGTGCTGCGACAGATGGCAGTGGTGGAATAGCAGCTGCAGGGGCTACTGGTAATGGTACTGGTAATGGTAAAGTTGTTGAATCTACTACTACAACAACATCCTGCTCTATGATCGAGGACAATATTTCTCCCCAACTGAAGCAGACAGCTTCATCTTCTACTTCAAAAGGAGCAAAAATGGGTGCCATTGCGGCACAGCAGAGGACTAGTAGATCTTCGCAACAGCTTGCTTTGAGTACGAGTGGAGGTGCTAGTACGATAGATTTGATGCAGGACCTGAGCCGCGACGCTGGAACGCCTTCCTCTGCTACCGGTTTACCGAGACCTGGAGGCGTTTTCCCTCGTCGACAGGGAGACACGAGAAGGACGTCGCTGGGTATGCAAGAATTCGACTCTGTCGTAGAAGATGCGCTTCCTGCTGCTGAAGACGATGAGAGTAGGGAAGACAGCGACAGGGGGGCGCCAGCATTAAGGCCATAGATAATTATTCATTTTTATTTTTGTGCATCCTTCCTTGAGAAGTTATTTTAGTAAGTATGCGCGAGTATTCTGGTGCTATACTCTTCAAGGATGCAGTAGAGAGATGAGTTACGGAGAGCTCTAACAGCAGCGCCTAGCATGCTTCCACGAAGTAGCACAAACGTCAACAGTGGCGGACAACTACAGACACAAGCACAAATCTTTTCCTCCTCAACAACGACTAGTACTGGCAGAAGTCCCAGCGCTCGTCGCAGTCCCAATGCTCCCGCAGCCACTGCTGTCGATATCAATTTCAATATCAACGTAGTATCCTCTAGGAGTCCGAACAAAAACAAAAACAATGTCTTTCATCTGAATGAACAGATTGGAGGTAGTTCATCCTCGACATCACCATCGCCAGCAAAGAGCCACCGATCTCACCAGTCTCTAGTAAACTTGTCGACTGAAGATCATGATCGAGTAGGTGGAGGAGCGATGCGGACGCCGAGCCACGGCAGATATCAAGACAGATCTCCGAGGAGCCTACTTCACTCTACGGACCACGACTCGGATAGGAGTTTCGACATTGACGACGCTGGGGTCGGTGGAGGTGGGAATGGTAACGCAACTTCAGCGACTTCTAGAAGGGGAAATGCTTCCAAGAACAAGAGTACGAAAAACGGACATCAAAATTTGCAGCGACAAGTAGAAGATCTTCCGTCTTCGATGCAGAAGCTGAGTACGCCTCCAAGTGAAGACAACTTCTACAGAAGGAACTTCAATATGTCGACTCCCCAACGTCGATCACCTAGGAAGAACAGTGCTGTAGGCGGGTCCTCTACTGACTGTAGAGGCGGGCCTGCTCGTGGCTCTAGTATCTCCCCCGTTGTGCCGCAGCTGCTCAGCTGTGAGAGTGTCAGAACTGACATTTACCTGAATCAAGTTCCAACCCAAGAAGGCCAGGGTCCAGGAGGAAGGGCCGTGGCTGGAGATATTCAGCAACCTGAACCGCCAGAAGACGTAGACGACGGTCTCGCGGCAACTGTTTTGCCCTCATCTGCTAGAGGACTTAGCACTCCGGGACCACTACAACGCACACAACTCGATGCTTTGACGGATCTACGTGGTTGCTTCACAACTGATGCTCTCAGCCAAACACAGGTGACGCAATTTGGGAGTCGTCTAGCAACACCAGTCACAGTTTTTAAAGACATTCATCCTGGAAGTACAACTGGTCGTGGACAGGGTCGTTTCGAAGTTCAAGAGGACATAGAAGATGTTGAAAACGGGGAAAATACCAACACTAGTACGATTTTTGGAGACAGCAACAGTACTAGAACGAAAATAGATTTCCAAACCAGAGGTGATAAGAGCAAGGAGAAGATGAACTACACTAATACATTTCTATTTCACCCACCTACATCACCAATATCAAATTCCAATGTTGTCCACCTTGAAGCTAGTCCGCATCGGAAGAGCAGTATTAGCAAGAGTGGCGCTCCTGATCAGGTCGTTCAGGACGTAGCACAGGTGAAGGATGGCGTCATAGAAGAGCCTGACAGTTCTGGTGTCGATGAAGTTGATAACGAAGACATTGCTTGGCCTGATCTTCCTTCCTCAAGCAAGGATAGCAACGTCGTTGATGACCTCGACCACGCACAGCCACTGACTACAATGACGAGCAAAGGACAAGAACAAGCACGACCAGGACAACGACAACTACGAGAAGGGCCACAAGGAGCTTCATCTTTGCGTAAAGTCTCAACATCCAGTATTTCTAGTCTTGACCAGGCACAGCGCGGTGGAGGTGGGCTGATGAAGCCTTTTGGTGTCAAGAGTCCCAAGGCTTCTAGAGGTGGACCCGATCCGAAGAGGTTGAGTCAGATTTTGATGCAACAACGAAATCCGCCACGGTATACGAATAAAGAACGTGCTGGTACTAGTACTACTACTTCTAGTAACTACGGGAACGGAAACGCTATTCAGGAGAACGGCAGTGAACATCTTCGAAAGCGAAACGCTCGAAATTCAGCTACTTCTACTCCCCCTTCCAACAGCACCAGGAAGGCAGGAAGTCGACAAGACCATGAGCAGCTACCTCGTCGGCGCACCAGCGTGCAATCACTTCATACGGAGTACTCGCCGCCTCAGTTTAGTGATGAAGATGTTGGCGACAACTACAACAACAAAGCAGCTAATCGTCCTAATGATGTAAAAAGCAACTTTGCAGGTACAGAAACAGATCATGGTGGGAACAAGGGCGGCTCCAATCCAAATCGTCTGATGTGGTCAGGCTGGGAAGAACGCCCTCCGAGCTTTTCAGTCATGCGAGGAAATACTGAAGGGGCTGAAGCAAGAGAAGACGGTCGAGGAGGAGAAGATACCTTAGTTGGCGACTACGACATAGCAATAGCTGGTCGACCTGAATACGCTCATGCTCCTGATGTACCAACCTCCTATGAATCTTCTTCAAGTACTAGTGCAGTTTGCTTACCTCGCGACTCCGCAGTGTTGCATCTTGATAGCGCAGCGATGCCTTCATCTCAAGATCACCCCCTAGAAGATTTTCAGGCTCATCATCGAGGAGGAGGACCCTCCTCTGCGACTACGGCCACGAAGCAGTACTTGCAAGTTGAGTTGTTTGCGGATGAAGAGAGAACTAGTAGAGATAGAACTCCCACGACGACGAGGACGACTAGAACCGGTAAAAACGTGCTTGAGGATGCAGCTGCTAGCGGGGGTGGTAGTGTCGGAATGCGTTCGAATTCCAACTCGAAGGCTTCTTCGAGTAGAATGCGAAGCGCATCCAAGGAAAGCGGTATTCCGTCATTGCATGAGCCAGCCAGACCTGTGGACCTGATGTCGCGTGGTAGGCAAGTGGTGACACCAACCGTGAATGACCTCGCGGCATCAAGGAACTTTGCACCAGCAACGCGCGTTTTTAGGCCTGATGTAGACCACAACGACGAGGATCGAAGTGGAGGCGGTGAACACTCGGCTCCTGGGCTAGTGATTCATTACGAACAGCAAGAACCTGCTTCTTCATCTAAGAATGGTGCTGTACCACGACCAAATGCAGTGCTCGACATTGCTCGACACCGATTCGAAGAGACCTCCATGTACCAGCAGGAGAGGATGCAGCTGCAACAAACAGCTTGTGCGACTTCTGGTACATCCGGATCTGGCAGACAAAAAATGTTGGATGCTGACCAATTGCGTCAGATGATTCCTTCTACAACTGCTGCAGGTAAAAAAGAGCCTTTTGTGGTTGGAGGACCACCTCCGCCACTACCTAAAGGATCTGGCACAAGGTGGGTGTCTGGGTCTAGTTCTGGTGGTAGAACGATCATCGAACAGCAGCGTCCCCGTTCTGTTCGACGTCCGATTACGTCTGCTGGTTCCTCTAGTGGTGCTGCGGGTGGTTCTGCAGGATATGTGGGAAGGAACAACACTAACCAGCTTCCTAAGAACACAGCGACAATACAAGACCCAGGACAAGGACACCAGCAGCAGTCTACCAAGGTCGTGACTCCAAGGCGAGAACAAAAGCCGCCTTTACCAACGACGACAATGACGACGGTTGGGACATCAAGAGCAGTTGTAGCCCATCATACTCATCGAGAAGTCAGTTCAGAAATGGAGGACAACTTATTGGGGAAAAATGGTGAACCACCGCAACTTGGTAGATGGGACGACTTGCAGGACTCAGAAGCGGTGCACCTTGCGACACCAACACACGATAAGCTATTGCATCAACAGACACAGTCACAGTCACAGGAGATGACACAAAATACAAATTTTAATAGCACCACTTCCACAGCCGCACAACTCGCACCCGCAGTGGCAGTGGATGGCCCTTCACCTCCTCGACAAGTATCGCAGGAGCAACCGCACAGTATCAGAGGAGCACGCTTAGCCCCCCAGCCCCCATCCCTTCAAACAAGTCAGATGCACGATCACACTCCAGCTTCGGTCGCCCCCAGTCCGTCCGCATCCTCTACTTCTAGGAGAGTGTCCGAACTAGTGGCCAACTATCCCACACTCCAACACTATGCATCTAATGCGAATACCCCTACCAGAAGTGAAGCTGCTGGACAAAATCTTGTAGATGGCAGTCGGTCCAGGGATGAAGCCACGACTGCGAAGATGACCAGGATGGAGTCTACAACTACGATGATGAATCACACTTTCCCAGCAACAAGACGAAAGAGCACAAATCATAACCTGACGGATGACGACACACTCAACTCAGATCATGCTAGTCGAAGGGCTCAGATTGAAGCGAAGATTTCGAGGGTTGCAACGATGTTGAATCAAAGGATCAAACAGCAGGAGCAGAGGCAAAAGAGGACAGCAAAAGCCTCCTCAACGTCACGACGAGTACAACATCATAATCAAGAACGAGTCGGACAAGAGGAGGACAATTTGCCAAGCTACATGCGTCCACGAACACGAAGTAGTCGTAGCACATCTCCTGAAAAGCAACAGCAACATCTTCAGCGAGATAGACGTGCCAGAGGAAGAGGAAGTCTACCCCCTCCATCATCTTCGCGACCAAGTACCAGTACCAATGCTAGAAGGGTATTTCGACACCAGATCCAGAATCAGCCTGAAGGAAGCTCACACTTCTCACCACAGCAGGAGCATTTGGTTGTGGATGTTGAGTTAGACGATCCTGGCCAAAATGGAAGAAGGCAAGTACTCGGAGAGGAAGGACAAGGAGAAGCCTCGTTTCCATCTTACACGCACCATACCTTTTCAAGCTGGAGGAAATCGGGAGAACAGAATTTTCATTCTAGTGATGGAAGTGATGAACATGAAGATGAAGTTGAGGACGTGCGTCTGCGTGGCTCGTATGGAGGAAGGCCTGCTTCACGACAACCTTCACAACGGCAATTATCCCACTCTCAGCAAATAAAGCAAAATCTTCATGCTGCTGTTCAACAACGACGCCCACACGAAATACAACATTCTACTAGTTGTACGAGACGACCTATTTTGCCCTTGTCTCCTGTGCCGGCGGCTGCAGTAGAGGCTTCACAAGTTGTACCACATCAAGAAGTACCGCACATGAACGGCGATGCAAGGAGTTCTGCGGGGCATCAACTTCAAGAACACGACCACGAAGAACAGGTACAGGAGTTTGTAGATGATACGACAACAGACGATCCTCAAGCGTATGGTTACTACGGAAGACGGAGCCGCTATCGAAGAAACAGTTTTACCGAGAGTGAGGCGTCGCCAATGCGTAGGCCGTCCACCAGTATAGCTGCCAACATGATGGTACATCAAACTACAAAAGCTGGCGCAGGCGCAGCGAAAAATATAGCTACAACTAGGGAAGTGGGCTTTACAAGTTCTTCTACTCGTACTGACGTTGAAGGCAGATGTGCTGTTACAACTGGTAGAAGAGAAGATGATCCTCGATATCCTAGTGATGTCAAGACAATAACAAGAAACTGCCCCCCGTCTTCACTGCGACGTTCCATAGAGCCTCAAGCGTCACCTTCAGTACTACACGACCAAGAGAGGAAGATTGTCGACCTGCAACGCGAACTAGAGGAAATGAAGAAGCAGATCTCTGGCGCCCGTAGTGCTGTAGTAGCAAATCCACCGAAGCGATTGGGACCCGACGAACGCGATTGGGTGACGAGTGCTGTAGGAGCAAATCCTAAGCGATTGGGTGACTCTGCGAGAAGTAAGAATTATACAATAATATTATTATAGCTGTTAAGTATAATATTAAGTATACTGTACTCAAGTTTCTACTCTTCGTGTTCGTTGACGGTAGAAGCTCAAGAACATGTCTGTCAAATCTTTCAATGGTTCCCACGACACACAACTCGCACACCCGCATGTTTTCAGGTACAACTGGCGTTAAGCAGCACCCGACTAGGACTGTCATTGAAGAAGAAGGTGCATCATGTGACGCCGAGCAACACAGCAATTCGAATTCGTCTTCATCCAAACGTATTCTGCAATTCTAGTCTGTAACGAGACTCTAGATTATTTGATGGTCAGCTCACGGTACTACGAGGACACCAGTGAAACTGAAACACTAGCTATGCATTTCAAGGCAGCAATGTGCCATTTCACTATTATAATCTGAACAACTACTACGACGTTTATATCGTTTTATTCACAAAATTACATCCATACTAGCACTAGGTTCCGGCTCCCTTCGACCACGCACACCGCGCGATCCTCCTACGCTTGTCCAGCAAAGGTCTCCCGCAGTCACAAGTGGCGGCTTGGCTTTCACCCGAATTGCGAGTCACACGAGTACTATTATGGCTCAAAACAGTTCATTTCTACAAGTCATTTCTTGCAGTTTCGTGCTTGGGATTCTGAAGAAATGCAGGCAAGAAATGAAGTGTTTTGAGCTCTAATACTAGAGCGTCTACTTCGGGGCCTGGAGCTGGAGTGATGATGATGAGTAATGGAATGCTTCTAAATGGAGGAGGCGGGATGAACAACATGATGCCTCCACCTTACCAAGAACAACGCCAGCAACCAGTAGCTCCACTACCACAAAATATGATTGCGGGTGGGCCGCTTCTTTCTGTTGCAGCCCCGGCTTCTACTTATCACGCAGCTCCTTCCTCCGCGCTATCTTCTGGAAGGAGCAATTATCACCAGAAGGATCAGAATGCCGCGACAACTAGTGCCATGAGTGCCGCTGACCGTGCACGACGTATAGCACAGATGGCCAATCATTTTCATGATGCTCAACATGCTGAACAACAACAAGAGCAAGTTGTGATGGACGACAGAAACCATTACCATAACCATCATTCTCATGATCTTCGAGTACAACAGCAACAACAACAACATTTGATGCAGTCTGGTGGAGCATTTGCTGAACGCACAAGCGGAGGACCAATCAAAGCGACTTACCATCCTCGACCCGCAGGTCCTGCAAGTCACATGTTTGGACCAAAGACGCATGAAACATATGGCCTGTGAGGAAGGTTGGTGTTATTTTCAGACCACGCTTGTTATGGTTCTGTTTATGTATTACTATGCATGATAGTAGAACTAGTTAGAAGATGTTGAAAAAGTAAGAACAGCGCATAGACGTCTATACGGAGACCGCGACAGAATCGCTTATGCGAGCAGCACTACCGTCGAAGTAGAAGGGACAAGATTTAGATACACATACTCAAATATCAAACAGCATTGCTTGCTGGCTTATCGTGGTGTGAAAAATGGTCATGGTCTACATTCATTCATCCGTCAATCTGGTTACACTTGCATGATTGTAATTGACTCATTTGAGTCGTCGCACAACGAGCGAAATCGCGAATCATCTGCGATACAAATTCACAATTTATCTTTCATTTATGGCAATTTCTAGTAGAGGCTCTACTTGTATGGTTCTGGTATTTGGTAACCTGAATTCGATCCTAAGGGTTCTCTTCTTGTTTTCCCTTAAATGATCAAATTCAGGCTATACCAAAGACCGGAACCATTCACTACTAAGTACCCCATTTCTATTTAACTGAACTAGTTCAATAGTTCAATCGTTCAATTTCGTACACTGTGATAGGAAAACTTCTATGAACCCAATCGAGTAAGAACGTGAACGAAACAGCTACAACAGGCAGATCCCAACTCTCTTGCGTGCTTGGTCGCAAAGCGACAAATGCTTCAGAAGTACAGGATTTATCGGTATCCACAATCAAACTAATCATGGATCCAACCACTTCATCAATATGAAGACTTATCGATTTGGATTTCATACAATTACAACAAGAACTTCCCAAGAACATGACTCCTAAGTGCACTCTCAAGAATCTATGAAAGCCCAATGTGGTTTTTCAAAACTTCTGATGTGTCTCACCATTTACAATAACTACTTTATTAAGGAACTACTGCCTGTCGTGCCTGGCGCGTATCTATGTTGTCGCACATCCACACCCCGTTGCCAAGAAAAATGCGAAGCAACTCGATGAAGTTTCTTGTGTTCTCTCAGTTTCCTTCCTGTTCTGGCTAGAGACCACGTTCATCAAGGTACTTCACGACTGTAACTTTATGCTGTAGAAGAAGTTCCGAGGAGACAACATTGACCGAATCATCTTTGAGTCCTTCCTATATTAAATATGCACCACCACCAGCAGTGCTTTCATTCTGCTGTCGGCTGTCTGTTCCACCTGAGTTGTTGTCTTCCCTTCTTGCTCTCTTTTCACTCCCTCCTTGTTGCATAGACACGTGATTTTAGTGGTAATTCATTGCCGCCCCTTTCTTTCGCAGACAGGACTAGGACCACTTTTCTCAGTAGAAATGACAGTTTCGCAAACACGATCATTACGCAAAAACCTTCAATGAAAATTCGTTCTTCAGTACTTAGTCTAGTAAACTAAGTACTATCTTTGCTCTCAACAACAAAAAATGAGTGGGGCATCGATGTTTAACCGTGGTATCCCTGGTGCTCCAGCGGGCGATCCACGAGGCGACGCACCTGGTACTTTCACCTCAGGCGGTTCATCAAGCTCTTATTACCACGACGTAACTAGCGGATTTGGTGAAGTGGAAAAAAGTGACGCGGCTGATGCTGGAACAAGTTATGATGCTGGAACATTTCTGCCACTGACTGTGACTCTTTCTCTTGTCATCAGGAGTGTAGAAAAACAATTGTGATGAAGCTCGAACCACTGATGTTGAAGATGATAGAGTGTTCATCAAACTTACCTCAGACCGATTCGTGCATACAGCTGATCAATAAGTACTAGATGAAGTTGAAGACGTCATCTTCTTCCGCCAGTTTTTGCCCCTTAGTCAGCGTGATGTCTAGTTCTATCTCTTCTTCTCCCCTGCCACCTCTGGAGCTCTAAGCCCATTCAGCAGCGGCCGACCGCATGCCGATTAAAACGGTCAGAATCCTTGTCGACGATGGAGTGCAGTCAGCGGATTGGAAGGTAGACCCCAAGTTCGTTTACGACGAGTGCGACCATGTGAAACTGGCAGCATCACGCTCATTACCCGAAATGCATGCCAAGATCGAGAGGGTGCAGGCATACATAAACTCCCTAGGAATTTTCAAAGATGCCACGTGCGTGCTGGATAAGGGGACTGGTATTTTAATACTTGTAACTACCACTACGTCACTCATCCAGGTTCGTCCTCGTGATAATCGTCTACTTTTTACCAAGAATGTACAACTAGATCAGCACTATCATTATACTATAACCAACATGTCAGATAAGAAGAAACAGGAAGATGTATACAGATTGTAGGTGTATAAGTCAAGTATGCCACATAACTCTTCTTTCACAACAAATCAGGTGACAACGACGTGGACCTGATATTCCATCTACGTCCGATTAAACCGCATTACTCTTTTGGCGCCAACGTAAACGGCAAAGGTCAGACGACCGCAGAATTCAATTTTGACGTGCCATGTATAGCCGGGACATGCACTAGTGCAAAATGCACAGCGAAAACACCGACTTGGTACTTATCAGTTTGCACATGGTTATTTCTTGTACTAGTACTCGTCCTTATGGCTATGGCATCGTCCTTATTGCAAGTAGATAGAAACTATGAAGAACGACAACAACGAATAGCCTTTGCCCTTTGAATTTGAAAAGAAAAACCAACGACTCTGCCCAACCTAGTAATTCTTCACCTCATCTACACCCCACCACATCACTCCACATCACCCCACATTTCCCCCCGCTCGACTCCCCCGCTCTCCACCTACCATCTCTCAGGCGCATCCTCGAAGGCTACGAAACGCAAGCCTCTCTATTTACGAAGCGATTATGGGGCGTTCGAGGTTTGCAGGCGAGTTTGGATTTGAATAGTTCTGTGAATGATATGAAGCCTTATTCGAGTTATGACGAAATGAGCAAATCAGTCAATTTGAACTTCGGCTTCGCTGGGCACAACCTCTCCGTGGAGTTGTACAATCTCCGAAATGTCGTGCTGGCGATGGGACAGGTAAGTAAAAGTTTAAAGAGTGAGACTGAGAAGATGAACAAGAGTGAGTCTGAGTCAATAGGGACGAACAGGAGGTCTAAGTCTAACTGATTTTCCTGCTCACTCAACCTCAAACTGAAAAAATTCTGCAGGCTTCCACCGCGATGCAGATGAGTCGTTTACGGTCCGTAAAGACAGGCTCTCGCTATACCTTTGCGCATCGAACTCCGTCAGGCTTTTTCGGTAAAATCAGTACAGAAATCGCTGGCTTCCTAGGAGACGTCAACCTAGCGAAGGGCGACGTGTGTTTGTCGAAAACATGGAGTTTCCCCTGTATCTTTTCGATGCGAGGAAATACGAGTTAAGGGAAAGCGAAAAGGAAGTAGTCATTGAATTTTTATATATGTTCCAGGACCACAGGGGGGGTACCGTCCGGCCCTAAATCATATGTAATCAATGGGATCAGGGAGCACGTCGAGTAGGTCTTTCTCTTTCTCATTGTCGAGTAGGTCTTTCTCTCTTCTCTCTAACTTGAATTGGATCACAAGGATTCTCTTCTTGTTTTCCTCATGATCAAAATCAGGTTACCAAATTACTTGATACGAGAACCATACAGAAAGAGAAAGCCCTACTCCTCGACATGATCTTATCACACGCTTTTCTTTGAGTTCTGAATTTCCGAAGACGAGACGACTCTTTTCTCCGTCGACCGTATCAACATGAAAACTACTCAACTTCACTGTGATTAGAATTATCGATAACATTAACACCTGCACTCCTTCCTCCTCTCTTCACTTTTCTAATTGCAACCTGTTGACATGTGGCATTTCACATTAATGGGTGCAGCCGGCCACGCAGCAGCTCTAGATGGCAGACCTTTGTGCATCCAAGACAAATTTTTCCTCGGAGGCGGAAACGGATTCGTGAACACGATCTGCAAGGGCTTTGGTTTCCGGAGATTTGGCCCTTGTGCGATAAGGTCTGTGGAAGGTGGGACGAGTGGCGCGAATGTAATAACACTGTAATATTAATACGGGTAAGCTATAAACATACGGGTAGGTGGCGATAGAGGTGTTTCTCCTGTTACCGTTCGTTAAGAACTGCAACATCATCATCGTCAATGAATATTACAAATACAATTAGTACAAAAATATAATTGTTGATTAACATTCATCATCATCATCATCACCATCACCATCGAAGCTCAGTCTCTCAGACATCTTTTCTCATGAACATTACCTTCAGCCTGAGTACGATTACCTTGGTGGTGATTCGTATGGCAATGCTAGTGTCAGCCTCGCCCGTGATTTTCCCTTGCGCGAAGGACAGGTAGGCCGCGCTTTTGTATTCGCGCAGGGTGCTGCGCTAGGCGACGGCGGGTTGAGCAAGGTCCTTACTTTACGGCTTCCCCTAAGGGTCCACCTTGAGATAGTAGATCTTGGAAAAGCTGTTCCTTCAGGAGAAAGAAGCACCAAGATTCATCTCAGGACGGATTTAAGTGAACATTGGCTTAGTAGTTTAGGCGTTGGCCTGTTCACTTATCAGGGCGACTTCTAATTACTCCCGAGCAGGGCAACTATCGTGCTAGTGTAGGCGCAGGCTTAGGCTTCCCATTCTTTCCCGGATGCGAGTTCCAGCTATCGGCGTGCATGCCTGTAAGATGGCAATCCACAGACATACGCGAGAACGTGCAATTTGGACTCAAGTTCGCTGGATAGGATTTAATGTTGATGAACCAGAGGAAGGGAGTTTCTTATTTCTCTCAGCAAATTGCTCGCGACTCAGCACATTCAAAATTTTTTCCTGGCGAGTTCTTTTTGTCTATGAGCACTATGACTATGAATTTTTCCTTTGTATTGGATGTAATTCTTGTAAAAACCTCTCCATGCATTTTTCTCCACCTCAAAGAAACGTTGGTGCCGATGCCCGTGTTCAACAAGCGGACTCAAAGTGGATGAGCTGAACGAAGCCAAAATCAACAGCAAAACCAGTAGGAGGTCTACTTTCTGTCTACATGATTCTTGACCTTGAGGACTACTCCTACATGATTCTTGACCTTGAGGTCTCCTACACCTAGGACTACACCTACTGCATTGACAAATGACCCTGGATTCCAGGGTATGTGCCGGGTCGGCGTATCCTTCTTGTCCATGAAGCGTAAGACTTCTCTGCGCCTTTTGCCCTCATCGATGACGAAAGAGCAGATCCTTTCTAGAGATATGGGTCAACTAATTTTGTCTGAAAATCATGAGAGTAGCTGCCTCTGTGCGTTGTAGGAGTGATCATTGCCTTGCCGGCTTCCTTGAGGGTGGGAGTCCGTACTCAACTCTGTTGCTAGCAGATCACTCTCCGTGGAAAGCCTCACGATTTTTCATCAGGAGGCAACCGTCAGGAGGCAAACAAAAAAAAGCAGGGCTGAGGCGGGACCGCATCTAAATCTAAATCTAACCTAACTGTCAGCAGAGGCGTACCATGAACAACAATAATCCTAAGTTAGTAGAGTTGTAATTTGTTGTTCTACCGATGATCCGGCGCATATTTGTTATACCCCAGCACGATTGGGTACACTCTTACTACAACTGCAGGGCTCGGGCTGAGGTCGTGCATACCCCCCTCTATAATTAATCTAACCTAGTAAAAAGGATAACCTAATGTCAGCACACGACGACGCGTGAGTCGTGGTGAGCTATGGGACTAAGCTTTTTTAGTCTTCGTTGCCTCATGTATAGACGCGAAATGCTATGAAAGAGGTGCCATCTTCACATGGCATGACAAGAACAAATCTTTGACACGAGACCACGAAGATGATTCCTTGAAGAACTGGTCTGTATTCTCAAAAAATAAAAAAAATGTTTTCGATCATGTTGGTGAAAACAAACTACAAAGGGGGGCAGTCACTTTGTGTGGCGGTGAAGTGGAGGCGTCCTATTCTCTCCTACGAAAGAAAAAAGATAATGATCATGAAAGCCAGTTGATTGATGACATGTAACCAAGAACTCCATCAAGACAGATAGATGAAAATATCTGCTATCTTATCCTCATGAGTTGCTTCCACCTGTTCTTCAAGAGCAGTGAGAGAGAGAGTGCGAGAAGACTGCCCCTTCCGTGAGCCAACTGCCGGACGCCAAGGACATCAATCCTGAAATCACAAGAAGGACCAAACCCCAATGCAATCAGTCCCAGTAATCTTCTGAAATCAACCCTAGTGATCTTCTGAAATCAACCCTAGTAATCTTTTGAAATCAACCCTAGTAATTCTCTGAAATCAACCCCGTTCTGAAATCAACTAGTAATCTTTTGAGTGAAGTAATCAGCCGTAGTAATCTTTCTGAGTGAAGTCTCAACAGTGTAATTTTTCTGAGTGAGTGTAACCAGCTCTACTAATCGACAACCAATGCAATCAGCCCTAGGCCTAGTAATCTTTCTGAGTGAAGTCTTCTTAGACTTAGATGACTCGTCGAGCTCGACTCATCTTTCACTTTCGAACACCCATCAACATGATAGTACGGGTTCTTCTTCTTCGTTCTGCAGCCGCACTTCTCGGCGGTTTGATGGTGCTTCCGATTCATCTCGCATCGGGAGCCGCGGTCACAACTTCTTCATCGATTTCTTCTGGAGGACCAGAGGACATGATCGACATCCGAACGTTGATCCGAAATATCCTGCATGCTTCTCCGAGCACTTTCTATGAAGTGCTAAACCTAGTGGGAACAGGCCACAACTGGAACGGGGGTCTCAAGCTCGATGGAGGCGTGCAACTGGTTACGAACAAAGGAGTAGTACTAGAGTCTGATTCATTGATGTGCAAGAATAGCGTAGGTGTTCGGCGTAGCTAACGGGGCGGGAGCGGCATGGCTAGTTTATGCATGCATCGGCATCGTCGCCCCAGTACTCCAGTACTCACTAGGCGGGGGCTGGTCATCCTACACGCAGTGCACACAGCTGGCCGGTGTGTGTAGTTTTCAACAGTATCCAGCATTCTACTCAGTATTCCACTTCCAGTATTCGCGTCCTCGTGTTAAGAACAAAGGACAAGTACTAGAGTCGTTTTCCGTTTTCATCATATGAAATGCAAAAACAAGAAGTGCAAACATCAAAAGCAACACTTGTAAGAACTCCCCACGCAAGTATCCCCATCCCCTCTTCCCCCCCTTTTTTGTTGGACTTACCCCCAGAATGGGTGAACTACTACTACGACTACTAGTTGACCTTGTTATTACTTAGCAGGTTAGTACAGGTGGTACTTCTCATTCTTGATGCTCGGCATTGGCAGCACGACCTTTTCTAAGGTCCTAAAAAAGAGATAGTAAACTTGCAATTCTAGTAGAACTGCTCTGTACGACCACGACTATGTTCCTCTAACTACTCCGCGAGCAGCTCGCGTGACCATTATAAAGCAGCAGCATCAGATGACAAGAATGCTTTGCAGTCTTTACAGCACTTGGGAAAGATGATGCAGGAGGTATCTAGTATCGAAGTAAAAGTAAATGCATGTGATGAACTCAAACAATTACATGCTGTTTTTGAGGAAGCACAGTTTATTTCTAGGTAGCCTCTACATAATCCAGCAAACAAAAGGAAAAATCTAAATCTAAGGAATCTATCTATCTTCACATGAAAAATTCAAATTAGGTTCTCTCTGAGGAGCAAACAACACCACCGGTCGCGAACCAGCATGCATTGAAAAACAAAAGTTTCCTGCAACCATCCTCGGTGGACCCATTGGTTCAGTTAAGTAGACTCATCTCAAATTGATTAGTTCCCTCATATCTTTCACTGGCACTTACCTCACGTTATATAACTCTTCCGTGCCATGTTAGTATATAACTCTTCCGTACCCTCCACCTGCTGCTCGTCTTCCAATCCACGAGGAGCGCTTGTTGAAAATCCGACCTTTGTTGCTGAAACTGGCCAAGCTGGACACCAAGAAATTCGGAACCTTGCAAAAGGTTGCTTCCGCTGCTCAGAATGCTGCAGACTCACAGATTGTTGAAGCGAGATAATTCAATTACTGTTGGGACTTTTGAACAAGAAGTGTGTGCTGCTCTATCTCTTCATCTACTCGGAAGTTGGGCTTCAAGATCTAGAAGCAAGTACCACTTGATACTTTTCGTATTCACAGTTTAATATTCGTTTTTTCCTGTTTCCACATTTTCTTGACTACAAGAACATTCATGATGCGTGACAGAATATACAGACTATTTTTGATGAACATTGATTTTTTTCCTGCAAGAATGATTGAACACGAACTCGAAGTCCGTCGAACACGACCACCAAGAAAGCAAGTCCAAGACCAGCAAATAAGTAAATATTTTTTCCCTCTGCTCAAGGAAAAGTGTGAATAGCTACTGCGTATTGAAAAGAAGTACTAGTACTATTGAACAACTGCGTATTGAGTGCTGGTACTAGTGAACACGAAGAATAAATTTTCAATCACGTGTTCCCTGATAGCACCCTCTTCACATACGCTTGTCCTGATAATCATAATGTTGTCATAATGTTCAACTTAAGTGCCTCCGCACTCGTCACCGAATGATGACAGACACCTTTATTCCCCACATGATGTATCTGCGCACAGGCCGCGGACGGCTAGAGTAGAGAGAGAGAGCAGAAAGCAGTAGAGAAATACGGAAAAATGGACGACAGGAAATGGAAAAAAGAACAATGAATGTGCCAAAGGTTGCACCTAGATATAGGCCTCTCACATAAGGCAAGCTGCTAGAATGAATGGCTTTGGTATTTGGTAACCTGATTCTGATCACAAGGATTCTCTTCTTGTTTTCCTACTTATGATCCAAATCAGGTTACCAAATACCAGCGCCATTCATGGAAAAACTTGCCTGTAGTAGTGGGGGGCGCGGCGACGTCCTCATCGTGAAGATTCATCCACACAACTACAACTAATCAAAGACTTGATCCACTTCCACCCACAAAATCTAAATCCACTAAATGTAAATAGAGTGATAGTTTGATTGTGATTCTATGTCTCTTATTCAAAAATGGATGTCAAAGTGAAGCCGTGCCTTACCTCACGAGGTGGAGTTTCCTGAGCACCACAATTCAGACCTTGTAATAAAGGACACACGAAAGTCAAAGCCTTGTTTTACGTTGCGGTCTCTAAGGGAAGACGGGTACTACGAAGTATGATTGGATTTTCTACAACAAGGTGGTGGTGAACGAACCATGATCCATTTATTTATAGCTACCATTCGTATTATCTTCCTTCTAAAAGGATACCAAGAAATGTGTGATTTCAGTGGTCTTTTACTCGCAAGTATAATAAATTCATAGAATTCTGTCACCCTATGTCTTGGAAACTATACAGGACCACAAGCAATTGTCGCGAAAGAGACCGAAACGAGACCGGAATAAGGCAAGCGGACGAAAAATGTCGTGTCTAGTCTTCATTGGTCTTTACGCGGTCACGTCGTCGACGTGCGCGGTAGCCTACGATCACGCTCAGAGACAGCGTTCGTTATGCCTTCAACGAAGAAGTATCAAAGTAGGCTCCTGTCTACTTATCAAAGTAGACTCCTGGTCCTGCTGAGTGAGTGAATGAATGAGTGAGTGAAGGGGTGAGTGTCTACTTATATTGTGTAGAGGTGGAGGGTCTTTGAAGTAGGGGTCTACGGTCGAGTTATATCTTGTTCACTAAAGTGTAATTGATTTTATACGATCGTTTGTAGTTGGGTTCAACTTACATTTCGTCCCCTACTAATGTCCGCGAACACAGGTTTCGACCTTGAGGAGGCAGACGCTTTGTACTCGTTCACAGGAGTTAACATTAAGGCTGAAAAAAGAAGATATTTACGTCTATGACCTCTAGGTGTAGACTTCCGTCCTCACGCTATTTTTTACCTCTAGGAGGTGTAGGCTTCGCTCATTTCACGCACTGTTCTCTCCGCTATTTACGTCTACGACCTTGCTTTTCCTTCTCGTAAATTGACGAAGACCCATTTTAGCTGCATCCCTGTACTTCTAGGTGACTACTTCCCTCCTAATTGGAAGCATAAATGAGCAGCGCACACGTGGTCGAATTCTTGCTTTATTATCTAGTGAATATCGCTAATTCGCTAATAACAACACAAGATCAAGAACTGCTTCCGGAGATCGAGATGAAGAATCTGCGGAGACATATACAGCGGAAGGCGAAGAAGTTTTCCCTGACCAGGAGCATATGAAGCAGCGTCCTCGTGTTAAGGAAAGAGTTAGATCACTTGTTAAGTAGAAAGATTATGATAATAAGAAAATACTAATAAAAGAGACTCTCATTTAATTTTGCGATTACGTCCTTTTATTTGTCTTTGCATTCTTGCAAACAACTTTATTTGTTCTAATTCTAGCAGAAAAAAGCTCCACGGGGAAAGCACTGCTTTCGTCCAAGAAAGGAGTACTATTAAGGCTCAACTTTCAATTGTCATTGGAGCTGGTAACTGAGATAAAAGAGGCGCCCCCTTCTTGAGAGAACCAACAGGGGAAAGATACGAAGGGAGCAAAGGGGAGAGCTTTGAAGGGGGTCGCTCCCGTTCAGAGTCAGCGCCCAATGAATGCCGAGCTTTAATACTATTTCTTTTGATCACCGCGGTGGGATTCAAAATGTTTTCGAACAGACAGGAGACGCAGAGGCAGAAGGGGAGAAGCCAGCGGTTCTACTTATGATATAATTACACGTGATCTCCTTTCTCCTTAAATCCGTCGCGGACCATCTACTCTGACTCTGTCTTCATTTCTGTGACCCTCTACTCTGTCTTCGTGTGCCTATGTTCTAATTCTAGCAGAAAAAGTCCACCGAAGCCGTCTATAAATGCCTTCCACGAGGAAAGCACTGCTTTCGTCCAAGAAAGTACTACTATTTCTTCTGGTAACCACGCTGGAACTCAACATGTTGTCGCAGAGGCAGAAGGCGAGAAGACAGCAGCAGAAGCGAAAAAGCCTACTGCAAGGTTTGACCCCTTGGTAGCGGAATACGATGCCACTATCCAACCCGCAGAGTTATGCTATCAGCTTGTCTCTGAGTCTAAAACTGAGCCCATGTCCTCACTCTCAGCTCCTCAGGGTCAGAAACGTTAGGCCCAGCAGAATATGATTTTGCTACTTCTACTCTTTTGTTGTTCTTCCCCTACGAGAATACAAGAGTATAAGGGAACAAAAGATACAAGGAGATGACCTCCGGGAATAAAACTAAATGCACATTATTGATTCGCCCCCATCTCTAAAAACGGGAGAAACAAAAGGCATCGACCCAGACTGGGCCTCCTATCAGGCATGCGTCAGACAGCCTCAGCAATTTCTGCGTCCAATGGTTATCGAACGTGACCCAAAAACTTACGATTGATGTCATAGTCTCTGTAAACGTTGAAGTTGAAGCCAGGAGCGGTCAACATATCCTACTTATTATAGAGTCTATGAACTACCTTGAAGTTAACTCTTCTAAGAGATGAGTAAGGCACCTATCCACCAACGTTGGGGAGACTTCGAGGAGAGGCTTTTCGGAGCTAATACCGAGTTTCTCACCACACCAGAGATTAAGGAGTGTCTGATGCAAGTTGCAGGTTGAAATTGAACTACTTATCTAGTACGCTTCTGCGCCTATTGCAGATTCCAAAAAGGATTACAGGCAATGCCGACGAGCTTGGACGCGACATCTTCTACACCTAGTAATGCAGATTCCAAGAAGGAACAATAAAGTGCTGTGAGATAGATGCCGATACGCCGAGACAGAGTGGGATTAGATTTTTACCCATACCCTCCTAAACCCACCCTAAACTAAAAAGAACTATCATAGATAGTATCTCGTATAAACTAAAGCGAAAATCGACCTTCGTTATTCTGTATTCTCGGAGGACGGAGTGAGGCCTTTTTTTCATGGAAATCAGTGGCCTAAAGATGGGCCGGGACGGGCCCGGTCTTCTTGCTTTTTCAAAGGGGTCCGACAAAGAGAGGCGACGAAGGATAGCGGCAAAGGCTCTGGCGTAACGTGGCGCAACCGTGTCAGGCCCGTCTCTCTTCTTCGTCCTCGCCTCTCCTGCCTCCGTCGGGGGCTGCGCTGGTTTTTTCGGAAGATCAAAACGAAGACAAAGGACTAAACAAGAAAAAACGACCCAACGCAAAGGGCCGGCTTTAATCATTGCGGCGCTGGCTGCTTATTCCTTCTCCTTGCGCCAAGTGGTTAGGCCTGCCCGCGCACGCACAGAGAGGCGGCTGGCATAGAAAACGAGCCGCGCCCGGGGCTGGGGGTGGAGATATATAAGCCCAGCGGAGGCCGTGCTCCCCGGGCATGCGGCTGCGTGTCTCGCTGCGTTCTTTGTAAGTCTTCAGCTTCGCCCTTTTTTCTGCAGCCGCCCCCCCAATGGTCTGGGCCATCGCCTTGGTTCTTTTTTCTTTCCTCGCTGAGGCCGCCGGCGTCTTCTCTTTCTTGATAATTGGCTTTCAGCTTCGCCTGGCTTGTCGTCCCTCACCTGATGCACGTTAGGGAGGCCGTTCGCCTATGGAATCGCTTCTGCGCTTCGTTCTCACTCGGTTGGCCTTAAATCTGGGGGGTTGTGCGTGGCAGTTGTGTCTTGCTGTGGCCTAGGTTGTGGGATTTGTGTCCCGAGTTGTGGAAGTTGTGCGCTGAGTTCTCTGGGGCAGCCTTATGAAAAAGTCGCGCTTGCTCCTTTTTTCTTTGGCTGTTCGAATTCGAACACAATGAGACCCCGAAGAATCGCGCGGGCTTCATCGTGTTCAAATTCGAAGAGCCTGAGAGTGGGGCGAGGCCTTTTCGTATGCTTTCTGTCTGCGCACAACTCGCCACCCCCGCGCCACCTCCGCAACTGACTCGCCACAGCGAACCTTCGCAACTTCTACAACATAGAAAACAGCCGCCACAACTTAGGCAACAACCCCCACAACCCAGGGCCCAACTTCCACAACTTTCCACAGCTTAAATGTACTAAAGTGCAGCGCCTTCTTAGGGTTTTGGCCTCTCTAAGCACGCTAAACACTCCACCCACGGCAACCGCCCTCGAAGGGGCGCGGCGTTTCTCTCTCAGAGGTTTACTTGAGGGGCGCCAGCCACCAGGCTTCGAGGCGGGATGGAGCTGGCGCCGCCGTCCGCTTGTGTTTGGACAGCTTAGATGGATTGTGCCGCTTGTGTGCGGGTGATTTTTCGAGGGCTTGCGGGGGTCGAAGTCAGCCGCCTCAGAGCCACTCCACGCCACACGAGGAGCGACCGACCGGCGGGCAGCCTGGCTGGCTTGGATGCAAGGAACGGCTGGCGAAAATAGGAGAAGAACACACAGAGAGGCACGCGCCGCTAAGCAATGCATCCAACGCGCCGGCCAAGAGCCCCGCGGAGAACCCGACCAACCGAAGACGAAAAGCGCAGAGGGCCTGCGCCTTTGCTTTGGTTCTTCGTCTTTTCGTGGCGGGTTGCTGGTTCTTTTCGCTGGCTGTGAGTGTCCCCACCCACCGACCTGTCACCCAACCTACCGAGAAAAAATGAGAAGCAGAGGCTCGCGCCACCTTGTGCGGGTTGTGCGGGGGTGTGGGGTTCATTTCATTCACTGTCAAACCACCGCGCCTTGTCAGGCTTGGAGAGAGAGGGGAACGCCTTCTGACTGCCGGACGGGTGGGCAGGGGGAATTGCGTCACCCCTCGGAAGCATTGCCCAGCGCGTGGGAGCTTGTTGCCAGGCCAGCCAGCTGCACAAAATGAACGAAAAAAGCCACCCACGGCCGGGCAGGCAATGGCTGAGATACTCCCCCAGACAGCTTGCCACGCACCTGCACCCCTAGCGCGGGCCCCGTGTCAGGCTTCTTGCTTCCCTCGTCTTTGGTGGCTTCGCTCTTGTCTGGTGTCTCTGTTCTCTTCTTCCTCATACATACCTTTCGCGCTGCCCCTGGCTCAGGCGGTCCCGCTTTGGAAGCGCCTCCCCCTCTGCTTCCCTTGCCTCGGTTCTGAAGCTCAAGGGCCGCGCCCGGCGCCGCTCCCCGGATTGGTTTGATGGGTGCAGCTTTCGTCGCGCCTATGCACCCTCAACCTCGGCCCCCTTCATCGGAGCAGCCCTTTTCATGACGTTTGCTTTTCTGCTCTGTCGGTGGCCTGCGTGGGAGCGGGCTTATTTGCTCTGATCTGTTACCTTTCCGCGCCAAAGCCTACAACTTGCTTGGCCAGGTTCTTCGACTGATACGAGACAAGACGGGCGCAGTGAATAAACTTGACAGCAGCGCAGGGACCGATGTCGTCATCCTTGCGCTAGCTTGTGATACATGTCATCTATCCAAAAAGTGAAGACGTCTTATATCTACTAGTTTTAGTACTAGTTCCGACACCTAAGAGCTAGATACCTCTTCTAAAAAGGCGGAGGGCATAGATCAAGTGGGTAGCGAGTATTACAACGAAGAAAAATATGGCCTAGAACTCGATCGAGGGAAGCGAACTGTCAAATGTACTGGTGTAGTCACACCAAGTCAAAGCGGCGTGGATTATCTCAGACAGACAATATGGCAAACTAGAAGTAGCACACTTCAACTTCTACTTCATCTTTGTTCAAAATTAAGACATTCATCTTGCAAGTAGTTAAAACATCCAACATCTTAAACTATTGCATGGTAAGCGGACATGATCCATCTTCTTGATCCACTGATAATGATCCATAGTAATTTTGCATCATCATAGATGATGATCCATAGATGATGATGATCCATACTAGTAATTTAGCAGCACCATCATCATAGATGATTTGCATCATCAGAGATTAGATAATTTGCATCGCCATTCATAGATGATGACCCATATATATTAATTTTGCATCATTCATGAATGGTCCATAGATGTCTACTTAGCTTGCAAATTATGTAATCATCCTTCTCCAAAGAATATCCATAGACTACTCAACTAATCAAGATGGATGTCTACTGAGTTTGCATGTTCTCAATAGTGGACGTTTACTTAGTGGTTTGTCTACTCACTAGTAGTTGTAATTAAACAATGGTCGACTACTTAGTTTCATCCATCTCGCATGTTAGGTCAGGTTAGGACTCTCCTGTATTTGCCTAACGCGTCGTTGTGCTTCAGATTCCGCCCACCGGGCCGTCTGTAGGTCTGTGGATAACCGTCTATCCTTCTCCTAATAATAATCCACCTTGATTAGTTTGCACTTAGTCAAGAACTAATCAAGATAGATGTCTTCTTAGATCAACTCTATCTAAATAAAATCTATCAAGATGGATGTCTACATAAGAAGTCTCGCAAATTAGGTAGACAGCCATCTTGATCTTCTAAATTAAGGAGACATGATCCATATCCAAAAACAAGTAGCCCCTTTTTCTAAGGAACAAGCAAGAGCAGCAGAATGTCAGAAAGCGGTTTTTTGAAGAAGCTTACCTCTCTCCGGCGTTTTTCGATGCGGCCTCTCTTAAGGCTACCACACTTCTGCCAAAACTGTAACTGACTACTAGCAGGCCACCCACCAACAATCTCCTTTTCTTGAACAATAATGATTCTAGCACATACGCCTAGTACTATTCTTCTTTTCAGTCGGAATGGGATCCTTTTGTTTAGAAGTCCTTAGCGACCTTTTAATTTCTCAAAGAGTCAGTCGCGTGCTGTAATCATGTAAAACTGAAGTGGATACACACTAGGATCATGCGGAAAATCAAGAACTTGATCTTGAATAGAATAATACTCATGATACGTCTAAAAGAATATTCATGTTCATCTTCTAGGACTATTCTCTAGTAGGTTAATGGATAAGTATCAATGTAGAACTTTTCACTAGCTCTTCTTCTAAAATCGATGCGGATACACATCGAGCAGGTACCGCAGGTGCGGGGGGCAAGGAGCTGCTCATAAAGCTGTGGAATAATATGAAGCAAGTAATGCAAGAAATGGCAGGAGCACTTTATGACGCGTTAGTGCATAGATATTTCGTATGATAGAAGGATCTATTTCTATAAGGATCTCTGTTGTATTATATATAGGGAAGTTGTGTTGTATGATAGAAGGATCTATAACCTAACCTTTGCGTGATGGCGATTTCGAAAAACAAATGATGTAGAAGATGATTATACGAGCGTTGTAGGGGGAGAAAACTTAACACAAGTCGCGCGAAAGCGTGATGGAAAAACGCTAATTCAGTAGATACTCTAACTATATTTTCCAGCATACGTGATTCCTTTGATGCTATGCTCGGCCCTCTAGTCTATAACGCAGTTCTGGCACGTATCTCAAGCTTAACACGTTATTTGATGATATAATACAGATACAGATAGTACTCTTGATACAGACACTCTTGATCTACTAATGCCTGATTGATTCACGGGACGGAGCCGGTGGATCTAACGAGAAATGCAGAATGTTTGTCGAAGATATCCGTTTGCAGGGATCTCCACCACCTCCCACATCCACATCCACGCCAGGCAAGGCGGGAGAAGCGCAACACACAGCTAAGAGGTTTCCTCCACAATTCCTCGTAACCTCTAATCATCTCTATCTCTATCGGAATTTGAATGATATTAACAGAATAGAGGTGGTCTAAAAGAAATCTTACACAATTTAATTACTTATAATTCTTGGGCCCATCTCACACTCACTCTTCTAAGGTACTTTTTTTACTACAGTCAGTGTCAGCAGGTGTATGAGCACATCATCGTGTCTCTTCAGGTATCGCTAACCTAATAAATCAAAGTTTTTCATCTCTTCCTGAATTCTTCTATAGGGAAAATTGTCTTCTCTCAAGCATCTTCGTTATTCTCTTTATTGTCGCTCTTCGATTATAGATTTAGAGGAATCCTCGTCCCTCATCAATCGTATGATCTACGCAAGGAATCATATTCCCCTTTTCTCGAGACAAGATATTCTCCAAAAGTTCCTTTTGGGTCTTTGTCCTTCCATAAGTTCTAAGATAGCTGGCGTACCTGTTGCGACAGCACAAGCAGCAGGGAAAGAGGAGGAAGATGCGAGGCCGCGCAAAGGTTACGGCAAAAAGATAAAAATGTACAGTACTAGTATCTACGAGATTTGTGGCCGATTGTACGGTCTTATGCGCCCCCAGTATGTAATTTGGATGATCTTAGTTGAGCATGTTAATTAATTGATTGAAAGGGCGGTGGCATATAGTCCTAACGCAAAAAAAAAAAAATTTACGGGTGCTACGGGCAGCACTATCAGAGACGCACACATGAGAAGATGACAAAGCAGAGTCCCTCTTCTAAGCAAAACGCGGCGGTTCTTACACAGGTCGGGCTCGGTTTGTTGACACGAACCTGGAAATGAAGGGCGATCTATTCCTCGCATCCGACTGTGATCCCCATAGGCCTGTTAAGGCTAATGGCGTAGCTCCTGTCTTACTGTGAGTTGGAGCTATTTTCCGAGTTTTCGGCAATTTTGGTGTGAGCTCCTCACCTGCTTCTGTGGCAGGTGCGGCGAAACTCACTGGGCCGCTTTTCAGTCGGCTTTTTGTGCAATTTCTTGGATATTATAGCGCTCCTCAATGTCTTCAAATCGCAGTCGTTTTCGACTGTCCCACTTAAGTGAGCAAAGCACAACCCAGGTAGTTCACTGTTCTTGGAACGAATTGCCACAAAGTTTTTTTCTACTTCGGCTTGATTGTGAAGCGAATGGGGAAATTGAACACCAAAGGCCTACGTACCACTAAGTCTAGAACGAAGTACCAGATATGGGATACCAATGGATGGGGGCTGGACCTAATAGAATTTTTCGATCCAGAGAAGCCTGCAAATCATTATGGGGAGGATATTGAGATAGAGACTGCTACTAGTATCTGCTCTAGTTGTGCCACGTAGTACCTCTTACTCTACCAAAAAGCGTTTTCCTATTCATTTTCAACCATTTCAACTAGCAAAAGCTGGAGACTGACGAATCAATCCTCTAAGAGCAAGCCAACAGTCTAGGAGAGGCGCTTTTTTTTCGACGTTATGTGCGGCCGTACGACGATTGTGACCTGCTTACAGAAGCAAGTACCGATATCTTTAGCGCAGCCGCACCGGGGAATCTTGTTCCTCTCTGTGTTCAGACCCGCTCTTATGGAAGCTCCATACTCTATTTGAAGGACGATTTGCTTGTTGTTGTTGGTAATCTAGTAGACCCACAGCCACACCTAGCCTTGTTGTTGTCATGATCATGAAGAATGAGTGAGTGAATGAACGTCTATGTCATACACTTACACATAGCGTTGTTGTAAAAGATCATCTCTTCTGCGAGATGTGTAGTTCTTTTCCTTGTATCATCTATTCGCCACTTCTTTGTTTGGCTTTGGAGGTTGCAGACCTGCATAAACAAGATGTCTAGTTAGACTTGTATTAAAACATCAAGACCAGAATGAACCGCTCTAACTCAAAGATACGAAAGCGATGAACGTTTTGCCGGCTTATGGGAGTAAGGGTGGTCGGTTAACGATTCTTCCACACGCGGGACCTCATACCGATTCTGCTAAATTTAAGGGTAGTTTACACGTTGCATTGAAATGGCGATCCTTGATTGTTCAAGGGTCGCTTCCACAGTGCGTCCTGGTCCACTAACAGTAACAAGATCCCTGATTGTATGTCTTTTCCTTCTATAGCGTGGTCTTTCCCCACTAAGGAGGTTACTTAAGGAGGGAGTCAGGGATGGGATGTTCTGAAGATTGCAATGTCTGAGGTCTAATGATGCAGAGGAAACGCAGTTCGTATATCCTCAAGGAGGAGCAGCGCCTGAGGCAGATCATCCTTTATGGCTTTTTCATCGCAGCATGCCTACTAAAAATCTTCTACAACTCTAGTAGATAGTACATACTAGCGTCGTCTGCTCCTCCTAAGATTTCTCCTGCGTTTCTTCTTCATAAATGTTTACACATAAATGTTTATAGCAAAGCAAGAACCTAACGATCATGTGAAGTAGACGTCTCCTCGTCTGGTGGCGCCACTTCTAACATGGAAAGTGCTGGAGTCAAGTACCGGAACCGGGCAGTTGTGGTCTTTGGAGCCGCTTCGTGCGTTTTGGGAAGGGAGTGATCTTACCGTCTACAACCTTCGAACGCTTTTCTTTAAGGCTACTTGTTACATCGCTTTTGGCTGAATTAGTTACTATCTACAGCGACTTCAAATACTAACATATTGGCCTTGGTCATGCTCACTGTCAGAACTTATCTCTTGGGGTACTAGGAACGGCACCATCTTCAGGGACCACGCAGACATGACGTGAATTGACATCCAGCGTTGACTCCCCTTGTAGTACTTCTCTAGCCTTCTACGCATTACTAGTCTGACGTCGTGCTTTATCTAAAACTTAAGTATCTTAGGATCAACATCTTCACAGCTTCAACATCAGGAAAATCCGTAGAACACAGAGGAGATTCAGGGAAGTTGTCGTAGGTCCAATCCGAACCGACTAACATCGTCGTCGTATCTTTTTCTTTAAATAGCGAGACGTAGTAGAGCTGCATGAGCTGACAGGTTGTGCAGAATATCTACACCAGGTTGTCTCGTGCAGTAGACGGCTAATATATAAAGATATCGATCTTTCTTTCCCCTTTATTTGTCTAAAGAAGAAGAAAATGGATAATGTCTTTCTTGTTTGGTCTTCCTGTTCCTCTACCCCTGTTCTAAAACTTACTGGATGTTTCCTTCGAAGTTCTCACCGAGGTCTGTAGCGCAACAGTATGTATACGCTTTGCAGAAAATTTATTTCCCCTTATGGTGCTGGTGTTCCTCGTACTGACAGACTGTTAAATCGAAAACGAAAAGTGTATTCAGTCTTTATTTACTCCAAAAGCAAAGACGAGTGCGTGTGCTTCCGAACTTCTTTTAGAAATAAGAGACCCGCCTACAACTACTAACAACTTTTTTTTGAAGAATTTCAATTGCCAAGATGAACAATCAGTGCTGTCGTGCCCCCATTCATTGGCGGCTTTTTTGCATACGGACCAAGACCAGAAGGAGTTATGAAGCACTACTGATGATGATGATGATGATGATGATCGAAGAACTCAATATATGAAATAACTGGTTACTTAATTTTGATTTTCCCTTTTATTTGAATTTATCCTAGGTTAGAAGTCCCTCCAATCAAAAAACTCAATATCAAAAGCTGGCGTCACCTACTAGGGTTGATATTTTTTCAATGTTGATATTTTTTGTCCTCTTTCTTAAATAAGTACTATGAAACGCAATTTGGACGAGGTACCGGCAAATTTTCCAAGATTGTAGATACAGACAGTAGGACAACAACAAAAAATTGCTACACAGGAGGGGGCACCATGACATGACAAGTTCTAAGGTTTCTTGGCCCCGTTCCCAAGCCGCTGAAGGAGTGGCCACTTGGTGAGGATATGAAGTATGCGATGAACCTGCGGTATTCGGACTTGCGGAAATCGTGCATCCATCACAGTGGAGATGATACGAAACAGCTAAAAAAATGCGTTGAGCATGGCGATGGAAAATTCTGGTATTTCAATCTATGGCATTTTTGCTCAGAGCTCGTAATTTCAGAGCTAGTTTAGAAGTAATTTCAAGAAGCTTCGGGTGGCTATCATGATCTTTGAGTACTTAGTTGTACTTGAGAGCTCACAGAGAAGCATACATGATAAGGAGCTTCAGGCTATCACGAGAATGGTGGCATAATTTGTATTTTTGCTAATATTCAATTCAATGATCATTCGAGTATGACCAGTTTTTCAACTTCAACAAGGAAGTGTAGTATGTCTTAAACTGTTGACAAAATGACTAATTGCCACCCAATAAGGAGGAAAAAACTGCGCACTATAGTTCTTTGCTACAACAGTATGTTGGGACTCAACGGAGCAAAGAAAGTGCTATTCTTCTAATAACACCCAAAGCACTATGGAGTGTCGGTGATCGACGAGGCATGCACACGACCACGCGCAGATTGGTTAGATTAAGGCAACCAAGCGAGCATGCTCAGTGTCATCCTTCTAAATTTCGTTAGAATACCAGGATGTCCGTCGAAAAAGTGGGAGACACCGACATTGGTCCTCTTCAGAACTGAAGAATCCACGACTACCGAATGCTTCCAGGAAGCATTCCTCACGTGAAGAGGTCAAGGTCTAAATATGATAGTACACAGGGATTCTAGCTCCTTAAATGAAACGCAAAATAGCTATTGTTCATGGAGCTGCCATTCTGACTAACAGTCCCAAGTACACAGCAGTAAGTCTAACTCGAGCGCCACAATATCTGCACCCTCCTCTGAACCGGTGGGAGCGGGACGCAGCAAAGCATCTGGCACGGGCGGTCGCCCAGAACACAAGGGGGAGCGGTCCTCATGTTAGGTGAAGAAAGAGAAGTAGACCTCAAGGTCAGACGAAGGCGCCCTTGATAAGACAGTCGGCACAGATCTTTTGCGCGAAATTTTTTATTGTATTACATCCAGTGATCAAGTAGAAAAGTGTCTCCCTATTCGTCCTATACTCCAGTGGTTGTGCCGTAGTAATGCTTGTCATCATTCTCCCACTGCAGTCAGCATCTTCCACCTCCGAAAGATCGTATTCTTTTTAATCGGTCACGTTTTTTAGTTCGAATCATCCCATGACCCTTATAGTTGTGCAATGTTTTCCCCTTCAGCCTCTAAAGAATAAGAAAATCTTTTGCACTTCCACGCGATGCATCAGTATCACGGGTACGGCTGCGCGGTCACAGACGTCGCAGACAATGGCAATGCACCGGGAAAAAAGGAAAGGGTAGGGCTGAATTTTGTTGTTTTTGGATGACTGCTCTCTCCAGGTCGTGTACTAACATGGAGGACTGCGAAGTCCCTGTGATACATAGGTGTAACTTTGACTTTGAGCAAGTCCTTAGTATAACAAGTTTGAAAAGTCAAACAATGTAAAAATATGAGTGTTTGCTCTTACTGAATCATGTCGGTTGTTACAACCGGGTTGCACTCTTGCAATCATAAAAGGATAGGAGGTCAAAAATGTTTGAATCTTCCTTCACGACTTCTGATCATCTAAGAAGCAGGGTCGCAGTCCGTTTTTACGATCGCAAATGGTGTCCACCGGAAAAGGATCACACAGGACGCAACCCACATCCGTCGAAGAATCCGAGCAAATATGTCGCGTATGCTGTTATGTTCGTGGTGTGATATTTTTTTTTTCGGTAGGAAGGACCGACAGTGACACTCTGAACTACAGATAAAACCTGTATCTCATCGTCCACAGTTTATGACTGCATATCTACTCATCATCTAATGTCCAATACTAGCATCAACAAACTACACACTCTAACGTTAAGCCCATGCGCACGATCGACGTAGCAGGATATCTTCGCCTCGGAGGACCGAGCGGGACCAGTGGCGACATGATGTCCTTTGGCCAGTTTATTGGCGGATTTGACCAACACGACTATGAAAACGATAGTTGTTGTCCCCTACGTCATTGAAAACAGTAACTCATCGAATATGTATCTATATGTGTACCAGGGAGGGAGGCCCCCCCTGTCATACAACAATGCCCATTTACTGACTGTTTGTAAATCGTCAGTAGCCAACCATGCGGTTTGTCTCTTTATCAGGGAGACCATCAAAACCTAACCTAAGCCTAACCTCATCTATCTAATATGATTTTGGTGGTCTACTAAGCCTAACCTCATCTATCTAATACGATTTTGGTCTACAACTACCTCATGCTCATGTGCTTGATACTAGAGAAAAATACACTGATGAGAACCTATGATGTTGATACAGTGCTTAAGGTTCTTACACTATAGTGCTATTTCTTTAAATGCAATTATTAAGGTCGTGAAGGATACGACAAGTTTCCTAAGGTGTGGCTCAACCACAGTTATTTCAGTTGTTGAGATATTCGAAATTAAGTGATTCATTAAGGCAAAAGTTAAGTCTTAAGGGATGTTTATGGTAAACATAATAAAGTAGGGCTACACTCCTTAAATGACTCCTTGAATACTTCTGTCGCTAAAAAAACCTTAGGTGTATTATGCTAGTATCGCTATGACATGGCATCTTTCTCTAAACCCGAATGGCCATTCTGCGTCTGCGTCTGGTAGCGTACTTCACCTCAAATGGCTTCCATAGTTTTATCGAGGTATTGTTGGGATCCGATGTGGGTTTCGAAAAGTATCCCGACTACCAAATGGCGACAGTGCTGCAGAAACTTATGATTTCAAATGCGTAAGACTACGAGCCAGAGCAAAGAGGGTGGGAATCGATAGAATGCACATGAATAGAAAGTGCAAAGGATAGCTCTGAAGCAGTAGAACAAGACCTCAAGATTAGGCACAATGATCATCATCACCATCATCATCATCGAGAAGCTGTAGTTCGTATTGGCTTAAAAAACAGGTAAGCGAACGCTTCAAGAAGTTGTAGTTCGTATTGGCTTAAAAAACAGGTAAGCGACATCTTAAAGAAGTATAATTTCCTAGAAGACGAGGAAGATAGGACTTACAAGAAGTACAGCAACAGATGACTAAAAAATCGTACCAAGATCATCTTTTTTTTCGTCCTCTACTAAAAGAAGTAAGTAATAGATGACGCAGCACCGTTTTGACGAAGACGAGACAGACTATCGCACAGCGAGAAAAGTGATCCTATAACTTGCTAGAGCAAGAAGACGAAGAAACGAAAAAGATGATCTACTTACACTTACAAGAAGCAAGCTAAACAACATAAACTTACTCTAGTCCTACCCTCCTGCTTCTTCTAATCCTATACACCAAAATCCCGCTTTTGTGAGCCTTCTGGATGAGCTAGCAAGCAAAGAGGGGCAGAAGGCGGTGAATGATGCTATTGCCATGGTGTGGCAATACTATAACAGCGCAAACGGTCCTCCTCTGTTAGACCGCGATCCTGCCGAGTTGCACAAAGAGGCCCGCAACATCGGGACCGCAGAAGATACAGTGGTCTTTTTATGGCTTATACCAATCAAACTCTTGTTTACTCAAGCTTGTGGAATTTAATAACCACTGACTCTTGTTTAATAAAGTGGAAGTGCAAGTATCTATCCTATCAGCAAGTCTTTATTGGTCTTCCTCGATTCCAACAACCTAATCACAACGATGTGTACTAGTACCAGAGATAGATACGCTGGAAAGCATTGACTATTTCTACCTGCTCTTCCAGTTGTTCTTCAAGTTCTAGCGGCCTAACCATGTCGCTCACGTTACCAAGACTTTTTTACTTCAACACTCAAAAATTTCGCCGACTCTACTCAAGTCTCAACCTCTTCATCTTCATTCTTTGCATGTAATTCTGCACCATCGCTCTAACCCTTACGAAGGAGAAGAGCGACGAGCTAACGCTGAAGGCCAAGGAGGCACACGGAAAGCTGAAGAAGGTTGCGGAAATGGTTGCAGAGGCATTCATGCCGCAGTTGCCTCCGGAAACGCCGAAGTGGGAAGGAATCGAAACTGTAGTCACAGATATCACCGAAGCGGAAAAGGGAAGCGGAAGCTCCTGCTGCTGAGTTCTTGATTTTTTACCTATTATTTGACGAGTATGAAGACGAGAACTAGTAAGTACGGGATGTTGTACTTTTCTATTGAGATCGTCAGACAGTCACAGTTGTTGAGATCGTCACTCACAGGACGAAGAGGATGTACTTACTTTTTTATTGTGACGACTAGTAAGTTAAAACAACTCTTCGCTCACAAAGGAACCCTGCAAAAATATCCCAGATTCAGAGCAAGATAAGGCGGCAAGCAACACGTCAGTGTTTCTCCACCTTCACAAAATGTGACCAAGGAAAGATGATAAACGTTAACAATTTCATGATTTGAAAAATTTCAGACGACTTCGCAACAAATAGACCTGAAGATGAACATGAAAGCTTTTTCACTCGTTTTTCGCCCAGAAAGAGATATTTATTATAGTTTTTGAAAAGTCCTAGGTTCATCTTATTATTATATATAGTTTTCGATTATTCAGTGGCACTACTTCTTTCTTACCTACTAGTACAGAAATATAATTGAACAGGTATTTTCAAGCAAAATCCAAGACATTTAATGCGAGGTCCTTTGTGTTGAATGCACTAGCACCTCTAGTCGAATATTCCAACGGTCTACAGCTCATTTCGAACAAGAACGACTAACAATACAATTGTAAAAGCCATTAAGTAATAATCGTAACGATTGATAATTATACAACCGGGCAGCCTACTTACCTACTAGAAGGTGTAAGTACAACATCATCATCCAATTATGTGGCGGCTAAACGACAACAAGAACAAGAATATCATTTAAGAGACATCGTATTATTGTGTGTGATGCATGCAAATATTTCCTCGATGTTGGAGGTTACCCTTTTATGCAACATGTATATGTCATCCTCACCCAGAATCCATGAATTACCAAATACATCATGTTGAGCGTTCCTGTACTCGCGAGGAGCCTCTGGAATTCATCATCAAAAAAGCGCTCATGCCAAGATCTTCATCTGATGTCCGGCATCAACATCTGTAGCAGTAGCAACAAGTAGTACGCATCGGTAACAGGTAGTACGCAATAAGTAGTACGCATCAACATATGTAACAGTAGAGTTACGCCTCGGTCTCATGGTCGGTTTCCCTCCTGTGTTGGAGTGGTGCAATTGAGATCGGTTGTTACCATGATGCAAAATCGAGGACAACCACTGCAGCATTATCTTTATCGGTATCGTTGATCAGATCATGTTGACTCGAATCGCCTGTCATATCTTTAGCGTCCATAGTAAGGCTCCCATAGACCACTATGTATCCATTCCCATAGCATGATACACAAGCCCTGCTCCTATGAAGGCTGTGCCGCTCCACTTGTGTAGTAAGTTGTAAGCATTACAGTCCAGAAGTATTTTTTCAGTGCTACTCGAGTGTTTGACGAGGACAGAAGTTATCAGGCACTCACTGGCACCTCTTCAGGAGGACTCGTATGAACGAATTAGAGTCTTTTGTTATTTCTTTTTGGGTAGATGCTTGCAAGCATATACCTACCGCTTTTCAGTTCGGGCTGAACACTAGATTCTTATCACTAGATTCTTAACATCAGATGTTCTCTTTGCAAGCAGGAAAGATGGACCAAACAGAACGATTTCGCTGCTTGTTCTAGTACGTGCTTTTGGCTCTTCAGCAGCCACTGATGTCTGCTAGTTTTCCTAGTGGGCCCACACCTAATCTAACCTAAGTAGTGCTATGTAGAACAACTCCTGCAACAACGACACCAGTGAGTCACGGTCTGCTGAGATGAAAGAATTGTAGTACTTGAACCAGGTCCGCGTCCGAAGTCGAACGATCAAGATCATGACTATTATAAGCATCCAGGAGAGGAGCCAAGGATAATCCACATATTAATAATAGCGGCGACCAGGACCACTCGATTTCATCTAGAAGAACGAGAATGGATGTTGCACCCGTCGGAGGAAGCCTTCCTGGAGGTGGTCAACTACAAGGATCAGTACCTTCATCTGCGTCGCAGACGTCAGAGATAGTCCCGACTGCCCAAGTGCATCAAGATGGGCTTGAATTGATAAATAATGCAGCATCTTCCGGTAGTACTATTCCGCCTACTTCTTCAATATCTGCGGCACCAGGAGGCGGGGCAACAACAACATCGAGTGCTGCTTCAAGTAGAAGTAGTACCAGTGGTAGTACTACAACTGCAGCTTCTAAGACCAGTACCACACTAGATGATGTTCATCATGTTCTTGGTACTACAACTATTGCATCCACCGCTTCCACTCCTTCTGCTGTCTCGTCTGCAACCAATGTTCTTGTGGCGGGAACCCTACAAGATGGAGCGACCGCGAAGCCCCTTGCTGTACCAGTCTCAGTAAATCAGGAAGATCTTAGGCAAAATCTTGCTAGTGGCGCAGTGGGTAATAGGGATGGTGGCGCAGCGGAACGGCAAATACAGTGCATCGCGAATGTAGCGCTTCTTTCATCGATAGTCGTAATGTTAAGGGTAGATTTTTGGTTTTTGCTGTAGTCACCGCTTGTTTTTGTTGACTCCCCGGCCTCAGGAGAAAGCAAGGCAGAACAGATAACAGGAAACATTTAACACCAAAGTCCTACCTCTAACCACGCTCTCGCCGGCTTCGTTCTTCTACAGGCTTTTGATGACGAGAGGAGAAAGCCTCCGAGATGTCAAGCAACAAGTGATTATACTATTACCTTACCTGCTGCTGTGGGTTTCAGTTATGAAGAGGACGATAAGAGACGTGCTGGTTATCCACATCCTGCTGTTCATGGTGATTACACATCATACCATGTTCCGAGGCACTTCCGGACATCCCCATGTAGGAAGAAGTATGCAGACCCTAGTTCCTGCATATCTTCACCAAGGAAATTACAACGTGGTTATCAACAACAACATCAAGTTCTAGTAATCATGCGAGCCCTAATGCTAATATTATCGTATCTATTTCTATGTATTGAATAATGTTCATGTTAATGTTTCTAACCCCTCTTGTCTGTGGTGTGCCTGGGCTTTCCTGGATGGAGGGAAGTGGGAAATATTCCAGCTACAGCGTCTGGGAGTGGGCATCTACTCCCTCTATGTTGGTATTTTCCTCTACGCGGCGACCCCCGACCAAAAAACAAAGGTAAAATACGCCTGCTCGGGAACCTTTGTAGCTCTGATCGCCATCCTCCTCCACGGCTCGCTTTGCTTGCCGACAGAAAGAAGTACTTTTACGGTTATTGGTTTATAGAATCATTCAATGCTAATGCTATCATGTGCTGGTTCTTCAACTTCTGTTGTACAGTTCATTTTTATTCTGGTTATCGGTTCAAAGAATCATTCAATCCTAAATATATGCTAGTTCTTCAACATCAACTTCTACAGTTCTTGATTCATCTTCTTACTCAATCCGCACGACGCAAGGTAACTTAGAAGATCTCATCAAACTACACAAACACTAGTTTAAAACCTGCACGACATGAATCAACTGCTCCACAATCAGGTCTCTCGGTCTTCGCGTACGTGGCACTTGGTGTTAACTTTTTACTCTATCTAGTGCCCTTCATCCAATTAGCGGATGTAATCCGGACGGGTGTGGTGTCCGTGTTTCCGCTGCCGCTCTGTCTCTGTTCCGCCATATCTTCAGCGTTGTGGACCTACTACTCATGGGTCAAGTGGAGTCCGGCATTTTGGTACTTCTAAAACTTTCATCTTGCATTTATTTGGAGTATGAATTATGAATATGATTTAATAAAATAATTATATCACTTTCTTCTATTATGATTTTCTGTAGTGGTCGTGTGGGTCAAAGGCTGCTCTACTCCATTTCTATAATTGAACAACTAGTTCATCAGGGGTAGTTCAATAGTTCAACTCGAGGCGAAGCCTGACGCAGAGCCTTGTGGTGACGTTTCTTTGTTTCCTACACGATCCTAAGACACGACGAAGGTGAAGGTGAACAAAAAATGAAATGCAAACCTCACATCAGGGTCGCCTCTCTCGCTGGTTTTCTGTTCAACGGAGTACAAGTAGCCGTGGTGGTCTATATTCAGTGGAAGTATGGGGAAATTGTGAAGAGTTGCAAGTTAGAGGCGGCTTTAGGCGACAGTCGTATGCCTTTCTTGGCTCATATGACTACCCGAATCGACCTGAGAAAAGCCAGGGATCATCTGCGAAGTGGGGTCGGTGCAACATCGAGTCTAGTTGCGGCCGGTCGTGCGAATAGTAGAGGACGAGGAGCAGGAAGCGGGAATATTATGATCATCATCGTCATCATCATGAACATCAAGAGTGTGCTTGAAGATCTTAGATGTTGGCAGTGATAGTGATACATAAACAGAAAGGCAATACCGTGGTCGTGCGATTCAATCCGACAAGGATGAACAATAGTAGAAATGTGGTAAGAAATCGAATCATCCAAGAATATGAACCACTGAAAATAGCAACAGAGACGAGAGACCACACACCAAATAACCTCTATCTCTTTTGACCCCCTTCTACTTCCTCCGACTCCGTCATCTAACACCAAGCTCAGTGGAATGAAGAGCATTTTAGAATCTCTAGACACTTGGAGTAGGGGGAAAGACCATGGGAGTCCAGCGCTGCCAACCAGTCTTAAGGCTAAGGGTTGCAAGTAGTTGATGACCATGACCTCTCTAACTCTGGGCGCATATCTAATATGTTGACTTTACTACAATTGCACCAGGTCGTACAGCATGGAGATCATGATACTAGATATGCGCCGACATAGATAGGCCAACTGAAGAAAAACACCCCTAAGAGTAGGAAGAACACGATCGGTCATTCGTGCGGAAGTTTCGTAGGAAGCGATTGCGGTGCCCTGGTAGTCAAAAAAAACCGAGACCACCTCCAGTTGCACCGAGGACTCTTATGATGATGGACAAAATCTTCTAGTCAAGAAGAGGATATGAATCAACAAGATGTGACTACATTTAGAAGTTTCTGATACGACAACTACAGCATCAACAAGAACATGTACATCTTCAAGAATTTTCTGATACAAATACTGGTGACAGGTTCTTGCATTTCAGGAATTTCAGTTTCTTCTTGTTCTAACCCGTTCCAATAACCTGAGTCCTTCTGACGATCGAGGACACAACATGGTCTTTGAGAAATCCTTTTCACCTGACTCAGGATCGCCATCGCCGGGACCTCACAATCACCACCACACATCCCCAGCTTTAGTTATGGATTATGGCACGACCTCTCCTTATCCACTGCAGAAAACAACTCGTGGTGGGCTTGCGGTAACCCGGCTTTGATGATGACTGTCCATCGATGAGCCACAACATTATGATCGATGATCCACCAAGTCGTGTAAAAATTAAGACTAAATAGATTGTTCGCGTTCGGGTGGAAAGTACAAATTTATAGTACTAGAATTATAAAGCACCTCCACCACGTCCACGACAGCACCGACCTCGTCCGAGTCCCATCCAGCAATACAACTCCTGACACACGTGTACAGTCGTTAACCAAACACTTATAAATATTTTTTCATTGCCATCTTGAACTTGCTTCTTCTTCCCATCCTGACAGTAGAACATGTTACATGAACGTTTGCGGTGGTATAAATGTCATTCATTGTCATTTTTCATGGACCTATTCCTATGCTATAAGCACTGACAAACGATAAACTACAGCACCTGCTAAGTACTAAATATTGAAACAGAAACCTTAGAAATCTATGCTATTTTCTAAACATGAACAGTTGATCTTGTTCCAACAGGCCACACTGTAAGTAGACAAACAGGAGAAACCTATGCTATTTTCTAAACATGTTGATATTACTAGTCAGAAAGTTCTTTCGGACAGTCATTCACTCATTGCCTAGCAGAACATGATAATGAACAGACGAACGAGTGAAAGCCATTAGAGTTAGAATCACGTACTCGTACTTCTACGTGTTCTAGAGGGATAAAGGCTCTTAGAGTTATACGTACTCCAAGTTGGAGAGGTTGCCTCAAAGATCCTCTTCACTAAGAAATCAAATTTGTCACTTTACTTACTCTTGGTCAACACCTTACAGGCTGACGCTGAGTGCTGGTCATAATCTCATGCAACCGCAATGACAGCAATAAGGAGATGCAACTTGTTCATAAAATGGAAGTGGAAACGTTCCAAAAAAATCTCAAATCAACCTAATCAAGTTCCCACGAAAAGTGCATCATCGACTCAGCAGAGTACCGATACCGAAGAACCTGGAATAAATGAGCTCCTTCATCGATTGTTCATGTTCTTCGCACAACAACGAGAAAGCACAAACATGTACTTCTTCTATGCATAGTTTGTTATGATCATCATTTTCATGATAAAGTTCTGTACTTCCTCGAGTCGTGTAAAATTTTGAGAACATTCTAAGAAGTCTTCCAATGATGTTCAGTGTTGGAAATTACAAGAAGAACGATGAAGATCCTTCCATACGTGGTCGTCTACGTCTAAGTCAAAATCAGGGGACGGCATCGAATTTCATTTTGTTGAAGGGACAACAGTACCAAGAATAGTCATACTTAGTACAATACGAACACTATGACTATTTGAGGTTTTCATGCTGATGTCAAAATATAATTTTTCGTAGAGCGCAATGGCCTCTTGACGCAAATTGGAAAATAGTAGTCTCAGTTCGTTGCTGATCTAACAGAACTTCGTACAACACTCGTAGTTGTAAGCTTGTTGTTGGAAAATATATTTTTCTTGTTATTCAATCCTTACGCTATTTCGAGTAAAATCGCCTCGCTTATTAATACCTTGCTTTAAGGCAACTATAGGAGCTTCCTTCTACTTCTAAACATCTAAACTTACGAAGTTCGTAATCCTTTGGTTCCTTAGCAGGAGAAGACATGCCATCGTCGGACGGAGATCCGAAAGGGCTCTACGAGGCACTAGAAGTGCCCGTTGGCACTGGAGATGAGGGTGTCCTCAAAAAAGCCTACCGTAAATTAGCCTTGAAATGGCATCCGGACAAAAACACAGATAATAAAGAAGAAGTACTTCTAATTTGATATTTGTATTACACGGTCATCTGATACTGATGCGTCTGCGTGTGCAGCTTGTTTCTGTTTGTTTTTCGTCCCGTGGATAGTCTGAAGTTATTTTCCTATTGAATGGTATTCATTTGTGGTCCACAAGAAACTCTATCATACTCAAGTATGATCTTGAACTTCACAGTAAATTCTCTTCGCCCCCACACATCTAAATCTACACGCATCTTCTTGCATCTACAACGACTCGTGGTCACACTCCCAATCAAATCCCACACACGACTTCTTCTTCCAAGTACAAACCTCCATCACACACAAACCCCGTATACGCTTCTACTCCGCACTGACTCACAGGCAACAGCAACGTTTCAGAAGATTTCGAATGCTTACCAAGTTCTCTCCGATCCCGAGAAGCGCAATTATTATGACCAGACTGGCCGCATCCAGGGTGCTGACGACGATGAGGGCGGTGAGATGGACATGGATGATGTTATGGGCCTCTTTGCCTCGATGTTCGGCGGCGCAGGTGGTGGACCTCTAGGCGGTCTGTTTGGTGGAGGTGCTGGTGGCATGATGTTCGGCGGAGGAGCGTTTGGAGGCATGGTGGATCTAGACGATGTCTTCGTCATGTCTGGACCAGGTACGCAACGAGTGCATGTCAACATAGGATCATTAAGGCTCAATGTATAACAGTACTTCATTTCTGCAAGTCAGATTTCTGCTGGAATTGGGGTGTAGGCAAGAATAGGGATTTTGCGTAGCTGGCGAAAGATCACGGGAAAGCCTTCTCCCTTTTCGTTCTTCTTTCCTCTTCGGAATTTTTCACACCACGAATCGGGGCCTGGAGTGAAACGACCCAACTCATCTTACTTTTCACTTCTCTCCGTTCTTCGTCTTTTACTTTTCCGTTTTCTTTCACTTGTTATTACCTTTCACTTGTTATTACCTGGTTGTTTACACTTGTTTCTTCACTTCAACTTTCCTTCTTGGAATTGGGATGTAGGCAAGAAATGAATTCTTTTGAGCTCTAATAGGAGGAGGCATGGGAGGCATGGGCATGGGAGGCATGCAGTTCGTTGACGATAGCGATGATGACGATGATGGTATTAGATTTAGTTATGTGATCATCTTTTTTTGATAGTTTCATTCTTGTTTCGTGTCGTGGTTGAGAATAAACCTCCAATATGACGATGTTTTTTCCCATATTTTTTGCTTGCTATGGTGTATTGATGTCCTCACGCTTCCTTGCTAAAAACATCAAATTCAAAATAATCATTTCACCGACCGACACGATCAAAAAATTTCCCAACACCATCACCAGTTGAGCATCAAGAGCGGCTGATTCGGCAAATGATGGGTTTAGATTCCGGCGATTCGGAATCCGACGAGGAAGACTTAGCTAGCTTTCTTGCTGCGGCAGCGGCGAGTCGTGGAAACAATAGCCGATCCGCCAAGCGACGAGCAGCCGCTAAGAGAAAAAGAGCCGCAAAACAGGCAGGAGGAACATCAACTTCAGGTGAGGGAAATAGTTTTGGAGGTGCTAATAGTAGTGCTGGGACAGGAGGACCAGGTCGTGCTGCTGCTTCTAATAGCACTGCTGGAATAAATACAGCTGGAGGAGCACGACAAGGAGCTTCTACCAATGCACAACAAGGATCAGCAACGACATCAAACAACTCTAAGCGGAAGAATAAGAAAAAAGGAGGTGCTTCAGCTTCTGCAGGAGCCTCGACTACAACATCAACAGGTCCTAGTACCGCAGCTAGTCCGCCATCGTCATCTTCAGCCGCATCCAGTCCACAAGAGCCTGAGCACGAAGGCGGAAAAAATGCGAAAAAATCCGGTGCTGCAAAACGAAAGCGTGCTAAAGAAAATGCAGCTAATAATCTTCCTGTGCCTCCTCCAACAGGAGCTAGTAGTAGTAACTACGCTAGAACCTCCCAACATCAAGCATCATCCTCATCAAGAAACCCAACTACTGGAACAGGCAGTAGACAAAAAAACGCCTACGATAGCGATTCTGAAGAAGGACATTACTTATCCGACGAGGACGATGATGATGATATGTCCCTAGACTCAGAGGAAGCGGAGGAAGTGATGAGAATGTTCGCAGGCGGCATGGCAGGAGGACCCATGGGAGGACCTAGAAGCATGGGAGCAGGAGCTAGAGCAGGTACTAGAAGACACCCAACTACTACAGGTGGTGCTAGTAGAGCAGGAGGTACTACTAGCTCTACTAATTCAACAACAAGAAGAGGTAGTGGCACAACAGGTGGTCGTGAACGTGCCGGATCAAGCAGAGAAGAAATGGATATCGAGACAATGATGAGCATGATGGGAATGATGGGTGGAATGGGAGGAGGTATGCCAGGCATGGGAGGTATGGGAGGAGGTATGCCAGGCATGGGAGGTATGGGAGGAGGAATGAGGCATATGGACTTGGATGACATGCTATTTGCGAACATGATGGGGGGTGCTGGAGGGTTTGGAGGTGCTCCTGGAGGACCAAAAAGAAGTACTGGAGGAGGTGGAAGGCGTAAACGCTAATGGCGGCATTATTATTCCATAGACACGAACTTTCTCTACAACAAGAACTTAAGATCAGGGACTTCGACGGACAACTTCTTAACCTACATACACTATAGATTGTACTACTAGCTGCTACATTCATAGAAGTCAGTGTCTGTACTAGTAGATCGATTAGTATAATGTAAATGTTGTCGATGAAGATCATGACGTAAGCCAAGGTGGTGTGATTTGCTGCTGGAGTTGTGGGCAAATAAGATCAAAAAGGTTGTAATTGCGTCTCCTTCAACAGAGTCAGCTCCGGAATATTGAAATTTTGTCGTCGTGAACACTGAGTCTGAGACCGTGTTGACAGGAAGACTAGGATCAATCATGATAGGTAGTTGTTCTATTTGAGTGGTTAGTTATTTTGAGCAATGTTCGCGCTCGTCTGAGCTATGGAGGGTCCCTCTTCAGTTTAATTTACCTTAGCCTTGTTGTCATGTTCATTCTACTATATAGCGTACGGAAGTAATCACCCTGTACTATAGTGATCGCATGACTCCTTCAAGAAGGTCCCGTTCTATTCACCACTGCACTGCCTCCCGTTTTATCATGAAAATGGTGCATGCGAAATTGAAATTCTAGTACAGCTGTAAAAGCGAGCGACAACACGAATCCTTATTTTGGACGGACATCCATTCTCATTCAATCCTTCTTGGAGGGACAGCACAGCCAAGTCTGTCTTTCCGTATCACAAAAATCTCAAAAAAAATGTCAACAAAAAATAAACGATTGAAAAAAATGAAAGAAGAAAACGTAAAACAAGCTCAAGAAGTATGGCTTCTTCGGACACAAGCACAAGGATCTAAGAAGATCTATTTGCTTGGATGATGGTGTACGCTGTTTCAAGCTGAAGTTGTTCTGGGAAACAGGATCGATTTCGAATGCAATTCTTCTGCTAAGCTAGGTGTATGTCAATGTCATGGACTAGAAGAAGTACTTAAGTAGTTCTCGACTGTTTAATTTATGAATGATGCTTGCTGATACCAATCCCACCATTGAATCCAAATTCCGCCAAATTCACTTTCACAATGCTACCATACTGATCTGAGAATTCTTCAAATCTGGCATCCGTTGGTCTAAAAGAAAGCACCCGACGAACAAATTCCCGAAGACGATGTTGGTCACACCAAAAGCAAAATCATTATCATAATTCTTGAATTTTGGTCTTGACCATGATCTGCAGACGAGCGTGGGTATTCAAGAACTCGCTGCTGCTCATCTTCTTTATTCCCGTAAGTCTACTTCTACGGTGGACAAGAGAAGTAAGTGGTCTTTCATACTGTCTCACATCATCTAAGTAAGAGGTAAGTAGGAGGAATTATCACTTTTATTCTCGTACAGTTTTTGTGGTTGGCTGTTTTTGTGGTTGGCTGTTTTTGTGGTTGGCTCGACAAGCGACAACATCCTTTCTGGGTCCTACCTACCTTTGTTTTTGCTCTACGACATCATTCTAAAAGAGTTGTATAGAGGAGGGACTTCTAGCATAGATTATAGAGATGAACTAAACTTACTAGCCACATGATCATCTACTACAACATTTATAAGAAATTGCTGGTAGTAAGTCAGGAACACTCGTAACTTCTAGCTCTACTACAACAACAAGATGATCAATTTGAGCAAAGTCGATCACGCGGTCGCCGCCGTGGACCATGAGTCTAGAAAACGAGGGAAATTGGTCAAGCTTGGTCCCAACCCCCGTGTCTTTTTAGATGTGCAGATCGGGCGTAGAACCGGAGGCCGCATTGTCTTCGAGCTCTTCCAGGATGCTACACCGGAAACGGCAGAAAACTTTCGCCTTTTGTGTACAGGAGAGAAGGGTAGGAGTCCGTTCTGTCGGAAAGACTTGACCTATTCACACAGCAAAATCACACGGATTGAACAAAGTGTGGCCTTTCAAGCAGGGGACTTTGTGGATAACACAGGCAGAGGGTTCGGAGAATGTACTTTTTACTTTTAGATTGTTTGATAGATCCACTTAAACACACACGATCACGATGACACTATGATTATAGATTGACAATTCTCAGAATGCCAAACCCCTCTTCTTCATAGATTTCTTCAGGTGCTTTCTTCACCTCCCTCAAGCTCAAACTCAATCTATCCCTTTTTAAGGTGCTTTCTTCACTCGGGATGGCTTCAAGGCAGAGCCAGCGACCAGACGACATGCTCACGCTGGTGTTTTATCCATGTGTTGCGACGAGAACCGCATGTGCCATAGCAAGTTCAATGTCTCCTTCAAAAAATGTGGCGCTTTAGACGGCAAAAACATTGTCTTTGGCCAGGTTGTGGATGGTATGGACGTGGTGAGAGCCATCGAAAGGGTTCCAATTAGTGGCGAGTGCGAACCTCGGGTCGACGTAGTGATAACCGGCTCCGGCCAACTGGATGAAGACGAAGTAGAAGAACTAGTAGCGAAACGGAAAGCGGAAATCGTAGTAGGTGGGAGGGGCAATAACAGCAACCGAGGAGGCATAGTCAGCAAGGAATTGGGAAATACTGCGGCTATACGTACTTACTTTTTGAATCTAAGTACTTGTTTGAATCTACTTGTTTATTCTTGATGTCAAGAGTTGGACGAAATAAAATGATGATTACCTGCCACAACTTTGCTCTCACACATACTAAAAGAACAGAATTCGGCGAATTTCGAAAATTTAAAGATATTTCAACAAACTACAGATGAAACAGATTAAGATTTTCTTATCTCCAGCAAATGCAAAAATACGTCCACCCTGCCAGTATTCCTGATCATACTAATGTGATGAATCAGAATCCAACATTTGAACCAAAAAAAACTCCAGTTGGCGAAGAGTTGCTCCTCAATCCGAAGAATGAGCGCGCTGGAGTATCACCTTTAAAAGACGGGCTAGGACCTAAGAAAGAGGAAGAATCCGACGATGAGGAGGCTGAGGCTGATGTGCAGATTGCACTTGGAGAAGCAGGTCTGCTAGGGGGAGCTGGTGGCCCATCTTCATCCTCAAGTGCTAGTAGCAAGCCTGGCTACGGGGACGGCGATGGCTCTGGGACGATTCTTGGGATAAAAATCACTGGAACAACAGCGGGTCATGGAGGAGGTCTTCAACAAGGTGGCTCTTCTTCAAGTTCTAGTTCTTCTGCTGCGACTAAGAATCTTCTCCTCGGCAAGAACAAGTCTTCATCTGGAACAACAACATTATCCGCAACTTCTAACCAAAGCCTTTTGGGTACAAAGAGTAGTTCGCAGATTTTAGCCGAATCTATTGCCTCTGGCCTAGGCGTGGGAGGCGACGAAGACGGAATTGGCGCAATCTCAGCGTCTTCGTCCATCGCGACGGACAAAAGGCAACGTCTCCTTGACCTCCGCCTCCGCATGAACCAAGGCAGGCAGCAAAATGTCACCGCAGTGCTAGAGGAGCGGAAAAAGCACGATGAGGGCACCCACCAGTTCTACAAGTACCAGGCCGAAAACGCAGAGAAAGCGGAGAAAAAGAGAAAGCAGGATGAAGTGGAGGAGCAAGTGGCTGAAGGCGTGCTTGACGCAGAAGTGCTGAACGCCCATAAGAAGGCTAGAGCACCGAAAGGCAAAGAGTATCTCGCTGACGGCATGGAGGTATCTCAACTCCGTGACGCCAAGAAGAAGCGCAAGTTGAACCCAGAGGAAGCCCATGCTTACCATGTGTTTAACCAGGATGCCTTGTTCCGAGCACAGGAGAAGAGGAATGCGGACATCAAATTCGATCGACAATTGTATGAGGAACAGAAAACAGAGTTGGGCGAAGACGCTTTTTACAACGAGGGCGGTCAGTACATGGTGACAGGCTTCAAGGACTCGGAAGCAGGCAAGAAGCGGTTCTTGGATGCATTGAAAATTATGTCGCGGATTGGTTTTCACATTGATTTTCAGCTTTACTGTAAATACCAATACCGACTTCAGATTAAAACACTGCTCAGTCTGCTCAGTCACTAGTGAAAGTCTCAATTACAAGTAGAAGGTTCCCACTACCCTTGCGTAAAATTTTCAACCACGACCTGGTTTCTTTGTCCTTCTAATCCCCAACAAGAGGACAAGAAAGGTGCTTTTTCGAGAAGGAGAATGCACGTGGACGAAGCCGATTTTCAGCACATCAACGAACGCAATCGCGTATTCAACAACAAAATGGACCGGTTCTATGGAGACCATACCTTGGAAATCCGCCAGAATTTGGAAAGGGGGACGGCTTTATAGAAGACGAGAATTTGGTTTGGTTACTTCGCATTTGCGTTTTGTGTTTCTACTGTACTTCGAAGTTCCTCCGTTCGTTCTTGGAAATAAGATTGGCGATCATGATGCTAGTTCGAGAGTATTCATCAACATGCTGCTCATAATGATTTCACGGATCCGCAACATTACATACTTAAGCATCATGTACATGTAGATGTACTTTACACCCACAATATGAGAATCAGCATCTTCCCGAAGGACCCCCACGTTTGACCCCATAAAACATGTACTCAAAGACCCCCTTGAAGATGGCGTACAGGACCATAATTTGGAACTACAACAAGAAGCCGATGAAAGACCAACATTTCTAAAGATGGGAGAACGAGTAACAACCGAATTGTAATAGCCTGACATTCATAATCATATTCAACTGCAAGTTGTGATTCTGAGATGTTTTCTGTCTCTTTCACGAGCGGGAAAAATGAGAGAAGAGCGAAAGTAGACGAGGGGTAGTAGAGTGAGTTATTTTATGAGCATGAGGCTGTGGTCCTGAGGTGGAGATGAAGCGCGGACTCATTTGTGGATATGTAGCGCTCTCGCAGTGGACGATGATGTCAGGTCATGAAGCACAAAGCAAAAAAATGTTGTCCGTGTGACTGTATCATGACAGAAGGATCTATAAACTCTCCTTCGTCCTATCCTCACTTCTCATCAGTGAAGAGCTCATCAGTCAAGGAGATGAAGCGCGGAATGACATAGTGTAGAGACGGGGAGCACTACAACACTCGTACGGCGCGTAGTACGCCCTACTCGCTCCAAATATAATGTTGTCAGTCTTCATACTCATCCTGACATCAAAGTTCTCCATAGTTGTAGCAACAAGAACGAGCAAAGTCTCGATTTAATTTAGACATGAAAGGGCCCAATTATATGAAGATGTCGTTGTCGATTAAAAAACCTAAAGTATCTATCTAATTAGAAGATTTCTTCCTAATCAAATTAAAATACGATGTCAGAACAGGTCGGAGGTTCCTCCGGTTCCACGCGAGCGTTGCCTGGATTTGAGAGGAAAAAGATTGAAACTCAAAGAGCAGGCTCCAAAGACAGGCTTGCGTTGGATGGAGCTGGCAATTTGGTAGTGCGCTCAAGTAGCGGCAATGTTTTGTTATGGCTCTCTATAAATAATTCTTCAGTTTGGTGCTGTGTATCGATGAATGTGCAGGATCCATAAAAAAAGCCGATGTGGAGGATCCTCCATTTCGGTGTAGCTCGATGTGCAGAAACTATTCTAAAGCTAACCGAAGCTAACCTGGATCCGTGAAAACTACTGAGCTTGAATACTTCCAACAATGCGAGGCAATGATTTTCTAAGTTCTGTGTTGTATTTCTAGCTGTTTGCTTTTTCCTAGTTAGGTTCCACGACAATAATGGCCGGCCCTAATTCCAGGCGTTGACTACAAAGAGCACTATGATCCAGTAGCTGGGACATTTAAACCCTCACCGGCGGCATTATCCGTTGCGTCAAGCCGTGGGGCAGACGGTGCAGGAACGTCCACATCGAGGAAAAGGGTGATTGTTAAGGCTAGTTTGATTGCGATTGCTGGGTTGAAGGATGACATGGGGATAATTTAATCAGGTACACCAGGTAGTAAGTCTGTCCATAATGTTGTGAATATTATGGTCAACGTCGACACGGAACACATTCATTTTTTCATGTTAGTATTACTACTTATGGTGATTCGTGGTAGTCATTTTTACGTGGTCGTTTGTGAAAGGCTTCAATCTTCGCGGCACCGGCTTCAGTGCGCGTGCTGTTGGACGCGATGGTAGTGTCGAACAGGAAGCGAATTACGGAAACCAGAATCAGCCTGCACCAGGGGATGCGACAACAATCGGGGAAGAGCAGGGCAATAACAAGTCGACAATGTTAGATGTTTCTGGTCGTGGTGGAGGTGCACCTGGTGGGGAAAGAGGAGATGGTCAAGGAAAAAATTGTCCCTCCACAACGCAAGCGAGTTTATGTGAAGTGGAAAATAGATGAAGACGCAATAATTGAAGTGTGGGCGGCACGACGTGCATAGCCACGAGGCACCTGCATGAAGTTAACAGACCGATGATGATGGAAAAGTACTTTATATAGACTTACAGAACGACCACTTAGTTCCAGTTTCTTGTCCTCATTTCAACTACATCATTCTCTAAAGCCATCCGGAGACGCTACACGTGTTAACAAGGGTCCAGAGCAAGGTGGCAAAAGCGTCCGCTTCAATTCTACAGTGAGCATGACACTGCTAGACCCGGTGTCTCTCGGGAGTGGCGTGGCAGGGCTTGCTTCACGCCTTTGTTCCAAACTAAAACGAGAAGGGAAAAAGAAGAGTCCGACATTAAGGGTTATTTTGGAACCTGATGAAGATGATCTAGATCTCCAATCACGAGCCTCGTCCAAATACAACTGCTAGCAGGACAGAACTTCTGAAACGTTAACGTTTATTCAGGTATTTAGTCCCAAGACACGATTACATCCTTTTCGACGCCTCTCAGCAGACTGCTCTTCGTGATTAAGTAAAGCAATTATATTAATTACAAACTCGATTTAGCACAAGAACAATTACGCCGTTTTTGTGCCTGTCCGCTTCTTCTAACCCATGGGAGCTCATCTCAGCAACTAGCAGTATCCAAAACAGGAAGCATGGAGGGAGAAGGGTACAAGCCCTCGACCGCAGTCACGCGTGTTACTGCTCGTTTGCTCCATGGGTTCAAATACGCAAGTGGTGAAGTCTCTTATGAACGAGGGGTAGTTAAATTTTAGTTTAAGTGTAGAAGTTTCTACTTGTTCGTACTTAAAGTCAGAGAACTTCATAATCATAAGAAACAAGTCGAAATTGAAATGAGTGTTTCGATTAACAGAAAAAGGCTTGAAAGCACTCGTCCAGAGTTGGCAAAAATGTTTTTCCAACATGTTTCCTTACCGCTTACCCTTTTCATACTTCCAGAGAGCGTTTTACGATAGAATGTGTGACGAACCAACCGGAGAGTTCTAGCGTAAACCACACCAACTTTGTGCGAACAAGTCGTTACACGTGGTACGATTTTTTGCCACGGAATTTGCTGGATCAGTTCAAGAATGTGGCGAATTGTTACTTCGTTCTCACCGCGATATTACAGGTACCGTTGTGTGCGAGTACTGATTATGAGGTCCAGAGCGAATTAAGAGCTTCTTGTCCTTGTCGTGAAAACTTCATTATCTGCAGGTAGCCCTCACTCTCTGAAACCGAACAACCAATCTCCTTTACCAGAGCATCGGACCTATCAGCGACAGCGATGGACAGCCGACTATTTTAGTAGGCCTTTTGCCTATCATGATGGCTGTAGCCGTCAGAGAAGGCTTAGAGGATAGAGCACGACACAGAAACGATGCCAGGGAAAATTATGAATAAGAATAGATACGATCATTTCGACTAAAAGACATAAGGGTCGTAGACAGAAAATACGGGTCGTAAGTGCACGAAGAAGATAAACTTCAATCACGCGCTCTTCGTGTACTTAGCGTCCGTTCCTTACTCTAAGGACACAAAAAAGATGAGGGGCTCCTACTTGCTCTTCTTGTAAGTGTAATTAGTGATACAGATAGGGATACGAAGATATAGAAATTATATATACCACAGAACTATGTTTGATCACTGTCAGAGTATAGTCTGATCCAGTACTCTAAGGTTTCAAGAAGATTGTCGAACGATTCAAGAATGGCAACGTAAACCCTACACAATGGAAGGACTTACAAGTTGGTGACGTGATTCGAGTTCGAAAGGGAAACGACTTTCCGGCTGACTTGTTGCTGCTTTATGGACGTGGATATCGTTCACAATAGAAACTACAAAATAGATCTGTTGAAGGCCGCTTGATTGAGTAGTAATGTTGAGATCTTCGTCTGTTCTTTCTGCCTCGTGGTCCTGTGGTCACCAGTACTACGCGAAAGTTGTATCTACTGAATAGCTTGCGCTAATCCGCGACCAGTTCCGACAAGGGGCAAGTTTTTGTGGAGACAAAAAACCTTGACGGCGAGACCAATTTGAAAACGAAAGTGTGCCTTCCTGCAGTCGACAAACTCTTCCGAGAGATGTCCTTATGCCCGCTAGCTCTAAAGCATACTAGGCATCATCCTTGGCCTCTTTAAAAACGGCGCAGGGCCCTTTTTTCCAGAGGCGAATATATGGGCGCCGCCAGGGATGCTGCTCTGAAGGATGCGAAGATTGCTGAAGCTCTAATGTACTCGCCTGAAGAGATAGGCAAAGTCAAACTTCGCATCAAAGTGGAGCCACCAAACTCGAATTTGTATTCTCTTACCGGCCAAATTTTCGTGGGAAGCAGCATGTTTCCAGTCTCAGCGGATCAACTGTTTTATGGCTTGAGAAAATCCAACCTCTCATCTAACAGATGTAGCACCTTCCTGTTTGGAAGAGAAAACCATGACAGTGGGCACCATCAATAAAGATGCTCCTCAACTGCACTGCACATTGTGCGAGATTTACATTTAGATTGCGTTGTATTGTCTAATATCTATTGAAAGGGTCCTCATTGCAAAGCGACTACGCCATCGGCTGCGTCATCTACTGTGGGCATTTCACTCGACTGCTTTTCAATGCTTCGAATGTGGCGACGTTTAAACTAGGAATCATCCAAAGATGGTTCAACCGGCACGTCATTCAGATTGTGATCATTTATGCGTGGTTGTGTTGCCAGTCAACAACAACGACATTGATTCTTCACATTCTTGTTACCTCAAGTAGTGCGTACTGTTGGATCATGGCTGCTGAACTTGAAGGCGTATCTACTTTTCGAATAGGACGATGGCTGAAATTAGCCAAGAATCGGCTTTGTACTTTTGCACCACGCTCAGCATGTACAACTACTAAGTCTTGGTAGAAGTGGAAGACGAGGCCGCTCATTAAATATCTCAATCCTCGAAAAAGTGAGTTTTTATCACAAAAAGACTCAATTTAAATCCAGACGGCTGCGGCTGCGTCTGTAGCAATTACCGTCGCCATCATTTCTCAGTAATTCAATTTGGATCCAATTAGTGCACTCTTCGCCACCCTTTCCTACTCGGCTGGAAAAAGAAAGACCGACCTCAACTGGAGAAAGGAAATACCACCTTTCTAATTGCAGTATTTTCTGTATTGCTTGTGTTTCTAATCCAAGCAGTGTTTTTTCTGTATTGCGTGTGCTACAGCAGAGGTAATCATGTCAGCAGAGCACTGGCCTTGGTATGCTGGGGACCCGGTGATTACTAATGTGCCCTCTGGTGTCCTGCGATGGTGGATTATCTTTGGCCGGCAGTGCTTAATGCTGTCATTCTTCGTACCAGTTTAAGGCTACAGTATACTAAAAGAAGTAAAACCGTCTTCATCTTGTTCGCTAGACCACCTTTGTTTCGCGCCATCAACCACGCTAACGGCTAGTAGACTAATTACTAAAGCCATAGAATTATGGAAACATGTAAATTTCATCTATACTGCTTGGTCTCGTCTCGTCTAGCATCCGTTCAATCCAGTAAATTCCATGACTCTCTCTATAATTCTCCCTATTCGACGTCGATCTCCTCAACATCGATCTTGTTTATGTTTGGTCGCTCTCGTTTCTTTCTCAAGGGAAAACGAGAGCAAAGCAGATCCCCTGCGAGATGGATTGTCCGTACCTCTAACCAGACACCGTGATCATTTCAGTGGAGATCATCCGTGTCGCGCAAGCCTGGTTTTTAGGTGTAGATGAGGAATTGACATTTGGAGGTGGGGATGAAAACTTTGGTGTGATGCCTGCTGCTGCTGTTGGAGTTATGGTCAAGGGTAACCACAATGACGAGATTGCAGATAAGAATAACACGAAGAACACTACTACCAGTGGGGGATCAGTTGCAGTCGGAGATGGAGCGTCCTCTGCACCAGCACTGGAGAGTTTCGTGGCAGCGGCAGGCTCGATACAGTCTGGACCCGGACGAGCAGAGACCAAGGCTTCAGTGGAGATCATTACTGCAGCTGTTGTAGAGGACCCAGGATCTTCTTCTTCGACAGCAGCAACAACAACTTCTGGAGGATCCACACCATCCTTATGGCTTACCCTAAACCCTAAACCCTAATCCGCTTCCATCTTCCGAAGCATCCTGAGCGAAAAGGGAGAGGCTATATTTCGAAGGGAAAAGGAGATGAGCAGGATGCTTCTCGGGAGAGGGATTAGAGTGAGCAGCTCTAACATGACCTACAGCAACTGGAGGACGTGGAGCTACTACGTCATCTGCTTCTTCATCCTCCTCAGCTAGGCAATATGCTAAGGCACAGAGTACTTCTGTGCTGGAAGATTTGGGTTCAATTTCGCACATATTTTCCGACAAGACTGGAACCTTGACAGAAAATCTGATGTTATTTTTAAGGCTTCCCTCAAACTCAATCCACATCGTCCACTTTGTTTACATCCATCTTTCTACTTACGTCAGAGACAGGAGAAGCATCTTCGACTTGTTAGAGCTATCCTCTCATATTTATGGAGAGAAAGAGGCATCAACATCAAGAAAATGCGTTTCAAGATGGCTAAAAGAGAAACATCTTGATGCCTCTTAACAAGACGGACGAAATAGATGCCGATGTGTCTTTGTCTTAACACGACGGACAAAAAGTAAAATGGTGACCTTCCTCGTCTAATATTTTCCTGTCTAGGCTTGCCGAACGATATTCGAGATGGGGCTTGGTACAACAATCCTGGCAATCATGTGGATGCCAAAGAAAGAGCAAGCGTGTCTTTGCATGACATCAAGAGGCAATTAGGCCAAAGTCAATTCGAAGACAGGTTAGACGAACAACAGCAGCGGCAAGAGTTAGGGCCGCTTGGAAGTTGACCGATCTAGAAGCATATCTGTGACCTTTGATCACTATCTCGGAGCATATTTTCCTATGGCCTTATAACCTTTATTTTCAAAAGGAAAAAGGGTAGATATCTGATATGCGAGCAGCTAGATCGCTCAACTAGCACCCTCTAAAAGAGGAGAAACGCAGAAGAATGGCCGAATCTTCTCCAAGTAGCAGTACTAGAGGAGGAAGTCCGAGTCCGAGAAGTACAAGCGATGTAGATAAAAGTATCACGACTAAAGGAGAAGGTAGTAGAGGTAATGAGCGAAATAAAGGTCAAGAAGGTGGTCAAGGGTCTGATGGTCGTCAACCACGAGTAGAAGGAGACGAGGATGTTTTGGTGATTCCTCCTTTCTTGGATGTGTATTTTCCACTTCGACGAATCGAGGAGATGTTTATGACGTCGCAGCCAAACCCTATATTACCTCCAGCACCTTTAGAATATCCTATAGGTGTTGATGAAGGAAAACAAGAACTAGAGAATCAGAAGCCGCACAATGCTTTAAAAGTTGTAGAGGGGAACCATCAGTCTGCGCCTCTGGCATCGTTGTTTTCTTACGGTCGTACAACTAGGGGAACTCAAGGTGGCACTGGCTCACCAGCAGATGCGCATAAGGACGAGCACGAGGCACAGTCAGTTTCAGAGTTAGACCACTTCTCATTGACATTCGAAACACCACGTGAGACTGAAGAACATCATAGAGAAGACTGCTCTTCTAGGTATACAGCACCACCTCTTCAACCACATAAAAATAGTAATACATCTTCAGGACCTACCGGATTTGGACCTCCTACTCCTTTCGACGAACAAGCAGTCCGCAGTATGTTCTACTACGTGTTGAATCTGGCTTTGTGTCATACGGTAATTTTGCAGGATCATGGGGCTGGCCGCCAGAAATTCGAAGCTAGTTCTCCGGACGAGCTTGCGTTGATATGTGCGGCTCACATCTTTGGGTTCCGGTTCATCGGCAGACCTGACGCAGACACGATACGCATCGGCTTTGGCTCCAAATTCGCTAGATGGCTGTGGCCGTACGAGCGGCCGCAGGGAACAGGGATTGTTAGACCTGCTGGAGCCTGCTCTTCTCCAACATCATCACCTGAAGAAGGAGTTGTAGTCGGTGTCGGTGAAGAGGAAGTACTAGAAGTAGATGTAGAAGATAAGGTACATCGTGAGGAAAATACCACTACAGCAGCAGCACCCGGACAAGGGCCTTCGGACTATTTGGATTTCAAAGTTTTGGACGTTCTGGAGTTTGACAATGTCCGAAAAAGGATGTCTGTTGTGATTCAGATGCCTCCAGCTCTGGTACCAAGAACCAACTTTATTTTTGCGCATCTTCGGAATGGTGAAGGTGAAGGCGGTGGTCCTTATCCAGGAGGTCCAGAGGATCTTCAAGAGGTCAGTGCTACAGAGGACCAAGTGGAACAACAAAATGGCCTCCTACATCGACCACGAGACACGACCACGTCAAAAGCGACTACCGCTTCAAAGAACTCAAAAATGTCAATACCTCCGGGATATCGATATGCTTCAACAAATAATAAACAAGACACCACAACCACCACGACTACCACGTCAAATTCGGTAAGATCGTTTGACAAGTATCAGCAAGATGGCATTATTCTGTTGACTAAAGGAGCTGACAACTCTATGTCTGAAATCGCGTCACCTGAGCAACCTTTGGAGGAAAGTAGATGGCTGGACGAACATATCTTGGATTTTGCTCATAAGGGGTTGATTATGAAACGACGCAAAAAGTGAAAGTGAAACAACTTCCTTGAAATGTTCATGATGATGTAGTTTGTCTCTCTTTCCAGTTGTTGTTCTCTAGTTCTTAAATTGTTGTGTCTCTTTCTCAGCTAGGTCTTTTGACGGTGTTACTCAATAAAGGCTAAGACATTTTAGACTATCTTCACTGCTCGGCAGTGGCATCACCACTAGGGCTAGTTGTCGAACGAAGCAACCTCTTCTTCAACTTCTAATCTACGAACGCTTCTATTAGGCTATCGCTGGCTTTCGGAGTCGGAGTTTAGAGTATGGCAAACGAAGTATAGAAATGCTCGTGGGTCTGTTGATGGACCTGGAGAGGGATCGACTCTGCCAGCAGAGAAGGAAGGAGGACAAGGCGACGGTAGCGCAGGATTAACTTCTTCTCCCAGAGGTGGTGCTCAGGAACAACAGGCTTCTCACTTACTGTCTAGTTTACAAAAAAACAAGGAGCAAGGTGTTGTAGTTGATAGCAGCAGGCTTCTTGTTGGTAACAAGACAAAGAGTCGCTCAGAGCGTATCTCGGATTTAATCGCTGAACTAGAACGAGGTATCAACCTAGTAGGGTGCACCGGCGTAGAGGACAAATTGCAAGATGAAGTTCCCGAAACCATTTCCCAGCTTCAATCAGCAGGGATAAAAATGTGGGTTCTGACAGGCGATAAAGTGGAAACTGCAGTGCAGATTGGGCAGAGTTGCAAGTAAGGGGCAGGGTTTAGGTGTTTCCGTTACCGTTTGTTATGGCTCTCCTGAGGAGGAGAAGCATAACCAAGAACGGGGAACACAAACACCAAAAGGCTACCTCCAATGCAATTTGTTGAACGAGAGCACGTATAATCTAGTGTTGACCGATCCCGATGCTACAGAGGTAGAGGAGAGATTGAAAGAGTTTCAAATATGGCTCGACGCTGCGGAGATCTTACATGGTATAGCCGAGGACTTAGTTTACTCTGATGACGAATGGACAGAGAGCAGCAGCAGTGGAGAAGGCACCAGCATCGGCGCTCCTGGAGGCACCAGTATGCAAGACAGTCCCGGACCTCCGGCAGTTCTCGAGCACCAGCAGTCTTTCTCTCAATCGCAACAAGAGCAAAGTGGTTCGATTGGACCATCTACTTCCCTTGTAATAGTGCGAGAGCATCAAGCGAGCAAAGAACACCTCGTCCATCCACCTCATCAGCATCCACATCACTCGCAGCATTATAATCATGTACATTATTCGCAACACCACGATCAGGATGGTCACGGAGGTGAGCAAGGTGGTCTCCTGCATGCTACAAGGAGAAGGTCCACACATCATGGTGTAGCGCCACATGGCGGAGGGAAGTTGTTCCTTAGTGCAGAGGACTTTTCAAGAGTCTTACATTCTGAAGTTATCATGTCCGAACAGCACCAGCAGTCTGGCAGAGTAACGCCAAGTCGTGTGCCTAGCCACGGATCCAGAGTGGGGGGAAGCTTGTCGGCACATCCCTCAACACATCATAGCCAGGCTGTGACACCTACTCAATTCTCAACAACGAGTCCACAAGAGTTTCAGAGGAGTCCAGTAGAGCCTCTTGGAGGTGGAGGAGGCACCGCACCAGGAGGACACAATATGGTTGTTAGCAACTCACTCTCGCTCGCTCGCGAGGATAGCAGACCCTCTTGGCATAGTGGGATAGGTGGTGGTGATGTTCCTCGGGGGTCTCAACACCATCAAATAGGAGGGGGACCCATTCTTCTAGCTGGTGGAGTAGATTCTAGTACCCAGCATACAGTTATTAATACAGCTGCTAGTGGAGGAGGATCGCATAGAAGTCAAGTTGTGATAGGAGGAGGGGCGCAAGTGCAACACGGAGGACAGGTAAGAAGTACAACTACAAGGACCACAGCAGGGATGATTCCTGTCGTTGGTGCATCAAACTCCTCAGACAAAATGGATGCAGGAACGACCTCAGCTGTCTATGCGTCTGTGCCAGCAGATAGATCAGCATCGGCGTCACTTGTCAGATTGAGTCGTGGAGTCAGTGGCACTGCTACAGTTAAGGGTCCTCTTGCTCTTATTTAGATAGACGACTATCATGTTTCTCTTTCTGTTTGTGCTTGACTTGTGTGTAGTAGCTGTATGCTTCCATGTTGAGGTCGTGTGATGTCATCACTCAGTACAGAATGTCAACACCTTACGCTTGCTACCCATACCCTTGAAGCTAAACACTTGTCGGAAGCGAAGCAAGATGAAAGCAAGTGGAACGGAATGGCAGGATTTAAATTCTAGACTTGGGCGATAAAAAACCATTTTTTCGAGGATTGAGCAGCCTAGTCTGAAGTCTGAAGCCATTTTCTTCCTCCTAGTCATCATTTCCATCGTGATGCTTGTTCAGTTTCGTCCTTTTGAATGTGCGACGTGTTGTTATCAATTACAGCATGTATGTGCATGTTAGTACTATACTGATGAGAAAAGGTTCAGAAATGTAGCTTTCAACAATGCTGCTGAATGTGAACATAGAGATTTGAATTCATTTGTTAGATCTTAAAAAACCATTTTTTCGAGGATTGGTGATTTCAAGTTGAAACTATCATCGTCATGACTACCTCAGTTTGAAACTATCACCATCATGACCTAGTACGCTGTAACGTGCGACTATCCCACTTATTTACCAGCACCGTTTTCAATAACCTACACCAACAAGAGCAAAAGGCCTACATGCCACAGCTTTCAATAGCTGCACAGTCAGTAACTGGCGGCCTATATCTTCATGATCTCTAACAGAAGAGGCCGATTACTCTTGACACGGTTCTACAACTACACACTATCTCGTAACGCAGCAGATGACGTGGAGACGCCTTTAGGGCAGATGAAGGAAGAGGAGAGGAGGCGATCCTGGTTTCGGAATGCAAGACGCCAGACGAGGCTCAGGGAAAACATCATGTTAAGGCGTTGATGAAGTGTAAGTGGTGCTTGCCGGTAATCTAGGGGGATTACTTGAGACGCGAATGAATGAAAGAATGTTCAATCATGCCATCATGATCATCAGCTCCTGTGCTGGAGTTGTCGTAAAGTAGTTGTGTATTGTCCTCATTCTAGATCATCATGGTCATCATAATCATCTGCAGCTAGCTTATGATTATGTGGACGTACTAGGGTTTTTCAATCATGTCACCTGAGAAAGCACGGAAAGCAGCAGGGATCTGGTTCGCCTAGCTTCTATGAGAATGAGGTCAAAAAGGTAATTACCCACGACCTCTAATCATAGCTCGTTATCAAATGATTCAAGAAAGGTTGTTGCTTTTCGGCACGAGCGCGAGAACAAGCATACACCAACCGGCGGAAAACGAGGCTGCAGAAGGGACTAATGGAACTGCGAAAGACAATTTTATTCCCAATGGTGGCACTAAAGGTGGCGAGCCTGGTGCAGCCAATGCCAATAATACGAATAGTGTAGGAAGTGGAGCAACAACTTCAATGGTGGTCGATGGAGGAGGACAACAGCACCAACATCAGGTTACATCTACCTCAGACACTACCACGTCCAATCATGGAGCTGGTTTGCACGCGGGCGAGGTGATTCTCGAGGAAGATTTTCCAAAATACCAATTGTTGGAGGACCTACAGGAAGGGGAGCAAGTGCACGTCATACAGCAAGGCGGTACGAGCTCCGCGTCAATAGCTTAAGGCTATGTTGCATTGTGCTAATTAATCTGTAGGAAGGTGGTATAGTATTGAACTTGAAGATGGTGACGGATTCTTCATGAAGCATATTGTCGATGGCATGGGTCGTCCCTGTACCCCTTGTCCTTTTTTGTTGACGACCATCAGTTGGAAAGAATGATGCGCCTCCTGAGTCTCTTCTAATGCAGCTCTAGTGCACATCTTTCGACGAATGTAGCGTCGTCAACTGCGAGGCAGTTTAATTCGGCCGGAGAAGGTGGATTCTTTCTGGTGAACGCTCCATCTACCAGAAACGGAGGTACGAGTGGTGTAATTATGGCAGGAGAAGTACAATCTAGAAGAGAGTAGCTGTGAAGTATGAAGACGCCTCTCTGTCCCTAAGTACAACCTTGCTTTTCTAGCGATTGGGATGGGAGTGGGTGACTGAAAATTCACAGTGTTAGTTACAATGTTGATGTTTTTCTAGGGCTCTCAATCTAATTGTAACGTACACAATCTGAGGATTGCAACAAGTGAGGTGAGCCTCAACGGACTCCAGGGTGCATCAGGAACGAGCCTCAGTCCTCCTCAACCACCACATTTAAGGCAGTCTTTTCCAGGAGCAAGACTTTATCCTGCTCAGAAGCTAGCGAAAGATATTCCTGTCGTGCTTTTTTAAGTTTGTTGCAGGCGTATCCTCGTAATAATATCTTGACGTCGAAAAATCATCTATATCAGGAAGAATCAATTAAAGAAAAAGTACCAATACGTATCTTTTCCACGACGACCTGAGTCAGAGTCCCTCTCTGATCTCTGCTTGCTAGACCGAAAGTTCTTCTAACCTACACTCCCAAACGAACACAGACTCAACAGGGACGCCTATTACGTGGACTGGTTACACCTTCTAGGCAGACCGTGGTGGAGGTAGACCAAACAACAGGAGAGTTGGTCGCTCTAGCAGCAAGACCACCCAGAAGCATCCAGAGGACAACAAGTCAATATGGCGGTGTAGATATGTTGTCCTCCAGAGATGAGCTACAAGACTTCAGTACGGTGTTGAGTTAGATATGCTAGTATCCAGAGGACTACAACAAGTCTTCAGTATCTAATGGATTAGATGCTGCCTTTGTTCTCAAACTTAAGTAAAAGAAACAACTCAGCAAAAAATTGAATCTTCGGTTCATCTTTATCACAAGTCTCCTATCCTTCATTTTCATACAATTGGTACAGGACAATCGCCTGAACAAGACCTTTTCCACCCTGTTGGTAACATGGAGGATCATGCAGTACAAGGACACCAACACGCACAAAACGTAGCGTTATCGAGATCTCGTTCAAGACGATCGATGCAGCACTCACCCAGTCATACGAGGTTAAGAAAGAAGACGAAGACGAGTGGATAGGAGGTTTTAGAAATTGCAAGTCAATGATAATTACCCTCTCCAAGACGATGCACAGTAGCTAATTCTAGAAACAAGTGAATGGGGATGACCATGACGATGACCTATCCTAGTCATCTCAAGTATGAAGAGAGTCAGATGTTGTATCTATAAGTGAGCTTTCTTATGTAAGTAGATGAGCTGCTTGACATGATCATGTTACCTAGTAGTCAAACTCAAACTTATCATCCTGATTCTCACGTTCAAAGTTCTCAATACCTCATAGTAGGTTGGTCTCGTACGAGTATACACTTAATCTTAATACAGCTGCTACACCACTATACAATAACAACTATCTACGAACGATGTTCCATCAAAGGGTTCATCTTCGTGTACAACTTGATTTCATTGTGATACTAATCTCAAAAGATAGATTGAATTTGAATTGTTAGGCGATAAAAAGCCATTTTTTCGAGGATTTAGGTTCTTAATTTGAAACTTGTTGGGGCCAACATCGACAACAACAGCACTAGCATGGTGCAAAAATATCATGGTGCATCACCTGATATCCTCATGATAGTCTCAAGTATTGCAAAAAGAGGCCCATTGAAATAGACCAAGACTGAGTCCCTTGGGTTCAAATTGAATTATTGGGAGATAAAAAACCATTTTTTCGAGGGTTGGCCTACCTTTTTGATTTTTGAGCCCATCGTCATCACCACCAGCAACAGCATCGACAACATTAGCATAGTGCGCGCAGCATACTGTAGCGAAAACGCCCTCTGCTATCATAGTGAAAAACAAATGATCACCTAAAACAGTGTAGTGAAAATACGATCAGGAAGATCACGAACTTGGGGTTAACGCGGAGTAACGACGTTGTGATGTTGTATCCTCTAAACCTATTGGCTGCACGAGACACCTCTGCCGGCGACTTGCTTTTACGCTCCTCTTCCGTCGGTTCGAGACTAAGCTCCGTGGGTAGACCTGGTTCCCCTCAGTTATGGGCGATGATAAGGGATCTCTTTCTTTCGCTCTTGCTTAATGATCTACAGATGAAAGCATTTTGGTTTTCGTTTTCTCCTTTTTTGTTGAAGGTGGCCGTGTTCCATTCCTATTTTCTCTACGAGTCAACTTACTTTTGGCTACTCCAATGGTAGAGGCAGTTGACAATTATGCCGTCTTGGGCATTCATCTTCATCCGAGCACCATAGCACACTGCGATCCTCCAGTAAAGCTTCCTCCTCGAGGATAAGTGGATGATGGTGTATTGCGCAATCATCTTGTGCAGAGGCGGGAGATTGAGATGGACATCTTCTATTTCTAACTCAACTTGGACTGCCAGCACAACAGCAGGACTTTTACATGAAAGTTGAAGAACAGCCTCAGTCGCCAGCTGGAGTTCTACACGTTTTCAACGCCTGTGCGATCACGATCACTGGCGACGTACTTGCGGTGATATTGAAAAGCAGAAAGCTGCGAAGGTTTTTCTTCCGGATTGCACTTCTTATGAAACGCAGTGTCAGTAAATTTGTTTTAATAACATCAAAGTAAGTATGGACGTCAACAACAGTACCCAAAGGGTCCTCGTCTAATCTTGAGAATTGCAGTGTCATTATCGCCTGTCGCGTTTCACCGATCCAGAAAGCAAATATTGTCGAGCTGTCGCGAAAATACCGGCAGAGCGAACACAATGCGATGTTATGAATAAGCTGGCTCTAGTTTCTTTCTTCATCTTCTATGTACTATGTGTTTGCCCTTATTCCTGCTCGTGTATGATCCCTTGATCGATGAAGAGCACCCGCATCCCCATTACCTGTTGAGCACATCAAGCGTAGTCTTCTCCTACTGCTACTGTTTACAGATCGCCACAGATGGGAACACAAAGGATTGATTGCTCTAACTCCCCTAGCCATCGGCGACGGTGCCAATGATGTGGGTATGATTATCAAAGCCCATGTTGGTGTGGGCATTGCGGGAAAGGAGGGCGCCCAGGCGGCGAAAAGTGCGGATTTTGCAATTGGCCAGTTTAAACACCTTAAAAAGCTTTGCTTTGTCTACGGAAGAGAATCGATGCGGAGGAATGCGCTCTTCATGTATTATTATGGCAAAGGGAACAAATGGAAAAAGATTACGCAACGACCGGTTATTTTTTCACTCATAGCCTAGGTTTAATATCCCAACAAACAATTACAAAGCGCCGGTCTTTATAAATCGAGTGCATCTACTTCTACAGGAAAGCGGTTGAGGTAGCGATGATGTGATTTCCCATTCCCCTTCCGCTAACAAGTCATGTTGAACAAGAATGTTGCGATTGCGTTACCTTCCGTCTTTTTTAGCGCTGTTAGCCGATTTTCCAGTACAGACCTCTATGATCCTTGGGTGAAACAGATCTACAACACGGTTTTCACCTTCTTGCCGATTGTACTTTTTATGGGAACAGGTAAAAGGATGAATGATTGGCCTAAGGTTTCTATTTGTCATAGACCGTCTAGTCCATTCATCATCATCCTCCTCATCAGCCTCATCTATTTGTGCCTGGTAACTAGGGGTTCTCAATCTTGTTACCCTTTCTCGTATTTCTTGGCTCTTCTCTCACGCTTACTAGTTCTTATTCTTATTCAAGATATTGAGTTTGATGTCGTTTTCGTAAGGAATATCAAAATGCATGATGTCCTCGCAAGGAATAGATGAGGCTCACGGCAGGATTGTCCTTGTCACCTCCACAGCTTGGATTTTGTTCTTCATTGCCATTATAGGAGTTCTAATCTCGACGCCCTATTCGACCGCGAGTTGCCGTTCTATTACCTGATGTCCGGACCGCCCCTCTACCGACCGCATCGGTATTTGTTATATCGAAATCTTCTCTCAATGCTCAATCCGATGAAATTTTTATCTGGGAGGATCCTCCCATGATCGTTCATGATATTTGTAACTTTACAAAAAACATCTGGATCAATCAACACAATCAAGCACACATTACATTCAAAATAAAATCCAGATTCGGCGTTCCTTCAATTGGTGACTGGGCTTTCTGGTATTGGTTCGCGGTGGGGGTGTGGGTCGCCTTTGCCTGTGCTATAATACCCCTTTGCTTGTTCGACGAAGCCCCAGAGCTCGCAGGGACTCCAGCTGGGTACCACTGTGGCACTTTGGTCTTTGCTGCTGTGATCTTATGAAAACAATAACAACAATAACAAGTACCAGTCTCATCATGTTGCTTGACAGGGCTGTGATCTTATGATGACAAGTAACTAGAAGTACTAGTCTCATGTTTTTGACATGCCTTTTTACTGCACCTCTAACTGTATTTTCAACTTCAAGAAGAAGAGCTCCAGCTCTTGGTGATGTTAATGTGTGTCTCAGATCAAGGCTGGGATACGAATTTTATTAATAGAGGCACTATCACTAAATGAAGCAATCATGAACGTGGATACTCGTAGTCTAAATCTTTCTTTATCATTAATTGCTTACGACGCCTTCTATTTCTAACCATTGTGGCAGTGACAGCACTGTTGCCAATCCACTCGCACATGTACCACTGGTTTACGGTACCTTCGATGGTCGGTGGTTTCATCGTTTTCCTTTGGACGTGGGTTCTCATGTCGGAAACGAATTTCATCGGGTATTCGTCGACCATGTATCGAACATATTGGCTGCTCACGTGGGAAGTCGGCGAACAATTCTTTCTCATCCTTTTTATCACAACTTTTTTTATGAATGGTTACCGTTACTCACGACCTCGACCATGACCATCATCACATCAATATATATAAATAAGCAAATTATGAGCTAGGCTGTTTATTAGGTGGATTATCTTGATCATTATGCGATTGGTTTTTTCCTTTTTTTTTTCGGTTTTTTATTTTTTCTAGTTGGGTCAGTCTGCTCCACCCACTTTATCAATATGTGAATGTGATCCTATGCTACTAGATCAATTATACTCTTTTTACATTGATGTCTCGTCTTTTCTTTGTTTCGTTTCATCTTCTTGTTTTTGCTAGGCAGGTAAGTACCGCGACTTTATGTGATCCTCATCTGCAGTTCTAATTTTCGCGCAATCCTTCCGCATTACGTTTACATGTTCCGCGGCGTCTTCTTTCCTGATGGCGTAAGGATCGTGAAAGAGCGGACAAAGTTGGGCGTTCACGACGTGCTCTTACTGCCAGACGCTACCAACAAGTCGGCAGGAAATATTGTCGTCCCTCACAAAAGAATTCAAAAAAGAATGATGAAGGGGTAGTGGAAGGAGAAGTAGGTGCTATGGGTATCGAATTTGGAGAATGACGGAGGGCTGGTTTTTTTAGTATTTGGAAGACTCAACATGAAGTACTCTTCATCCATTGGTCCTTCTGTTGGAGCAGTTGTACTAGGGAGTAGGAGACTTTTTGAAATTCTGAAGATGGAGTCGTCATAGTCATCGTAATTGCTGATGCTGGTAGTGGTACTGGGTCAGTTGTACTAAAAATACTACATCTACATGTGCTGCAAAAATGACATTCAGAGAAGCGGAAGTCTTAATATGACTATAATAGGTCGTCCACGACCGGTATTCTATGGTGAAAAATGCATGAGTCCAAACTTTCCATGTTTTGCTGCACAGGTTTAGATGTTTGGTTGTTGCATTTGATTGTTTTATTTCGCCTCAAACTCGATCATGATCGAATCTGTCAGAAGACAGATGCATTTTGTAGTAGGTTCTATCTCGTCGACGAGTGATGTCGTTTTTTATGAATTCTGAACTCATCATCTCAAGAGCGTTGGTGGAGGACAACTGTCTCAGTACTTCGTCCACGCACGTTGTATTCAAAACCTTTTTTTCCAGAAATTTCGTCTTTGATTCTGCTAATCTTTTTATGCTGAAGCTTGCTGGATCCTCATATTTTTCGACGTGGTAATAAATACATACTAAGTATAAATGAGAAATAAAAGAAGCAGCCAGAACCACGATCGAATAAGTATATTAATGCTCTCTGCTCGTTGTCAACATGATAGTAGGACATTAACTCAGAAAGAGATGGAGATGATTGATTGAAGAAGCATTATCAAATAAATCATAATCAAGAATATGAAAAATTTTGTACTTGATCATCTCCAACTGAGCTCAGCATTTCAGAAAAAGGATCTGGATGAGTGAAAACAGCCATGATGTACTTGTCTTTTTAGAGAAGGTGTCAACTTTCTGAACGTGACACGCAAACGTTGGAGCCTCGTGTTGGTTTCCCCTAGTCATTTCGACTAGCGTCTGCCTATTCCTATCCTTGGGAAAAACCCTCAATTGGTTTCAAAACACAAAAAATCAAAAGAGCTTATCTGCTTCGGTAGGAATATCGCTGTAGTACGAATGATTTCCTCTCTTAGTGTTATTATAAGTTTCTAAAAATTCGCATGATGGAGCAGGCTGTAGCTCCCTACTGATGCATCAACACCTTTAACAAAAGTTAAAGTTCTGAAATGATTTCCAAGAAGATACAAGAAAACAGCATACCCATACTCGTGTCGGAAAAACAAGAGACGAGCCGCGGCGTCGCTCGTGAACGAACGTAATCAACCGAGTCATCCAAGAGCAGCGAAAGCGCCTTGGCCTTCCAGAATGGTGTCGTCTTACTTATGGCGTATCAGCAGCACGACTTCATATTCTGGATTTGAAATTACATACAAGTCAGTAGCTATAATAGAATTTATTTTAGAAGTGAACTACACTAAGACAAGAAAGACTAAGATGAATGTTGCAGAGATTGGGACAAACACAATCTACATGACAAAGCAGGTTAGAATTTTTTTTTAGAAGAAGCTGCCACCTGCCATTCTGATCCTTCCAAGTCAAAAAAGTTAAACCTCTAACAAACTTCACAAGTTTGTTCTGTTGTTCGTCCTCTACGTCATCCGGCACGAAAGCTGATCAAACTAAGCCTTCGCGCGATCCTCCAACGGCCTTGGGATCATCTTCCTCATCGCAGAGCAGGAATAGTTATGTTCGATGGGAGGCAAGGCACACGATAACAGCCGCTTGTTTTCTCTTTGGTAACACATCAGCAGAGGAGCTACGCTTGTACCTCCATGATCCATTTATATTCAGCAGGGAAATTTTACACTTTGGCAGAAGACCGCGATGATTGGTGATTACTCGAGGTACTAGTTCTAAGTCCAAAGAGCTATGACTCTCTAATTCTCAACGGAGGGGGCTCCAGGACATGTAACATGCCACGCTGACACGATGTTGGGTCCGATTCCTGTGGGTGCATTATTTGCCGATGCCTCTAGACAAGAAGCGCCTAGGTCAAGTGCCGCCTTCGAGTCACTTCCTCTTAAGACAGCACTGTAAAAATTTTGTTTTGGCTTATTTGAGTTGGAGGTCCTGAGCTTTCGCCTTGCACTTAGCGAGCTGCACGACATTTTTATGGTTTGATTCATGAGGGCAAAGTGCCGCTCCTTATCCGCATGGGAATAGGTTGTGCCTAAGTAAAAACCAACCCTTCAAGAACTTCTTCATTCTCTTCAGTATGAATCATGTACTCGTCATCAATGTCAGATGGCGTGGCCTAGTAATCAATATCCATCCACCATTGACTACATCAACGAGAACGACAAGCTGCATCATCTACTTCTAATCATGATAGCAGCACTAGTCTAGTAAGTACATAAAAACAGAACTACAACTTCCAACAGTGGCTACAGCGACGCTTCTACAACGTATTTCTACAACGATAATATTAAGTCTCATCGATCCACTTCTAACACTTGCAACGCTAGATTTGACTCTTTAGGACCCAGGGATAGAGTGAAGATGAAAACGACGCTACAAAATCTTACCACGCGATTCGTAATGGAGCTGCAGAAGGGCAAAGTCTTTCTCAAATTGGGAAGAAATGTTAAGGTGTAGATGGTATCTAGCAGGTACAAGTATAAAGTTTGAGTACTACTAGTGCCTAGTGGGTAGAAATTTAGTTACGACTTCATCAACCTCTACTGCATTCATTTTGATAGCAGTAGGTTGTAGACGAGTTTATTTCCTGCATTATAGCAGTAACAGGTAAGTAATTTGATCGTGTTCAATGGGGTGTATTACCCAAAATCCGATCTTTGTTATACCGTACAATAAACTGTCCTTGAAGCTATTAGAAAGTCTAAGATCCGGCGATTGTTTTACCGTTGGTGCACCATCGATGCTGGCAGATCGAGCTTTAGTATGAACGTAAAGGGGCAAATAGTGGAGTATCCTTTCTTTATGCACGGTTTGATAGTTGTACTAATGTTCAGTTGATGACGTTGGTATTCACTTGACCAGGGACAGGGAGGGTTAGACCTGAAATGCATGACCATGACCATGCTAAGATGATCGTGCTCATCGTGTTTGATGTCTTTTCAAGTACTCATAATATGGGGCGCATGGTGCATGGCGTAGCATGCAGTGCATGGAACACCTGCAGCCTGCCCACGCATGGAATGTGTCGCAAGCGTGTAACGGACGGCCACGCGTGGAGCATGCCCCGCCGAAGTTGGGTCTGATAGTCTAGACGCCTGGGGGCGGGAGGCGCTTGGTGATGTGTCGGGGGGTGACGTTCCCGGCGGCGCTGCAGCTAAGGGGGCCCTGAGCTAAGGGAGCCAGCTTGCGAGTGAGTAGGCGGGCAGTTGTAGCCGTCGGGGGTTTGTAGCGTAGGCGGGGAGCTGTAGCCCCAACCATGGGCGCAGCCGGCGGCGCTTTGGCTGATGCCTTGGCCGTCTTAAGGACCCCCGCCCGCGAGTGAGTGGCCTGGGAGTCTTCGCTGTCCGGGTTGGCTGATAGGCCAGACGCACGGGGAGCACTGTCTTGGGTGTAACATGCCCAGGGGTCGCTGGCGGCGCTGCAGCTGCTTGGACGGCTTGAGGGCGCCGGGCCTGGGCCGCGGGTGAGCGCGTCGGCCCGGGGGCTCTGCGTAGAAGTCGGAGCTGGGGTTGGCAGGTTAGGCGTCTGAGGTGCCTCCCCGATGTACCGAGCTGGAGGCGTGTACACTCTGACAGAGAGGCGCCCGAACGGCGTCTCGCAAAATTTTCACGAATGAAGTGCATGGGGTACCTGCTCCATGCTACTCCATGTGTTCCATGCACTCCATGCCATGTGCCTGGAGAATCCTTATAAATATAAACTGCTCTGTCGTATGAAACAAAGAAAGTCATCGCCTCGCTTTCTGCTTTTTACATCAATTTGATACTCTCTTGACAGGGAGCTACAAGCAAATATTTAGGGCTCAGCTCTATTATCTATTGTCCTCTCCAACATGAACATCATCTTTATCTACTTTAGAATCATTTTTGTACACGTATGACACCACTCATACTGTCTCAAATCCAGTCTGTTCGCTTTGGATTCGACCTCTCGGATTTCTTTCAAGTGCCTCTTTCGATGCCTAGCGAGTCGCTTGGCGGCGTTTTGATATTGAATGACATTAAGGAAACGTTATTCTAACGATACATGAGGACAATAATTTGTGAATGATATACCTTAATATGGGCTTGACGAGCTGCATAATATCGTCATCACAATCACATGCTGCAGATGATGCAGCACTAGGTCCACCACCATCCGTGACCATGATTTCAAGTACCAGTGCCACCAATGAAAAGTCACCTACAAAGGAGTATATTTTGCGTCTGAAATACAGTAGAACAAATCATTTCTAGAACTAGCCAATTTCTAGGCATCTTCGTGTCCCGGATATTGTTTAGTCTCCGTTATAGTACACGCACGGCTAATGTGTGAGACTCATCATGCCATGCCATGCGTCCAGCACTGTCTCATCATGTCATGCCATGCGTCCAGCACTGTCTAAGAAAAACCGCCGATTGAACCTGGTTTTTTCAAGTCCAGACGAGCGAGACCAATTCGTCTCCTGCATGCTGGTACTTCTCGCAGATCATCGAATGCGAGACAAGGCTTAGATGATGTTCGGCAGACCATGACCAACACATATAAATAGATGATCATGGGAAGACCAACACATGGTAAAAAGATGACCACATAATGAGAAGACCAACACATAGATGATGTTGGGGAAACCAACACCTAGATGACGTTGGGGAAACCAACGCATAGATGATGTTCTTGGGGAAACCAATACTGTTGAGGAGACGTCCTTGGGAAACGAGAACTGCGCAGAAACATAGGTAAGGAGATAGTTTTTTAGGTGGATCCACTCCTTCTATCCTATCTATTTTGCATCTATCAAACCATCGAGGCTCGCTCCCCTGAAGGGGAAAGGGATAGCGGTGGGGGTCTGCCTAGATGGAATAGACACCATTCATACTATCTCAACAGGAGAACTGCAATTATACCGACACACTTTCAATTCATTCTCTTTTCAATCACTCTCTATCAATTTTCAATCATTTACATCATATTTTGTGAAATTGAAAAGGAATTCATGAAATCGTACGCCGAGTGTTTCGCTCGACGAGGTCCAGACTTTCAGTACAACTTTCTGGTCTTGACAATTATATTCAGTGTTGGAGGAGGTGTTCCTGTCTTACTTTGCTTTTGCCTGTCCTCGGAAAGGTTTTCGTTGATTTTGATCTTCAAAGACCTGGAATGAGACTTAGACAAGACAGGAGGAGAGGAGCTAAGAAGTACGAATATAGTGCACGACCTAATTCAACATGATCCGTTTTGAAAAATATCGCTCCATCAGAAGGATCAACAAAGTTGGATGGAAAAGCGAAGATCTTTTTTGTCCAAAGTGCCTTCGTAACTACATTAATGCGGAAGTAGATCAGCAAGTAGACGTAGGCCAAGGGCAGGATCAGGAAGAAGATGATCGGGTGGATCCTTTATTACAGGCAAGATCCTGGTGACATAAAGCGGTCTTCCATAAAGAGTAGTTCCACTACACCTGGTGACATAAAGCGATCTTCCATTACAAGCAAGATCCCTCAACACCTGGTGACATAAAGCGATCACATGAGGAAGATCTTTTGAGTATACTTGAGCAAATCTTTTTTGTCAGATGCTGAAGCAAGATGAACATCATGAAGAGTGGTGTTACACCGTGACCGAGGAAGATGATTGAGTTTTATTTTCCTACTTGTCCCTGAGGCTTAATGTACTCCACCTGCCGCCAGTTTGCGAACTGGATATGACTGGGATCACCCTTCCGGCGGTCTTAGCATACAAGAAAAAAAAATGACCTGGGTGGAGTACACGAGTCAATGAATCTCTGGCTACTATTATCACATTTCTCCGGTTTAAGATTAAGTCTTTTTCAAATTCATCAATTTCAAATGGCGCTCAGAGAAGGAGATTTTTAGGACATGCTAGTCGTTAGTCCTCTGTAATTTCCGAAAAGATTTTTGTCATCGTTACTTGTAGTTTCGTCTAAGTACTTAGATTATATCGTACGTACGTACACGACACGACTACCTATTACTGTAGCTCATTTCTTTGTCTTTTTTCGTTTCGAAAGCTATCGTTCTCATAGTTTCGTTATATTACGACCATGGCGAAGCGCAGCAAAGTTTCGAGGGGAGGTAAACCCGCTTCCTCGTCTAACAAGGTTATGAAAGGTTCCCTGTTTCCTGAAATAATCCTCCTCGTAAGCTCTGATCCTTCTTGTTCTCACTATCATCTAAAAACTTCATATACTTGTGGATTGTTCCATTTCCATACGGGGAGACCTTAAAGATTACGTCTCGCTCGTCCAGAATGAACAAAAATGCGTATTAGACTCTTACTAGTACTAATTACATACTACTTACTCATCTGATACTACTTCTCTCTCATCATGAATAAGAATATGATCATTGCTACTGCCTCTGCTCCTGCTCATGATCTTTGCTCTAATAAGAGGAGAAAGAATAAGCACGTAGTTGCGAAGCGGGGTTTGGGAGACCGAGACGGAGACTCAAAAACGAAAAAACGTCGTGGACCTAAGAAGGACAGTGACGAGAGCCAAGCTGCAATGAAAAGACGACTAAAGTTAAGGACATCATATTTGTACCTCTGAGTAGCCATTGTCATAGTCTACCTGATTAATATTATTTTGAGTAGTCATAGTCTAAGTCTATGAAGCATATATTTGAGTAGTTCAAGATGAAAGAAGAATGTTGTTGAAGATGTGCCTAGAATATCAACATGAAGATTACCACCTTCGTACGCCCTTTTCTACAACGTAGACTTCATAAATAATAAGTAGTTGTGATGTCGTGCTTACACGTAAGTACTAGTACTGTACTAGTACTTCTTCAGACCATCATTCATCAAAGACAGTCTAACCGTAACGGCCACTACGACTACTTCTACTACATCCTCTAAGAGCTACTCTTTTTATCTATCATCCTCATTTCATTTTTCTATGGTCTTACTCCGTCTGCTTCTTGCTTTCAATCTTCTCTTCTCCCCTCTAAATTTTATAATCATTTTTTTTTGACCTCTTTCGCCATTTCCCCCTTTGCTCCATTTCCCCATTTCCTTTTCTAAGAGTTCTGAGGATGCTTCAAAAAGTTCGGAGTCCAAGCCTAGAGGAGAAGTGTGAAATGGCAGATCTACTAGCTGGAGACGGTAAGTCCAAAAATGCCATAAAACTCTATGAAGAAGTGGTGAAACACGTACTTTCAGAACAAGAAAAAGAACAAGGAGGAGCATCATCGAACTCGAAGAGAGCACAAGAACAAGCGGCATCCAAGAAAGCAAAAGTTGTACATCATAGAGTTGTTGGTGGAGGTGCTACAGCTCCAACTAGTGATAGCAGAACTAGTAGTTGTAGTGGTGCCTGTGCCTCCAATTATGGAACGAGTAGTAAATCTTCGTCTTCGACGAAAGTGAACCCAGAAACGGAGATGAAGACCTCTGTGCAGATGGAAAATGATGAAGAAAACGAACGCCGAGGACGAGCGCTTCTTTCTCCGAAACTGCAGTTAGGGATAGCCCGTTTTGCTTGTCTATTACTAGATACAGAGCAGGCTGAACATGCAAGAGACTTGATTGAGAAATTTTACGACACATCAAAGAGCGACCTGAGCGAGCAGTCTAAGGCGGACGGCGCAGTGGCAGTGGATGAAAAAACTTCTCTGCTTCAACTTCACGAGGAGGTTGTAGGAGCAGGGGAGGAGGAGCAGGTAGAAGAGAACGACGAAGAAGTATTTCCTTTGTGGGTCAGAATTCGACTTTCCATACTCGAAGATTCGATCAGCCACGATCTTTCTGATCGAAGTATTTCGCAGATGATGATTTCGATTCCTCTGGCTCGCACCGCTCTTGCCTGGGTACGGGTTGCGATCGAGTACATAAGTAACAAAGTATTGGAGGAAACGGAATCAGAGCAGCCGTTGAGCGATGCAGTACGTCAAGCAGTGAAGGAAAACCCCTTTGTGGCGGAAGCCTTGGCTTTTCCAGATTCCTTCTCGGATATCGTGGAAAGTGACCGATTTATCGAGAAAATAGTGACCACGTCGTCGGACTCGGAACAGCGAGGGGATAAACCCAGTAAGCCCATCAACATAGGAATAGAAGAGCATAAAAAAGAACTTGTTGGACTTGGAGGAAGATCCAATACCAAAATTAAGGCTCGAGAAAATCCATCTTACCTCCCCATCATCTTCTTCCCGTTTCGAAGAGAAAACAGGACGCAGGATGCTCAGCAAGATGGATTTTTCTTTGACCTTTAACAAAAGGATTGAAGACATGGAAGCAGCCATAGTGTATCTCACTGGATGGGGTCAGCTGGATGTCTGGCACGACGTTCCAGATTTCTCTACTTTTCTTAGAGGCTGTTTACCGAATATTGTCGAGGCTGTTTTACTGCAGGATCAAGATCAAAATACGCCGAAAGAAAACAACAAGAAGGCTCTTGCTAGCAGGAGCAGGACGACAGAAGGACGAGAGGAAGCAGAAGAGATGGGACATGAGGAGGAAGAAGAAGATGACGAAGATGTAGATGACGACCTGGAAATTCATTTCGTGGAGCCAAAGGGCAAAAACCGCTGTGAGCTCGTTTCGGCATGGCGGAAAGCACGCGCACAGAGTAGGAAGGAGGCATCTCCTGGTGCAGATGATATGGACGTCGAAGACGATGCTACGGGGGATCTCGAGGAAGAGGAGTCAGATTTAGATCTCGTAGGTGGGCCCGATGAAGAAGATAGTGAGGAAGATTCAAATATGTAGATGTACGCATCCACTTGAGTAGGATGAATTTCAATTTCAAGAACTGTTCTCATTTTTTTTCGGCCTTGAAAGAACCAACCAAGAAGAACCTGATGCAACTTTGTTTTCCCTTTTCAATCCCGATTTCTTTGAAGATATAATAGACATTACACCTCCCTTGCCCTTCAAGACAGATAAGCTTTCGCACCCACCAAACTTAGAGGCTCGTCGGGACAAGAGGCGTCGCCGCGTACGCTGATTGAGAAATGGGTAATGTGTTCCGCCTGCTTAGACCAAGAGCTACATGAGGATTATCAGGTCTCTCTTTCGCAACGTCAGGTACGAATGGGAATCTTCTTCTCTTTGATTTGGTTAAAAATGTCTCGTGAGATCAAAGAACTGCGTTTTTAGTGTCCGGCGTCATACAACTAGGAGTCTCGCTCACGTTCCTGCATCTACATGGTGTTGTACGTAATACTCGTCTCTAAAAGTAAAAATGCAACCTGGTGTCCGTAATACAATCTCAGGTTGGACAACATAGAGATGGAGGATACCGTATCCACAAACTCGTTTGATGTGGATCCTTTCGAGAGAGGACTCTGTAAAATTATCAAACTCTTTATGCCTAGTAGACTAGAAGCGATTCGCGCTCTTCTTGTTTTTGTGAAAGAGAAAAGATTTTGCTTTTCGACTGCTAGCTATGGCATATAGTGTGCTTAAGTCAGAAGTTCATGTTTTCAGATCTTGGTGATTTCTACACTTACAGGGGAGGTCCGGAGTTGACTAGTGCAAAGGCTTCCTGCTGTCTGAAAAGTAGTAGTACGACTCAACAACAAGAATAACATGAAGATCGCAATATGACCGTTATTTCTCATTCTCTTGCTATTTCTGATTGATCGTACTGTGGCAGAAGCCTCTTGATGTTGAATTTTTCTTTCTAGGCGAAACAAACGACGGACCGAGCGACGAGCCATAGGACTACAATTGGGATTTTCACACTTAGTTCGTGGTGACTTCTGAGTTCGTTCTTTCTTTGTGAGAGGTTCTAGAAATAGACTCGTAAAAAGAATGGCCGATTTTTCTGCATCCCTACTGCTTGTCTCTAGTGCCGACAGCGACACGAAGATGAACGCAGACCAAGGAGGACGTGCAGCTCATAAAAGAAGTTATGGCCACCTGCCTTGAAGATGTAACCCCCTACCCGATAAGGTACTTCCACACTTCTTCTTCTAAGAACTACTAGCCTTCTGCATGATCTTCTTTGTTAACACCAACATTGCTGCAGTTGCAGCTGCAGCTGCAGCTCCTCAACTCATTTATAAGAGATTAAGACCGGTGATCTCCTCCTCGTTCTAAGAATAGCTTCTTCACAACAACTCCGTCACCAAGATGTCTCGAAGTTTGCTGGTGTCTTGTGCCACGACCTTGTCAGCATTGTCAGCGTTTTCTGGTGTCTCGGCTCAGCAACTGCCTGACTTCTTCCCCGCAGAGTTGAAAGACGAGTACATGGAATTGCAATCCCTAGATGCGTTGGCTCCAGAAACGTGCACAAAATATGGCTCTAGGTATAGTTGTAGTAGTCACTGTGATCATTCCTCTAGCATGAACATGGTGTTTCAGGTTCTCGAAGTGAGAGGAAGTACAAGTAGAACTTCAACATGTAGTAAGCTTCTTGACGAGCAGGTAGTGAACAAACTGATCATCGTGTTGTATAATAAAGATAAACCCATGAAGACCAAGAACAAGATCGTTGTCAGTTTCAAAGAAGTGACAACTCTCATCATGATTTCAAATGGTGCCCCTAGATCTAGAAGAAGTTCCAGTCCGTTGAAGCACAGCTGTTGTTGTGGTAGCACTGAGGAACTAGTTTCTAATCATAGCGCCTTGGAATATACAAAGAGATGGCCCAAGTCGCACACCAGGGCATGGGGCAGTTTAAACAGAGCGTGCTGGAGGATCTAGTTATGGACGTTTTTCCAAATAGGTGTAGCTTCGTAGTTGACTGACGGTTCTTGTTACTGCCTCTAGTACAGTGGTCACGAGGTGCTACCACTCACCACTCAACAGTGACCATACCAGGAGCACATGTATGACGGCATTGACAGTGACCACTACAGGTGTAAAAGGAATGCTATCTTCAGTTAGTGTAAACTTTTGCTTCACTAACTTGAAACTTGATGTAGGTAGTGTCAACCAGCTGCTAGTGTTATAGTTATCTGTTAGTTTCAGGTAGAAGTAAGACTTCCAGTCTTATCAATATCTCATAAATGTGCATTCTGTCACTAGGATCATCCTTTTCATCATGTCCTAAGATAGTTGAAAGCAATTGAAAGTGCCTCATCTGGATTTGAATTTCATTTTTGGGCGATAAAAAACCATTTTTTCGAGAATTCAAGAAGTTCGATACTGGAAATGGTTGAGACGCTTCGCATCATCCTTCCCCTGATCCTGCAGCATCATCATCATTCAACCTCCTCATCCTTCATCCTTCATCTTGCTCCTCCTCCTCCATCATCACTACTATTCTCCATCCCCCAGTGGTCCTGGTCTCCATCATTGTCAAAAAGTATATGCGCCAACTCTTACTCTGCTCTTTTCTAAGTAAAGATACTGCGCGCTTGTGGTGGATGAAGATTTCAAGATGGCGCACAGCCGCTTTCAATCCGCGATGCTCGAGGTAGAGGGCTTCACCAATTTGAGCGAGGTGACTCTGATGAAAAATCCGAATACCAGTGGAAGCTTTGCTTATGAACAGGTGTAGTTTTGGTTGATGTGGAAAAGTTACTGCTCATAGACATATAGTATACTAGACTTTTGGGGCTTCGCTCGAGGTTTCTGTTATCTTTCTAGACGTTAAAAAAGGCCTGAGGTATAAAAAATAGAAAAAACTACTCAGCGACGAAAGAACACAGAAAAAAGCGCGCGCCTTAAACATCCTCAAAAATGAAAAAAGTGCTGCGCGTTGGTGTTGGGTGACTATGGGTATGGATAGGGATGCGGATACGGATACGGCTACGGGTATGGATGTGGCCATGGGTACGGATATGGATGTGGGATATGGATGTGGAGCATGGGTGTGGGATATGGGTGGGGGACATGGTTGTGGGATATGGATGTGGGGTATGGGTGTGGGATATGGTTAGGCGTGTGGGGTATGGATCTGGATGGGGGATATGGATGTGGGATAAGGGATGAGGATATGGATGTGGGATAAGGGATAAGGATATGGATGCGGGAGATGGATTTGGGCGATGGGTGTGGGAAATGGATGTGGGATATGGATGTGGGATATGGGTGTGGGATATGGGTGTGGGATATGGATGTGGGATATGGATGTGGGATATGGATGTGGGATATGGATGTGGG